GACGCACTTGATATGAGTCAAGTATCGACAGGTGCAAGATGACGACGATGAAAAGCACTAGAAACGCTCGTGCTGCGTTGTTGTTGTTGTTGTTATTGTTGCTCGGAAATGCATTACCTGTGCTGCAGACGGCGACGACGAGTCAAGCGCACCAGCGACAGTCAGCACAGCCAGCAATCGGAGTGCGCTGTCGGTGATGGCCTCGTCGGTACCTGGAGGAGGCTCGAGCGTTCCTTCTCCATTCACGATACGTGAGTTGTTAACACGTTTGCCGCGCGCGTACGCGGCCTAATATTGCGCCTGAAATGAGAAGAAAAACACGCGTGCGAGCGATGATGGAAATGCGAGGATGCAAATCGCGAGCGCATTTCAATGCTCAGGCAGCCTGGCGACGACTGCACGTGGGTATTTGTGCCCGGAATAACCTGTGAGTTGCGATGGATTCCCACGATGCGTTCAACGCATAAGGCGTGCGCGGCCGACCGGTTTCACTCTCATATATACTGTGATTAGTATGGTTTTAGATGACCGAATAATCCAATGCCGAGCGCACGATTTTCTTATTGTCAAACGCCGATTAAACGATTGCCGTGTAGTGGCATATTGCGAAATAAATAAATGCGAAGATAAATATCTTTAAATAAGCGTCTTTAAATATCGTTATAGTCGAATATGGTAGGGATAATTGGTACAATGCATAAAATCAGCTTTAATACCGAGTCAGACTATATGGCCTTGTATACTACTGCGGTGTTTTTCTCTTTGAGCATGTAACTGACATCCATGAAGTATTCATGAGAAATTCGCCGACAATAAGACACGGACAGCAAAAAAACGCAATTTTTACATACTCTCATTACATAAATTGTTTGCTTGTGTGTTCCAAATAGCCACGAAATATATTGTCAATTCACTGCGTACCAAAACAATGTTTTCGGATTTTATTTGATGTTGTCATCAGACTCTGTTGTTTTGTTGTCGCTGGTCATTTTATATGACGACGGACGAGTGACCTTGTTCTTGCGTCAAGTTTATTGTAACTGTATTACTCATCGAGAGAGGACAGCAAAAGACCTGCGCTCCGATGCTTGTACAATAGTTTCTAGTTTTTTACACTCAATCCTACAAACTTTAAAGCGTTTCCTTCCGCAAGCATAAACAGTTTTTTGTTAAGTAGAAGCCATTATCGATCAATATATAATTCATAATATTTCATATATACGTACGATCGTTATTAAATGAAGTATCGACGGTGGAAAATCCAGGTCGACTCTCTCTCTCTCTCTCTCTCTCGCTGTTCAGTAGCGAAATTATAATATCCAAGAGAACAAATGTTCTCATAAAATTGCTGACTCATTACAATAATTTCATTCCAAGTATCACTTCAATTAACAGGTATGTAATGTCAAGGACGATTGCTGTTTCGAACTCGCGACGACGTCAAATTATCAATTCCGCTTGAGAAGAAATCGTAATTATGAAATATTATCTTTGGAATTTTTATTTTGTATAAATTTGTTTTTTGTTTTTACGGCATTCTTGTGTTTCTTTTCTTTACTTTGATATTACTTGCTAATTGACATCTACGTCGATATAAAAACTACACGACACTTTAATTGATCCAAGCAACCTTGCACGTTGAAGGAGCCTCTTTTACCTGACAGGAACAAACCCAAGTTTATATTAAAATAGAAAGTATTTGATCTAAAGTTACGTTACAAAGTTCAAACTGCATTTTATAAAATAAAATCCGACGAGGCGACTTTTGAAAGGAAAGTCTTGTATATGAAATCCGATCGAGTAGGTTATACGACACTGTGTAAAAATGCCACCTTTCGAGTTTCACAAAACGAATGCAAAAGAAAATTTAATGCTTTCCGAAAAAATCTCGGTGAGTGAATCTCGAGCGATCCAAATCAAACTAATCGCAGAGCTTGTAGTAACAAACGCCGGTCGCTGGCGCAGTTTACCTGGCACTTATCGGCGGCGCTCAAGCGATAAGATCGCTCACCGCTCGCTGCCCATAATGTGTAGACACATTATGCGCACTCGATGCATGCCTCCGCGGCGGCCTGTGCAAACTTTTTCGTCAAGTTTACTTTGAATTAGTGATTGTCAAAGTATATAGCTTTTCGCATAGGTAGGCGAAAAATGTTCTCGAGCAGCTCGAGGAAGAAAGAGTTTACTGGGTCGTTATGCGCAATCAATACAATGTTATTAATAGTCGAGTGCGCTGCCACCTGCGTGCACTCGGTCGAAAATAATTATTGATTGATTCGTTCCGTACTCCCTCCATCTCTCGCGCAGGAGCTGCAGAGAAAGCACATTTTTTTGGCTGAGCAATATCCGTCAAATACATGTACAGGTGCAGAACATCAGAACATCATTCGTTTCTCCCTCGCGTCATTTTTCTCGCGGCGCTCACGGCTGCTGTCACGGCAAGAAAATAAAACTAGGGCAGAGATCCGTAAAAGTGCAACTCCTCTTCGACATACATATATATAAAACACGTCGAAAAACTTACTGCGGAGGAGAGGCATGAGTAGTAAGAATATAGCAAGCTACTTTCACCTCGTCCTTTTGAACTTGCGCGCTAGGCTCTCTTCAATGGCGCGCGCCAAGCAATTGACGTTTTTTTCTTTTCTTGCTTTCTTTTTCTTTTTTTCGTGAAAGAAGCTGAAAGAAGATGAATTAAAAATAGTGCTCAACTGCTTGTGCCTCTCTCTCTTTCTCTCTCTCTCTCTCCCTCTCTCTATCTCTCGGTCTCTCGGGTTATTTTTGCGTAAGTGCTTCGGGAAAATTTGAGCTCCCGCCCTCGCTTTTTAATTACTTGAAAAAGAAAATAAAAAAATTAAAAAAAATAAACGAGGGCTTGACGTGGAGCACTGAATAGCTATATAGATCAGAGGAATCTGAAAGAGTTTATTTTTTCTTTGACTATTATCTTTCTTTGCTGGTGTTTTGAATTCGTAAAATTGAGTTTTAATTTGAACGAGCACGGAAGGATGGCTAATTAGCCGGACAGGCTTAAAATAATGTTTCTCGCGTATTTAATAAAGATTTAAAGGACAAGGAAAACAAGCAGCAGAAAGCTCGTTCTCTCTTCTCTCTCGGGAGATTCGATAAACAAGCCAATCTCGCACATATCTCATTAGCATACTTTCCATCAAGCTATTTCGTTTTGAATTTCGGCTGGAGTTTGGTATATTATTAGGACAAGCGAGGGGCCATAATGGAAAAGTTATGAACAAGTTATCAAACTTTTCAAATTGAAGAAGCAAGAGGCGGGCAGAGATATTTCACTCGACTTCCGTACACGTTTAACTCGATAACGCTCTGTCTGAGCAAAGCTGTTGGGACATGTATTTAACGTATATAGAATACTTCCAAAGCATTCGACCACTCGCTCGTGCCGACAAAACTGTTGATTCAATCTCAACATCTCAACACGACAGATACTGCACTGCACTCCAACATTACTACTAGCAGCACTTGCACATGACCAAAAAGCTGCACGCATGCACTAACGTTAAGAGTCGCCGCCACTTTGGAGAGATAATGTTCAGTGTGTCGTGTGCATTATAGGTTGCTCGGAATGTCGCCGGGGATGGGCTACAAGGTGCAGTTCGAGCCGGGCACCAATTTACGATGTCGCGAAGACCCGAAGCCTGCCGAATCGGAGGATGAAAGGTGACTTGTCAACCTTTACCTATCAACTGTTCGCCGCTCGGTCAATGACAGCCAACCTATTCGCACGCGCGCGCCGACCGAACAGAATCTCAAATTTTTGTTCTGCTTTTTCTTGAACGTAAAATCGATTCACTGCCACCCCCCACGCACGTCTTATTCTCAAAAACAAAAGAAAGTCGTCCTTCTGCAGTTTTTTTCACGCTCATTCATCAAGCGCATACGGCTTGAATAAAAAAAGCTTATTTGCAGTCCTATCATTATGGAGCATCGGCTATTCATCTTCATTGTTTATTACCATCTTTTTCGAAAATAAGAATTCTCGTTGTTGCTTGTTTTTCTGATCAAAAAGAGCTTCCACGTCTAATTACATTCCACTGCGCTCGTGCGAGCGCGCTACAACTAAAAATATGTAAATAAGATGAACCTAATTGAATTGGTTCGTCGCACACAGTATGTACACGTGTGTTTACTAAGGTTATAACAGATAAGAAAAAGGAGGGTAGAAAGACGTAAAAATTCACACGCCGACACAAGAGTGAGAGGGAGGGGGAGTAAGAAGGGGGGGGAGGGAGCGAGCGAGCGCATCAACCGGCGTTTTAGTGGCTCTTCTATTCGACAAAATTAAAACTCTATCGTCGCGTGTGTGTGTATGTGTCTGTGTGTGTGACGATGTCCCACCCTCGCAAAGTGCCTCTCTTTGACGCTTTAACTATTTATGCGACAACTGATCAAGCTCTCCCCTCTCGTATTCGCAAAACTAATGAAAAAGAAAAAGAAAGTCAGATACGCATTTCTTTTCTCACGAGCTTCTAAAATTGAACGAGCTTCTTGCATTGTTAGAAAACTTCTCTTCTGCTTGCTCGTAAAAATGAATGAGTTGGAATGTTGAGCTGCCAAAAAGAGAAGAAGGAAAAACAATTCAATCTTCGTCCCCTCGCATGGACATGTGAAAAATGCGAGCTGTGGCGAGCGCAAGTTCAATGGAGCGGGCCGCGCGGACCACATCGGTGTTTTTCCAAAGTCTAAAAGCAGGCTAGATATAGGAAATAGGAAGTCGAGAGCGTGCGCGTGCGCCATGGCTCATGCCAGGTATACTTTCTTCACATCACGCACACGTGTGCAGCCGCTATAGAACGAAAGCTGTGCTTGCGCACATATACGCAAGATTAGTATTAGAGGGAAGAGGTTGGCTGCGCGCGCAAGCTGCTCTCTATCTCGGTCTCTTGCTCGCCGCCAAACAGAGAACGTGCACTATCTGGTCGACGTTGCTTGGCCTGGCGCATGCTCGGCTCGCACGAGAGCTTGTTGGCGGAATAGCAGCCAGGCTCTCTCTCTCTCAGTGCTAACCCCCGCGCACACGAGGCGAGAGAAAGAGTCGGAGAGAAAGAGCACACCAACACGCGCGCGCACCAGAAAAAAGTTGAAAAGAAAAGTGTAAGTGAGAGGAAGGGAGAGCGAGAGAGAGAGAGAGAGAGAGAGAGAGAGAGAGAGAGGCGCGGGGAGGTAGACGATGAAAAATTGAGAGCTTGGCTCGTCGTCGGCGAGCGCGAAGGCGAGTGCGAGAGTGAGGAATCGATAGTTCGGTACGACAACGGCGACGACGACGACGACGGCTGCGGCGGCAGCGGCGGCAGCGGCGGCGGCGGTGTCTGCGGCGACAGCGCTGAGGTGCCTCGCTGCGGAGGAGCTTTTCCGACGGCTGGCCGAAAATAGTCGTCGCCTAATTACGCGCTTGAGCGAGGAACGCCGACGCTGTCTCGTGGCGAACGCGCCATGGCCGTGAGGTGGTGGCTCGAGCTGCTGGCCGCGGCTCCGCGACAGAGCGCAGCAGCGCGGACGAGCGGCGTCAGCGCGATGACAACAACGGCGACACGAGGGGCAGTCGTAGCAGCAGTGCCACGCAACTGGCCAGCTGCGAGCAGTAGCGGCGACAGCAGCTAGTTCGCCACGACGGAGGCGAGCAAGCTGGCATGCAGAGGCTGCGCTCAACCTTCAAGAGGTCGCGCACGCCGACCGGCGCCGAGATGAAGTCGCAGTCGAGCCTCGAGGTACCGAAGCAAGTGCGCTCAGCCTCCTTCGACGAGATCCAGCTGGAGGCCCAGCGGCAGGAGGCCGAGCTCAAGCACATCGCCAGCATCGCCATGGCCACCAGCAGCAGTCTGGCCGCGGCGCACCAGCAGACTTCCTCCTCGTCCTCCTCCTACTCGCCGGCGCGCCAGAACAGCAACGCCTCGGCGAGCAAGCTCAACACCCTGCGCATACCGCAGCTGCAGACCGGCCAGCGGTCCAAGAGCCTAGACGTGGGCGACCGCAGCAGCCAGGACCCGCGGGCGCCCAGCTTGCTGGACAGGTCGGCGTCCACCGCCGCGGCGAGCGCCTCCCGCTGGCGCGGCAGCAACGCCGAGCGCGACAATCCGCCGGCGCAGGCCTACAGCTGCTGGCACTGTGTCTGCGTGGACGAGTACAAGGCGTCGTTGGCGGGCACCGACTCCTGGGAGGACGACGAGGACGAGGACGAGGACCAGGACGACGACCAGGACGCCGACGACGAGCTGGAGCGCAGCCACGAGACGCTGCTCACCGTCGACGCGCCCGCCCACCACGAGCGGCTGCCGGTCCACGTGGATCAGGAGAGCAGCTGCTACTTCGTGGTCGTGCAGCCGGCCCTCGCCTCCTCGCCGTTGCTGCATCAGCAGGAGCAGGACAGCAACGAGGACGAGGCGGCGCTGAGCGACTGCTCGCGGCGCGAGGGCAGTCCGGAGATACGGGTCACGCTCACCACCGCGCGGACCGCCTCCGAGAAGACCAGCACCGACCTCGACTCGCCCGAGGGCAGCGAGCTGCCGGCGCAGCTGCTGCCCGACAACCGCCAGCGCCGTAGGTCGCTGTCCCGACAAGAGGCCCTGCCCGAGCTGCCGGCCATTCTCGGCATCCACGTCGCCGACGAGGCGGCCCCCGCTGCCGCTACCGCTGCCGCTGCCGCTGCCGCCTCCAGTCCCGAGGACGACGACGACGACGAGGACGACACTGACCGAGCTTGCAGTGCCGCCAGTGTCGAGAACCAAGCGGCGCAGCTGGTCGTGCGAGATATCTTTCTCACGGTGCCGGATCTCAAGAGGGACCGAGCTGCGTCCGTTGACTCGTGCTTCAATCAGAATAAGAACGGCAAGATCGAGACCTGCTACTCGCTGCAGGTGCCGCAGCAAAGTGCCAGGTCCAAGAGCGTCGACATCGTTCTGCCTACCGAGATTCAATGCCGTTATACCGCTTTGCTACCCGAGGACGCCAGGCAATTCAGGTGTTCTATCTTGCCTTCTTGTCTTGTCTTGTCTTGTCTTGTCTTGTCTTGTCTTGTCTTTGTCGAGCGTACGGCGACGATCGATCGTTGGCATCAGGCGTTGGTGGAGGGAAACGTTGATGGTGTTTTCAAAGAGCTTCTTTTCTTCTGTTTTTGATTTTAGCGAGAAGGAGGATACTGGTCCGAGCCAAAGAGAGCCGAGATCGACACCGGATTGGGGCGAGCATGCTTTGAATGGAGAACATCTCTGGGTTCCCACTGCTGCCTCCGGCGAGTTTTGTTACGTCAATGATTGCTCGGTGAGTTTTCTTTGTGGAAAATTTCTGAGCTTCCTTCTCTCCTTCATCGATAGATTTGCTCACACACTGAATTATTCGAACGCGAGGTGAGTCGCGATACCGAAACTCGTTTAAGGAATTTTTGAGCTGGGCTTTTTTTTTCAAGACGTTGGGTTATCTTTGTAGAGTGGTAAACGTCGATGTGATCTTGTTAGTAGATGCTTTTTACATACGCAACTAATGACGCTGACAGGTAATATCTGATAATATTGAAGAATAAGAGTTGGAGAAAATGCTTATACATTTATACTTGCCGAAAATTTCAGATAATCGAGTTGATTGTTGTTGGAAATACTCCGTGCGCATGTACTGTTTACTCTGTGGATAGTAACTTTTAAAGAGGCATAAAATTTCATCCGAAAATGGAAATGCGAAGCCAAAGTAATATTATTAATTTTGAAGGATATCAACGTGACACGCACGTCGGCAGGTTGCTTGCTTCTAAAAAATGGGACATTAAATCTAGTTTAATAGCACACACATTAAATCGCCATTGAGATTGGTTTTATTATTTACTCCCTCCGATCAATAATGCTGCACACATTATAGCAAGATAATGAAGCACATTTCATTCTTCCATTGTAAAATCATCATAAATCATAGAATGTAACTACATTGCAATTCAAGTTATTTCTTTGTAAAATAGTACATGCAACGAAGCATAGGTACGTCGAAGGCTCGGGAAATTGAATTCTTAATAAAAGAAAACGTTTGTGTAGTATAAATTCAAAGAGAACGAGTTTGCATAAGGTACCGTTACACAGATAACAATTATCCAGTCCAATTCCAATTATTTAAACTATCGAAGCACACACCAGCTGACGAGAGAGACTTCTTTTTCCAATATATACTCAAAGTTAATTACCGTTGATTAATTTGATGAATCGACTATTGTTTAATGAGTTTTGATGCTGCTAATAGAGCATACTCCCCGCATAGAGCACACTTTGCCAATGAGATTCTCAAAGCTCCAAATGGAAGTTTATCATTCAAAACACTCTGTAATCGTAATATTTATACTGCAGAGTTTTTCAAAATTATTTTTTCAAGTCTATAGAACGAAGAAAAAAGTGAGATATTCTCATTCTTGTACGACAAGCAAAAAGCGACATGTTTTTGTATTTGCATGTCAAAAGTTTCGTTCGCTCCTCCAAATAAATGACGTTCTTATGAGCTTGAATAGCAGAGTAGACACGTGTGCGTGCAACGTTGAACTATGCATTATCCCGGAAAACTTTTGACAATTAATCAAGGACAGCGAACGTTTGATTGCACTTTTTGAAATGTGAACGCGCAAACAATATCAATACCTCCCGTCCTCTACTTAAACTCGTCCACTACTTAAAATGAATAATTGTCGGACGATTGATTGTCGCAGAAACACGGATCTCGACTGAAGTGTTCAGCTTGCCGAGTAGTCGCCCATGCAGCATGCACTCTAACGTTGAATTTTGCCTGCAAGCCAACATTCCGCGACGTTGGTGTGCGTCAATATCGCGAGCAAAAGATCACCAATCACCATTGGGTACATCGTCGCTCACAAAAAGGCAAATGCTCCAATTGCTACAAATCCTTTCAGTCGAAGCTCAGCTTCTCCTCCAAAGAGATAATCGCCGTGAGCTGTAGCTGGTGCAAGAGCGCCTATCACAACCGCGAATCCTGCTACAATGCCCAGCGCGTTGGCGAAGCTTGTGAGTTGGGCTTGCACGCGTGCATTATCGTGCCACCGTCGTGGATTGTGAAGCTACCAAAACGGGGCAATTTCAAGAGTAGCTTGCGAAAGAGCCCGAAGAAGAAACGAAACCAACCGAAAAAGAGCAAGGAGGAGAACGAAAAGGAAGATCCGTGCAAGATGTGGGTTGTTAAGCCAATACCAACGAGCAGCGTGACACCTTGTCTCGTTTTCATCAATCCCAAGTCTGGTGGTAACCAGGGTGCCAAACTACTGCAAAAGTTCCAGTGGCTGCTCAATCCACGTCAGGTCTTCGATCTCACCCAGGGTGGACCGAAAATGGGGTGAGTCTCGCTTTGCTTTTTTAACCCAAGCACAACGTTTACTCGCAACATTTTCGATGATTGCTATTGATTTTTCTCTTTTGTGTTTGTTCCCCGTATTTTTCTTTTCGTTGCCACGTTACGCAATTTACAAAACGATCAATGGGCAAATTGCCCGACTCGGCGCTACTGTTGTTTATATTCGATGTAAACCACAAGCACGCGCATCGAGTTGTCGAAGAAGCAAACAGCAATTAGCGTCGCATTGGCGAGATAGGGTCCGAGAAAAAGAAAACAGCTCGTTCAATTATTTATCGCGAATAAATCAATCGAGAAGGTCAAGCACCCTCTGCTGCAAAAATAATGCTACTTGATGTATAGAGGGAATAGTAAAATCGCGCTGACAGTGGCCAACTGTATATTTCAACGTGTAGAAAAAAACACAGATTCGTCAGTGGAAGTGCGTGTGCATGTGAGTGGTTGTAGCCTGTCGTGTCTACATGTAACGTTGCTGCCACGTTGCTGCTACGCAGAAAAGCCATGCTTAATTTCGAAGAGGGCAAGTATCATAGTTCAACAGCTCATGCAGCTACTTCTTGTAATGTATAAGACGGCACAGAAAAATTAACGTATTCGGCTTTTCACTAGCGCGCGTGAATAAATTATTAACTGTAGGGACTTTTATTCTCGTTTTCTTCTTCGTTCGTCGAGTGGGTTTTTTTAATTAAGCAGTAAAAAGGCTGTTCAAGGGATTTACACGAGAGACACGACAAACTATTCAATTAGTGCGCGCTTCGTGACAGAGCGCGAGGGATCCTCTCTCTCTCTCTCTCTCTCTCTCTCTCTCTGACGTATTCATCATTTCCCTTTTCCCACGAGTTTGACTTTAACCATACGCCTGCCTCCTTCTCGCTTCGCGCTTCATCTAATTTAATGAAATACCTGCTCACAAAGTGCGAGCTTTCTAATGAAACTTACTCCAGTTTAATTTAGAGACAACGCCTACAAGCCTGCTCTATATTTTCAACTTTAACTGTCCGATTTGGCAGAATTTTGGGTTCGATACCGGCAGCAATCGGCTGAATTTTATGCGTCCTCCCATTTCAATCAGCAAACTTTGCAATCCTGCAGCATAAATAATAGAACTTTGGAACGATCTCGGGTCAGTTCGAGATCTAATTCGACGTTGAATGAACCTAATTCGACGTTTCTTTTCTTTTACAATAATTATTAGTTTGTTACTTTTTTTCACTCGAGTAGTATAAGGTCAAATTTTTACTTTTGCAACATTAATCAAGCTCGACGAAAAGATTAATAAGTCGGGCGTTTACTTATGTGACGTTTTTTATGATTAATCGCTACTGTAATATACCGCGGCACATACAGGAAAAAGGAAGCTTAAATGATGAATTGCCAGGATTTTCTTTCTTCGTAAAATCCGCATGTATGGAATAATAATTCTTTGGCGTATTATGATACGGGTTTTACTTCAATTAAATTGTAATGGAAATGAATTGTCCTGCCAACTTGTCTTATTATTCGCTTAAAATTAGTAAAAGAAAAGGAAAGATAGCGCTATGAATTATTAATGAGACTTTGCCAATATTCTTGGATTCATTGAGAAAGAAAGATATAGCAGTTTCGTGTAGCTTGATGCACAATGGAAAAAAACTGAAATTCAATTGACGATGTGACGCCTGGAGGATGCAATTAGATAAGTAGCAGCATGCAAATATTCGCAAGTGCACCTCGCTCTTTTCCGGCAAAATACTCAGCTTATCATACTATTTTCCATTTATGCATAATTTATCACAGTCACGTTGGCGCGCGCGTCTCCTCAAGAGATACTCGTACACGTGTTTTTTCAGACGTTCCACACGACGAGCACACGCACGTAAGGAATTACCGGTGAATTCATTGTTGAGCCGCGACGTCTTATAGTATATATCGTTGCTAGTAGCGTATATGTAACGAGCGCTACGCGCTTAATTGAGCGGTAAACTGTAATTTGCATCGTATAGCTTGCTGCTGCATACAATTTGTAGTGTGTGTATGCAGTCTCTGCAGTTTCGTAAAGTTAGCCGTGCGCAAATTTGGCCTAATTATTGCATTGATATTGGCGTCGGCGGCAGTCAATTGGAATGCACCGTCTACACACACATATATAATATAAACATATACGTGCGTGCCATAAGAATCAAGCTGCAGGGGCACGAACTATGTGCAAATATGGACATTTTATAGAAATGGAATTTCAGCACGATGAAATTTTTAGCCGAGCTCGGCGAAAGAATGCGTAGGAAGGAAGTAATTTTTATACTCCTAGGGAGTTGCACTCTTTTTTATTTTTTTCGCCAGCGGGCTACACTTTGACGTTAAATCGTAATTGGTGACCTGAATACGTGTCAAAGAAACATTAAATGCGTTACGAGTATGAAGGAACCTGCTAGCGCAGCACACGCCGTATGTTTCCACTTGATGCTCTCAAATGAAAACAAAACGAACAAATCGTTTTTTACTTCTTCCTTGGCACAGGCGGAAAAAGCCTGTGCTATCCTACTCGGATAACCAAACGTTATATTTTATGCCAACAATAACAAAGCGACAATAAGTTTCTCTTAACAAATTCTAAAGTTACACAACATCTTTGAAACCGCTTCGCAAGCTCGAGAACAATATAAATTCACACTGTCAGAAATGTTATCTTATACTTTTAGAGCGTGGTAACGAGTTAAGGAAAGAGATAAATTACATCTCTTACAAGCTTGCAAAGTTTGATTTACCACGTGCATAGTGCACGACAATGTGTGGACGAGAGACTTTCGTTTGCTCGAAGGAAAATCGTCTTTCTCAAATTTTCATTTCAAATTACTGCCTTGCAGCTAACTATTCGCGTAGTTAGGTTTCGAATTAAGCGCTTTTGCAGCTGCTGGACGACAAGCCTCTCTTTCGTGGTGGTTCCCATTAACCCCTCCGTCGAGTCACATTTAGACCAAAAGCCAGCGAAAATTGCCGTGGAAAAGTGTTTTAATGTTCTTTTTGTTGAAATTTCTTGAAATTTTAATCATACAATTTTCCTCGCAAGCTCGTAAACTCACACGAATATAAGCTTGCACGGTCAAGCTCTGCCGTGTAAGCCACAATGCTCATTCGTCTTATTCGCTTCGTTCTTTTCAGCTATTTGCTAAAGTATAAGTTTCCCTACTATGACCTAATTACAGCGTTATTGGCCAAAGAGAGAGAGAGAGAGAGAGAGAGAGAGAGAGAGAGAGAGCTTTCGGCTATATAGCTGCGGTTTATCTATAGCAGCGCGCAAACGGAATAAGCCATAACGTAATCATAATACTTGAACTCGCGTATAATAACTAGCAGCTGCGAAAACTTGCTCTATTTTCCTCGTTCGCATGACCACACAATCGAATGAGAAAATTGCCGATGACCGAGCTCTTTCTTTTTTCGTAGACGTAGAATAAGGAAAACTGACTTAATTGACAAACCTGGCGCGAGCATTTTGTTTTTTTTCTTCTTTTTTCGTATGTGTGTTGGTAATGAGCAAATCGCTTAATGTCGGTGATCTACTAATATTAGAAGCTTTGGCTTTTGGCTAAAGAAAAAAGTGCGAGCGATCAACTACAGTCTGTCGCTTACTATAACCGTTAACCATTTTTTACTTTAGCTCGAGAAGAGAGAGAGAGAGAGAGAGAGAGAGAGAGAGAGAGATTTTCCGTGATCATATACGCAATCGAAACGAGCGCATGCCTACCTATAACAATATTATTTATCATTCAAGGCAATAGTGTTTTTTCATCCGCCCGGCTGTATCCTTTCATAAGCGAGCCATTAATTCCACCAACGAGTATCTTTTTTTTATCGTTGAAAAGAAACGATGCAATTGTTTTCCGGTTGATTTATTTCGCGAAATCGCAGCGTGAGTGTGCAGCTATAGCCGTCAGTTGCCTCCAACGTTAGCTTGCAAATAGAAAAGTGTACTGTTCGTAATTTAACTTAGCTCTGCCGTGTGTATTTTCTGCATAATGCTGTCGAATAAGTTAAGGAAACGTTGTCTCAACAGCATACGTGACGTTAAATTACAAATGTCATGAAAACCTACGTTCCACACGCAAATATATCAACATTAAGTCTCTGTAATTTTTATTGCAAAGTCGATTACCTAGACCGTGCAGTAGTTTTTTAAAACTGTAACCAACAAAATTTTGTTACACTCTTGCAGCTAAATCGAGTTTCTTTTTTGCAAAAAAGGTAGTTGAAAAAGAATTATCTTTCGTACATGTTACGAGTAACGGCATTCCGCCCACTAAAGTTATTACCTATTTTTCATTGATATGCACTGCAGTATACAAATGTAATATTTACCGAATTCTACCGTGAGAAAATATTTGTGACAGAAGTAATAAGGCCGAACATATCAGTCAAAATGAAAATTGATTTTCGCGCTGAGTCGTCGTTATTCGCGAGAAATGAAGTACGAGAATCTTACTCGAGAGATTAAAATTTTTTGACGGATATGAAGACAAAGCACGTACTTTCAACGTAAAGTATTAATATCAGCGATATTTCAATCTGGAAAAGTTTTTTCATCCAACAATTAGCTTTCACCGATATATTTTTCTTACGCTGCCTTTTCTCGGTCTCTCTTTTCCTCACGATACAAGTGGCGACCCTATTGACGTCAGACTTGGGGTAAAAACGAACGAACCTAATGAATAAACATTTGCTTGCATTTGAAATACTGGCCCTTTCAATATGCAGCAGAAATGCGAGATAAAAACATACTATAGTTTTCCTCTGAATAATTTCACAAAAGAGGCCGATTACGTCAAATAACCCAACATGATCAGTTATCTACGGTTTATCAATAGCAGCGCGCAAACGGAATAAGCCATAACGTAATCATAATACTCGAACTTGCATATAATAATGATCAGTTATTCCCTTAGTCTCTGGCTCGACGGAAGTCTCGTCAAATACATTCGAGTTTGGATATTAAATTTTGCAGACTGGAGCTATTCAAGAAAGTGCCGAACCTACGGATACTCGCCTGTGGTGGCGACGGTACGGTCGGTTGGGTATTATCAGTGCTAGATCAAATCGGTGTCACACCGGCACCAGCCGTCGGGACATTACCACTTGGTACTGGTAACGATCTGGCAAGAGCATTGGGTTGGGGCGGTGGTTACACGGATGAGCCAATCGGCAAGATTCTGGTGAGTTTAGCCGAGAGCGAAATCACCATTTTGGACAGATGGAAATTGGAAGTGGAAAGAAATCCCGAGGCTGCCGGTAACGACGAGGATGTGTCCAAAGGCAAGGAAAGCTTACCGCTCAACGTGGTCAACAACTACTTTAGTATGGGCGTGGACGCGCATATCGCTCTCGAGTTCCACGAGGCCAGAGGTCAGTACTGGAATGCATAATATGTCCTCCTCTCTCGAGCAATGTATATCTATAAGTATAAGTAATATGTATGCGCGGCAAAGAGAGAATGTGCTTTTTGATCAATATCAACAGCTGCTGCTACTGCACTTGGCCAAAATAGCCTGTAAAACTTGCAAGCAAATGGCTGAATATTTAGCGAGAAAGCATCCGTTTGAATGTATTCAAAGAGAGACATACCTTGTACTAATATTGCCGCGCGTACAAAAATTCCGAGGTTATCTATCTTTTGCGTGCCGACGTAAATAAGAGGATCTTGCGCACGAGCGACACATACCCCCGCTCTTCAAACTTCTTATGGGCGATTTTTTGTGCTCAATTCGGTCGGAAAAAGGAGGAGCTTTTCAAAGCAAATTCGATACTCCGCCTTGGGAAAGCAATCTTTTCTGAAATGAGAAATACTGCCTGAAAGCTAATCACTTAGAAGAGAATCGTGTGTTTCCAAAGTTAGACTGTATCACTTTCTTCGGACAGCAAAAGCTCAACTATACACGTAGATAACTGATCTTATTTCCGCGTAGGAATACCTAGCAATTTAAGCTCATGTAAAATTACAAGCTGCGCGTCGTGACCATTTAACTCTCGTAGAGCTAGCGTATTATGGCTTTCAAAAGTTTTGGAAAACAAAACCTCACGCTTGCTCTCCCGCTCGTTTCTCCTCTTCCTCCTCCTCCTCCTCCTCCTCCTCCTTATCCTTCTTCTTCTTTGCAAATAGCCTTGGGGCTCTTCGGCTATCTCATTATATAAGTCGAGAGACGAAATTTTTGCTTTTTTGCAAGCTCTGGCCTCGTAAAGCTACTAACAACAAACTAACAAACTATATCGCGAACGGTAATGGCTAAAGTGAGCTGGCTGAATTATTAAAACGATAACAGCCCACACATCTCTCGTTTACACCGAATTGAGAAGTTACTCTCGACTACAAGGCATATCAACAAGTTTGTTTTTTTTTCTCTTACAGAGGCTCATCCCGAACGATTTAACTCGAGGTTGCGCAACAAGATGTTTTACGGTCAAATGGGTGGTAAAGATTTGGTAGTGCGTCGATGGAAAGATCTCTCGGAATTCGTCACATTAGAGTGCGACGGGCAAGACATGACGGCTAAATTGAAGGAGCATCGTGTACACGCGATACTGTTTCTCAATATCGCGTCATATGGCGGCGGCACGCATCCGTGGGGCGGTGGTATTGGACGTGAACCAACCACAGAGGATGGCTTGATCGAAGTCGTCGGCTTGACCACGTATCAGTTGCCATTGCTGCAAGCTGGTGGACACGGTACTAGTATCGCCCAGTGTAGTACTGCTACTATCACCACCACAAGGACTATACCTATGCAGGTGTGTTGTATTATCATTGTTCCACCTAAAATTAGACTTTCGTGTAATTCCATTATTGATTGATCATTTGCATACAAGGCTTTTCTCTTTTTTTGACCATACTACAGCCGTCGAAAAATGTATCTGTATATGCGTACTTACACCTTGACGAGTAGTCGAGATCTTAAAGGAGTATAATGGATACGTAGCTTCCAATTGAGCGACGGCTTCCAACTGCTGTTGAGTCACACTGCAACAATATTCCGCATATTTTTAAATGTGTGTGCGAACGATAATGCGCGGAGAAAAAACGACGTTACCATATGCTCGATTCATTGTCAGAATTTGTAAATTTAGATTAAAATTTATTCAACATTGTTCCTCAAAAGATAACGTTATTTTCAATCATTAATTTCTCCATTTTTAAGCTCTGAAGGGTCACGAAATGTCAAACATTACTAAAGTAGACTACAATACATGTCCTGTCAAAATTACAAGCAATTCTCATTTTTAATTCTCTTGCTCGCCCTACTCCTTTGACAGTAAGTTCACCTACGTTGAAGATTGATGGTTAAAATATTCTAATTTGATTTTAATAGTTGAATAGCTTTCACCTCTGTCGTACTTTTTATGTGTGTTTTTTTTTAATCTATAAGTGTCGAGAGATTTTTCTAGAACTTTCGTGACTATTTATACGGAGCGCTGAAGTTTTTGTTACCACATATGGAGCATGTATTATTTCTTTTTTTTTGAAAAGAAAAAACGAAGGTTGGCAGTCACGCGATATTTAAGGAAGAGCAAAGTTCTTGAAAACTGTCGATGTTCGTTTTCAAGCGAAAATCGCCTCAAGAGTCTACATTGAAAAACCAGCTGAAAAACAAAGATAAAAAAAAAAGTGTATCTCTTTCAGTCTTTATAATATTTTGGGATTCTGACTAACATGTGAAAGTTAGAGAAATAATGGGCTGTCGTATGCGAATGAGAATGATCGAAAACCGATTTTAGCGTATAAGTAGGCTTCCGAATTGTAATATAAATAGCCATTGCACAATCCTGATACATGTTAATCACGTCGACTGGGCCGGGGGGGGGGGGGTAGGATTTAGCTGAATCTTATGTCCATGCTAATTAACAAATACACTTTGAAAATCGGATTCCACCCCTCGTGTTAAAAGTATCACGCTAACCCCACCAGTCACTAGCTCGCTAATGTAGGTGCAATAAAACGAACAGGTAGACGGAGAGGCGTGTCGACTGCTACCCTCAATCATCAAATTGAGCCTATTGAACAAAGCGACAATGTTGTCAAAACGACGAAATCCTGGCAAGCCAATGCAGAAGACTCAAGAATTGGAGAGGCTGAAGTTGCCACTGATGAGGATTCGCATGGTCGATTACGAGAACTTCCACTCTGACAAAGAAAGACTGACTAAGACTGCCACCCAATGGGCCACTGAACCGCTCGAGCTTGACGCTGCCATGGATCTCGAGTCGCTTAGGAAACAACTTGCTAAGGAGTATCCCATGGATAGTTGCTGCTTTCTCGATTGTGAGTTTTTTGTATTTTTTATTCGTCATCTTTGAACTAGTTGTTTCAACTACTGTTCGGCTACTATTATTTTTATTTCAATTCAACAAATTTGTGCGCTTTAGTTATGTTTTACAATCGTGAATTTTCGTTGTATATTCACTTGAAACTTATTAAAAAAAGAATTTCTAATTATTATTTTTAAATAGACGTTTCATTATTATATTTTCAGACATGTTTTATTTTCCGGCTATTGTTCAAACGAAAAATTCGCTTAATACAAGTACCACTTAGCCACGATGAAAACTTCTTTCCGCTGAGCCCATCACGTAGCTTTTAACAAAGAGAAGCATATTGCCGCTGCCAGCGCGGAATATCGTCCGCGTTAAACGTAGGAAAAGAACGCAGCCGCTGCAAATACGTTTTTATCTCTCGCTCGCGGGTTGCTCGTAACGATATCAAATTTTTTTTTGCGCTCACGCGATTCTCTCTGACATAAAAATAGAGGGTAATTTTTTTCCTGCGCGCAAATTTCAGCTTGCACGGCGGAACGGTTTTTCCGAATCGACCGAGCACAGGAGCAGTTGCATTACGTCACGGATGTCGTAAGCGAGGCCATCTACGTGCTTCAGGAAGGTCCTGCAAGCCAAAACTCGCAAACTCAGCAGTCTACTGATAATCAATCATCCAGGTAGAACTTTTATTTGACAAATGTGATGTCTTCCTCGCTCTGCCTCTCACTCTTTGTTTTTGCTATTTGCATGACGTCCTTTGCAAGCTTTTGCGGCAATCTGCACTGTTTATCGATAGCCAATATATGGAAATATTTATCAGCTTGCTGAAAGCTCCAATACCTTTGCGTGTGGTATATAGTTGACGCTTTTATCCGTAAGAGTTAGAGAGACTATAAAAATTGATATTTTTGTAGCGATTATACACGACACCTATAAATTGTGTATCGGTGATGCTGCCTAGCGATTAATTTTAGCTTTACGAGCGGATATCGCTGCTACGCTACATTATAACATCGCGATTTAATATCGAAACTATTAAAAGCCGTTCTGAAGCATATTTCTTTTCTAGCACTAAAGAAAATCAGTGCAAAAGTAATAAAGTTAATGTCCGCATCATAAAACGAACCAAATGAAAGGTACAAACCAACAGATCAATAAGTAAATAAAAAAACAACATAAAAATCAAAATAAAATCTTGTCCACGAGAATTCTTTCGATTAGTGTCATTCAACATGATAAAATATAGCTTTTTGGTGCTTCGCAATTGTTGCACTGAGAAACTACTTATTTTCAATTCGATGCATTTTACATGTATCCTTGGCGTTTTAGAGAAAACATGCTCTTTAGCGGCTTTTAGTGTCTCACTCATCCTTTCTTTAGTAGCACAACAACAGCGTCATACTTTCAGAAAAAGCTCGCGCGCGACTTTGCCACCAGGCAAGCCAACTTAAGGTAAAAAGTTGCGGGGTGGAAATTGGCCTTTGATATTTTAGCACGACCACGCTTAGCTAATCAGCTTACGCTAGTGAAACCGATTGTAGCGCGTCGTGAAAAGTTTACACTAGACTCGTGTACTTGACGTAAACATCCATAATGCATCTCCACGCGGCTCATTAACTTAGCGCCTATTGACAAGCATATGGCTCTTGTAACTTGGCGCAAAGATTTCAAGCTTCTTCTGCGTCACGACTCTCGAGAAAGTTATATTTGCATTTGCTCTTCACCCATCATTTACTAGAGCTTGTTGAGTATAAACACTTGCAACTAGTTAAGGATGAGAAAAACCTGAAACAAAGAGAGAATAGATACGCATGTTGCTGATCTTGAAAACAAACGAAACCCTCGTTTCTCGAACATGCTACGCTGTGTTTGTAAATGTGGACGTTCGAAATTGAAGAGTCGACCGGCGCAAAACATCCGCAGAAAAGAAGGCGACGCCGGCGACCAGTGCACACTCGACGGAGGGCAACAACAACATCAGCAACCGATACGAGTCTCGCGATGAGCAACAGCAACAGCCTCAGGCAAAGTCGCGCCAGCAGTCCAAGCGTTCTGACAACTACCTCAATTACGAGGATACAAGGCAACACGCTGCTGGTGGTACTTCGACCAAAGTTGGCTCCACTTCGTCCAAACATCATTCCCAACATTCGCATGCATCGACCGACCCACCGGCGCATCTTCATCACCCGGATCCACCTGCTTTCATCAGGTCAGCTTCTCTTCTCTTTTTTCTTTGTCTGCACTACGTAGTGTGGCGGTGACTTTATCGCGTTACGACTCGATCCTCTTGATGGGAAATTGCTCGATTTTCTCGCTCGATTCGCGCCCGATTTTCACTCTTGGCGATGGAAGAGAGCGAAAACAAAGTTAGCGATAGACGTCGGAAGTCTATACGTTATCGATTTTTCTCTATCGTTGCTTTCCTGTTCCTCTTTTCTGACTCGTTGAAAAATGTAACGCAAGCTGCGTCATGCAATATGAAAACTAATGGCGCGCTCTGTAACGAAAATATAGACTGATAGTAACGTCGGAATAGGACAATATTAGACTTTTATAAATTGAATGGCTCGACTTTATCTGCCTTTTGCCGCTAGGATCAAGCCGAGTTGTTCTTCCAGCTCGAAAAATTTGTCTCCATATCCGGCCAGCTGAAACTTGTGCAAAAGCAAAGTTTTTAAAAAATACATGCATTTTTCGAGATACAGACTTGGTCGCTTGGCTCTCGCTCTAAATTCAAATCTACTGTTGACTCTGCGAATTTGTTCGGACGCAAAGCTACGTTAACTTGTCTACGCAAATATGCATACTCAACTGAGTAACATAAATTTTTGTCGTATGGCTTAATCCAACAGTACACTCGAACTGTTTTTCCATCGGAAGCTAAATTCATGGACTTTAATGGCGCTCGTTTTCGCCTTACTTAATTATCAATAGCCTCGTCGGGAGCCAAAGTGGGTCGTCTGAATTATTGAGGCTCATTAGAGCACTCCTCGATTGACTCGTGTCTGCCTGCGCCTGCCGAACGGAATTTTGACTAGACAGGAGCTTGCTGCTGCTCGGGCTCGCGCTCGTCGTCTTTTATTCACGACGCTCCTCCCAAGAAATTGAATCATTACCGTGCTAACAATACAATCGTGTCCCTTCTGCAGCTTTTATCCGCTTAATCATTTTAATGGACTTTTAATCCAGCTGGCATTTACGAGGACTTTCAGTGTGCCTTTTGATTCGCACTCACTCGAATTACAGGCGTGATGTGCGCGATACGCTTGTACGATGGTAGTATGACTCAAGTATGACGCTACTGTTGACTTTGGCTTCTTATAACGCGAATAACGAACAACATTTTAGTTTGGTCCTGCGAAGCTTTGGGAAAAGGGTAAAACAGCAATATTTTTGCTTCGGACGTGCGGATGAACTGCAGTATTTTTAGCGTACAGCTCATTTTTCGATATAGACACCGCTAAAGTGACATGTGTCAAGGCAAAAATAACGACATTCGGACATTGGACCGTCAATGTTACATTTTCGATTGTTATTGAAATGTTTTTAATTGAACATTTCTTCATTTTTTTCTCTGTGAAATGTAGACGTAAGAACACGAATTGTCGAGAAGTGTCGCAGCATCGCAGCGTAAACAGCAAAATCCGATCGTTACTAATGCATGATAGTCGTATGTTTCCGTCGATACTTTTACACTATTTAGGTATTCGGCCGTAAATTTAGCTTCTATGACGTTGAAAGTTTCTATGGATAAGTTATTATTGCATGTCTGACGTCGAACGTAAGATACCTATCGTTGACATTTGTTACATTTGCATTTCCGAAATTTATCCACAGCGACAATGTAGGTCGATGACGTCAAAGCTTGGCATTGCGCTTCGCTTAAGAACTCTCTTGACACGGCAGATATAATAAAGGCGAATTTGGCCAGTTATTTTCATATGAACCTAGAAACAAACGGCAATACTTGACTGCCGAAGAATGTCTGTTTAAATGTTCTCTTTGCTCCTCTTCGCGATTTCAATTTCATAGTCGGACTCTGTACAATGCTATGAACGATTTAAATGATAAGTTGTCGTCTCTGAGCTCCCTTTTCCACCCATGTACTCAGTCGAACTTTAATCGAAGTAGAGCGTGCGCGTTCAACTGGAAAAAAGAAATAGCGCTCGATAGGCAAAGCAAAAGCTTCCGGAATATAAACTGCCAGATTTGGAAGTTTTGAAGCTAAAGCCCTGCCTCCTTCCCGGCTCAAGTATTAACGTGGAACACACTTTGGACGGATTACATTGCAGCCCCCGTGACAGACTGTTTGGTTTGAGTTCGGAAGTGCACGTATTCAGCACGGAGCTGTTGGAGAAGACGTCGGATGGCATTTTGCGCGCCGCTAAAGTTGGCGATTTGAACGGCTTGAAGCAATTGCACTCGCGTGGCTACTCGTTATTGTCGATCGATGCCACTGGTCAAACTGGACTGCATATTGCATCACGTCTCGGCCATAAGGATATCGTCAGGTATCTCATCGCTTGCGCTCCACCCTCTATACTCAACATCGTCGACAATGACAAGTGAGTTTTTATATACTCTTTTACGTGAAAAAGAAAGGAAGTTTTTCCCGGCTGTTGCTCGGGGAGACGGATAGCCAAATCAAAATCAGATCAATGTCTTTGTTCTCTTTGTTTTCGAACTATTTTCAGTGCCGACTTCGCGTAATGACGTCCGTCGAGTGAAATAAGATATGAAACGTTCGTTTCATTAGTCCGCAGCGAAAGACAAAGCTAATGACGGTGCGCTTGGATTAATGAAAGTGCCGCGCGTTGCTGTGGGGGCCTATTTTTTCGGTAGCCAATTCAGAAAGTGTATTAATCCTGGAAAAGAAGGCGCGTCGATACAGTGCCCTCGTTCAATTCGGTTCTTGCTTGTCGATGCTCTTGGCGCGGTTTTATAATTCACTGCGTCTTTTGCAGTGCTATTGTCGAGACACAATGCAATTGCTCAATTTATCAATCACGCGAGTCGAGCAGCAGCAGCGCGGATTTCGGAATTAAAACTAATCCAACGTACGCATTGATGTGTGTGCCCAGGGGTCAGACAGCGCTGCACAAAGCAGCGCAACAAAAACGCCGATCGATCTGCTGCATGCTGGTGGCCGGTGGGGCCAAGCTCACCGTGCGGGACCGCAACGGCAACACACCCCGGGAGTTGGCGCTGCAAGCCGAGGATCGCGACCTTGCCGCCTATCTTCACAGTAAGCTACCTGCTTCCGGCTTTTTTTGCAATCTCGTTTATCCTTGGGTTGGGTTTCTCATTTGGCTTACGTCCACTTGCACGTTAATTGTCCTTTAAGGCGCAGCGGACCTGCACCGCTCATTAGCCATTCTACTTAGTTTTTATTTGCCTTGAGCTTTTTGCGCCATATACCAAAGCTAATCGATTCACCTATTGATTTCCCACCGGTGTGTATCTCCTCCTCCGTTCTTATTTCTAAAGCTTTCTGTGTTCCTTTTTTCTCTGAATTAACGTTTGTTTGTCTTTATTTTGTTTTTATTTATATTTGACTCCGAGCTTATTTGGATAATTTGTAGACTCTATAGCAGCGCTTATAATTAATTAATTCATTAACTCAGTGAACTTTAAACGTTGTAAAATCTAATCTAATCTCTTGGTATATACGTATACTTTTCGCGGGAAACACGATGAGGCCTAATATGTATTAATCAACGTGAAATCAAATATTTCGTTTTCAATTAGCAATAGCTTGCTGAAATTTTATCATCATTGCAATTCATTATCATAATCAACAGAGATGGTTGTTGACCTGCAATTATCGCTATTCATTAAAACTTGGCTTTCTAATTCGGTTGAAAATTATTGGTTGCGACGACGACAATCATTAATTAAAATGCATTGAAATCATTCGACCGATTATTACGCGACCGTTTTGTGTATTGGATGCACGCTCAGTAATGCAATATTACGATATTAAAAATTCTGGATTACAAAATCGACATTATTGTGTTTTATTAAAACACATTTGTTCATTGATATGCGCTCTTTGCACACTTGGCTACAAGCATTTCTTTCCTCGTGGATATAATCATAATTCACGGTACTAGAGATCATTCAAAAAAGTTAATGAAAAGGAAAAGAAAAAATACAGTGATGAATTCCGAGAAGAGTTTTTGATAAATAATTTGACTTAGGCCAAGAGCAATTCCAACTGGTGACGGAGGACATGGACAACGTGGCATGACGCCGCGATGAGTACGCGTAACGAGACTACGACGATCATGGTAGGAGTGGTGGTGGTGGTGGTGACGTTGATGGTGGTAGTGGGCGCAATTCGATGAACGTACTCCCACCTTTTTAAAGCTGAAGAACACGTCGCAAGCCTTGATCCAACTTATAATAATACATACACACATTCTCTCTCTCTCTCTCTCCCTCTCTCTCACATACATACACGCGCGCGCGCGCGCGTTCTTCCCAGAGCAAAGCTGTTGCAAGCGAGGAAACATCAACGAGAATATATATCTTCTTTATTTTTTCCACCTCTTGTTCAAGAATATTCACCGGTATAACTCACACATTCGAATCACATATATTTCTTGATTGTACCGTCGTTATAATACAAAGTAATTTCGAGTTTGAACGATTCAACTTACTAAAATAAAAAATAAGGTTATATACATTAGTGAGCAGGGAAGAGATATCTTAAAGGAGTGTATAGAATCAATTTAATCAACAATCCTACAACGGATTTCAATATATCTTGTAATTCTCGAGCTAAGAAAGAAAGAAGAACGGCATAGAATGACATTTCGACGTGTTTATAATATTATTACTATTTCAAAAAGTAAGGTTACACACACATACACATATGTATATGTATATTATTAACTAACGTACGAGTGTGTAAGTAAAAGTGTCGAGTAGTAAAAAAATCATGAAATGAAAGTCTGGATAAAGAGATTAGCAAACAAAAAGTATATGAAAAATAAGAATAGGAAAACACTCGACTAAATGATGAGGAACATAAACAATTAAATTTATTACATTTATTATGATAATTATAATAGTAATAATCGAACAAATTCCTTTGTAATTGTGCGTCGGTGACGCCATCGTTTTATGGATGTTCCGTACCAATCCAAATATAATGACACATCGCTACCTTTAAAAAAGCAACAAATGGGCATGAGTAGTTTTTTAAACTAATTGGGATATCTTATTGAATCAAAAAAAAAGAATAAAGTAAAGGAGGGACGAAATTCAAATGTCAATTTGTATTTGTTGTAAAAAAAAACGAAAATTCGATTTGAAATTGGATACTAGCCCTACAAACGAGACGGTTATTTTCTTAAAAAAAGTAAAAGAAAAAAAAAACACAAATTGGAGTGGCAACCTAAAAATGAGATAAACGGACATAGGTGTTTATTTCAGTACCAATATGAAAAAGAGGGATCAACGTACGAACACCAATTAGCTATTAGAAGCGGTCTATCGCTGAAACTATACTATTATACTGCTATTGTTATATATACACATATAAGTATAATCTAATCTATCGTAATATCGACTCTATGATTAGGTCGTGTTTAAGCCTACTCGAAGAGTCTGTTTTTTGGCAAACGCGCGCGATGCTGTAAGATGAGAATGGTCCGCGTGATATTATTATTATTATTATTGCGTAATAGCTACACGACACATTCTTCCACCTATAAAATTTCTTGGTTTTCTTCCTTTTTTCCGTGTGTCGTTAATGTACAGATATAGAAGGGAGCAATTGTTGTAAGTACGTTCTTTTGTTCGTACAACTGTGTAGCTATACATCGTCATGTAAGACAAAGTAACTTACTGCAGATTGTTAGGTATCGTATAATGTTGAGCAAGGAGCATTAATGTACATTTTTTCCGGAGAGACACAAAAAATATTTCCTACATTCTTTAAACCTGTATTTTTACCGGTTCTTTCTTAAATTAAATTCGAATTTTCATGAATAACGAACAAAATAAAAAAGTATTTTTCAAGCGAAAACTAATCAAATTTTATCAGATTTTACTAAGTACAGTATTAATCACTTTACGCTACTTTAATTCCATATCATTATTAACGTAAGATATGAGACCGATCAAATTTGAAATTTATCGGGGGTTAATATTTTAAAGATTTATAATTATCAAAGATTTAAAGTCGTACAAAATACACCAACAAAAAAAATAATCGTTGTTACCTTGATACATTTTATACTATCACTACAATCTAGAAGAACAAATCTGACTTGAAAAGTTTAAGAATAAAAGTTTAAAAATAAAAGTTTAAAAATAAAAAATTTTACGACAAAAAGTATTTAAAAAAATGTTATTACTTATAACGAAACATTTAAATGGCTTTTTTTACAAACCACAATTATATATCGAATCTGACAATCTCCACGAATAAGTTCTTCTTTCTAAAATGAAAAATAAAGAAAAAAAGACAAAAAAGTAACAATCGTCGCGCTTCTTTTTACAATGGCCGTACGGTATATATATATATATTTAATAAGATTAAGTATCTTAGCCGATTACATATGTATATTGCATGCATGCCTATATACATACGACACACACAACTCTAGTTAAATTACAATTACGTCAATCGTTTAAATGAATTAGCAAGAGCCAAGGCACTAAAAAGGATTATCGACGACGAATCGAATACTCGTATTCGATTCGTCGTCATTAAAAAAAATTGACGAATAGAAAAATAATATTCCTAAGTACGCTAATATATACAAAACTACAGAAAAAGTATAAGTAAATAAATATAAATAAAAGAATAAAATAATGCCTTGTAAGGTTCAACAGCAAACTACGCGAACGAAAGCATATCGGCTATCGTGCGTACAAGTCGAAAGCACGTTATAATAGAGGATATTTAGGGATGCGAGTATATTGCGTGGGATAGTAGCGGGAGCAAGAAGTTCTAGTATAGAAATGCGCGCTATAAATATAAATCTACGTGTGTGCATTGTCGGAACACAACATTGCCTTCCTCTCAGATTTTAGAGAGCGAGACGTTGGCCTGCTGCGCGCCATCGGCGCATAAATATACAACGTATATAAGTATATATCTCTTTATGATTTAACGTTTTTGGAGCAATAATAATTCGGAGGACAATCAATTTGAAATGAGGGAAGGCCACCATACGCGAGCAGGTCGGCGTCGTTCTCTCTCGTAAGTATCTCTTTCACGCTGTAATATGGCGTCTGTCGTTGAGATTTTCATTGATTATATAAGATAAATATTACATATAATAAATACACTTGTATGTACGTTGTCTAATGGTAGATTATACGGAAGATGAATGATACGACGCATCACACAGGCGTTGCAACGAAAAGTTTTTGTGTCTTTGATTTGACGAACTCTTGATGTATTCGCGCGTGTTTTTAGGACAAAACGAATTCTAAATATAAAGAAGCTTTATCTCTAATTTGGGCCAGTATCTTAAAGTACACAACGATGATTGTTGGCGTAAGCCCCTCGCTTTTTCGAGAAAAAAGTCTATTGTAAATAAAACAAATGAAGGGTAAAGAATGAAAAATTCACGCTGCTCGCGAACACTTCACCTACTCATACGATACCCGTTCGCGACAACAAGAATTCCATAAATCGATAAAGGCATATAGGGCAAAGTACTAACGTATGTACAATGAACACTTATTTCTCTTTATTCTTTGGCTCTCTACGATTGAATTATTGTCGTTGGCTAATTAGGTATATACGCAGCCGTACTAATCGAGTGATTTAAATATAGATCGCGCACGGTCGAAATTTAAACAAGTCTTTAGGCAAATCAAGTCTTAGGATTAATGTACCTTGAGTGATCATATATCCTTATGCTCATTTCGATTATTAAACTCTTAATGAATTTAGATGGCCTCCGTACACGTGGATTAACTTCGAACTATAAATTTATATTTTAGGTACCTTTGACCTGCTCCTCGTAAAGAAAGTAGTCGTCAAACCGCTTTAAAAAGTTTTTTTTCAAACATTGTTCTTTCTTCCACTTAATGTTAGTTTATAAATGTCGCTGATAGACACTCATTCCTCTGCTGAGCATTTTTTTTTATTTTGTATATTTATGCTGATGATATTTTAATACTTACACCGCGATGTGTACATCTGACTTTGCGTCATAATAACGTAATGAGAGTTTCCAATAAAGTTGATCTATACATTTTGTTAATATCATTATAGCGACTGTTAGCTATTAGAGTGTGTATAATAATAATAGTAATACAAGGGACGAGGAAAAACAATCTTATGTTATGTATAGGGAGTTTGTAAATGATACAACACGAAGTCGTTAGTAAATGTTACATGCAAAAAAACTTCCTAATGTAACAATGTAAAGTGTTAGATCTTTTTAAATATTCTTAATTTCTTATATTTATCATCTTAACTAACTTAACATCCACTGTGATATTTACCTTTACTTTATTGCTTTTCGAATTTCGTTGGAGCTCGCTCAGAATCAAAACAGACTTCGGTTATTTTGCGAAATATAGAAAAGTGAAAAAGGAAAACATAATACGAGTGGTTGTGAAAAATTTTAAAGTAAACAATTATAGACAGCCATGAGTAAATAGGTGGAGCGAGTTCCTAATGTTAAAACGTGAGAAAGACAGCAATTTTTACGTAAAACTTCAACAGATAAACACCAAAGTATTAAAAGACGAAAACAAGTAGCAAAGTATATTAAAGAAAAAAAAAAAAAAAAGAAAGCGTCGAAAGAACCATGTTTATTCGTACTACGGTACTGACGCAAATCTTCTGTGCAAAGAGCTAAAAAAAAGTAACAGTAACACAAGCTTATTCGGTACATGCGTACGTATCTTCCTTAAGAAATTAATTTACCATTGCTGTTTGTATGTACTATAATCTTTTTAGAAAGCGCGAATCTTAATTTTTTTGACAAACGGACGAAAAAAAAAGAATTTATTCACAATATATCTTGCCATCATTATAACTAAATGAATACATTTTTGTAACAGTTCCCTATTGTATATAAACATGAGTCGAAAACAATTAGAGTTATCAAACTATATTACTGGAGAAGATATAAAAGAAAATAAATATGAACCTTTCAGGAAAATTACTTTCCTCGTGAAATCTTTGTTCTTCCACGTTCGGTATTCTTTTATAATGAAAAAATTGCGTTCTGACGCAGAGACATGTGCTTTCTTCCCGTGTGATATGATTACTTCTGACATGTAATGTAATGAGCTATGCGATCTATCCCTTCGCAACGAATCATTTTTTTTATCCAGTTCGAATATTGTTGATATAGGTTTATCTGTCATTATATAATTTTCTTCTTAGTAAGACTGTAAGTATCAAAATTATCATTGTTATATTGTTGTTACCTCTGTTATTTAAGATCACTCCTGATATCTACTTGAGTTATTAATGCTGTATAAGTTTTTTCTCATATTAATGTTTTCGATTCTCCTCCTACACATTATGAAATTCAGCGTGTTTATGTGTATGATACGTAAAAACTTCTCTTTATATATTTGTTTATTTACTAAGAGTTACAATTACTAGTCAAAAAATCAAGTGTAAAGAATATCAAATGTTGTTGATTTAAGGGGCTGCTAATGCATAAAATAAATGTATGAAAACAAAAATTTCTTTCAATAAATTTCAACGAAGCCCTTTGTTCTCTGATTCCAACAGTTTCCATTGTATCTAAATAATATAAGGCACTCAAAGAGAATGGCTATAAATTATTGAATATCGTACATACTACTTATTTTATATGTTATTCTTTAGATGAAATACAACGAAATCCTTAATGTATAGTATCTGAGACTGCTAATTATTCTAAATTTTACTATTCTTTCGACTTATGATGTATGGTATATTATATATATTTTTCAAAATTCTTTTATAGAGATAGAAGTGCGAATTTTTCGTTCTTATTGGTCGAATCGCTTGGGCGTATTGTGTTTGTAGCCCCTTAACACTTTGAAAATATCATGAAAAAAGGAGTAAGTTTAAGCTTAATATTGCTGCAAGCATCGTCGTTATATTATTGTAGTGTAAGAACTGACTATTTTAATATAAATCATTCTCACTACAAAGGAATTTGTACAGTAGCTGAGAAAAAATGTTCGAGCGAGATATTGATTGAGTAGAAAGATAAAGTAATCAAGAAAAAAAACCACTTAACTCTCCTCATTTAAAAATTACAAATAATTATGATGAAAATACAAAATATAACGAAGAAAAATATGTGATTTGGTAATAATTAATTATCATATCTTATTTGAAAGCTGCAGTAATATACGACAGCGGCACAGGACCAATAAAATTGTTAAAAACAAAACGGTGTTGAATTTCATAAAAAAAAAAGTTTAGAGAGCCAATCTATTTATTAATTAAATAACATACTTTTTAAGCACCTCTCGGTAAGTTTCGCTACCAAACAATCATCTATGATAATAGTACTTATATTTTAATATAATATCCTGAAAATTTTGACGTCGTTCAGACAATTCTTACCGAGTTGTGCAAGAATATAGCATTATGTTTAAAGGAGATGTCACACACAATCTAAACTTTATTGTAATTCATAACAGTAATTCAATCATTATATCATTTCCTCGATAAAGGCAAAGGTAAAATGATTTTACTTTCTAGATTTAATTTTATGACAAATAAAGCACTTTACTACAGCAGTTTCTTTCTTGTTTTCTCCTCCAATATCCTAGAAAAAATTATTTAATAATTAATTTAAATATTCCATAATCCGTTTCTTTATAATATATATCTAAAAGTAGAAACATTACGTTTATATAGTATTTACTATATTTCAAAAATATTACGTAACACTGTCTATATACAAATACAGTGAAATAAATGATTATCGAATAATAACAAAGATGTTAAAGCCAGAGGAAATAGAGATGAAAATTGGAATTTTAAATATTCAAACATATTCCCTTTATTTCGACCCTCCTTTAGCAAATAAGAGATAAGAAGAGTACTATCTGTTCAGATGAGAGATAAGTTTAAATATACGGTGATAATTCACGAGAAAGAACGCAAACAGAAACTTGCATTGTTTTGTCAATGTATAGATAAAACGATAGTCATAGTCCCGTCTATAAATTATGCTGTAATGGTTTCCTTATTTATTTAAATACTCATGAAAGATGTATCAAACATTAGATTTACAATATTTCTATTCTAAATTGTAGTTACGAATCAAATAATAAATGTAAAAATATCTATAATTCAATATCACTAGCCAAATGTGTACAATTATTATGAAATTTGTACAGCTTTCATTTAAAAATTGTCTTATGTAAGTATAACTCAGATTACATTAATAGACCGTATGAAAACTCGATCAAAATATGACTACCTATACGTATCGATAACATTATCGTTACATGGAATAAGATTTTCTATGACCTATAAAAATATGGATATCTCATTTCTGATTTTTAATATAAATAAGTATGAAAATAGTAATAGTAGTTGCTATTACTTGTTTCAGTGAAGTTTGTTGCCAGTACATTTTTACACAAATGTCGAACATTTACTTTTAAGCTTTATGTAATGCGTCTACTTGACGGAGCAGCTCACTTTTCATTCGGCACTGAAGTCTAATAGTACGAAATTTGTGCTCTCATAGTATTAATTTAGTGCTTTGAATACACAATGTTGATGACTCTTATTTTGTCATTTTTATTATTATTTATATTGTATGATTGGGCATGGAGAACATTCAGTAAAAATGGAAAATTAATAAGTCAAATTCCTGGACCACCATCATATCCAATTTTTGGAAATTTGTTCTCATTTAATTTTCCTTCTGGTAAGTAGAATGTTTAATATTTTTCGTTCACCGATATAATTGTTTAAAAAATTTATTTACTATACTTATCATTTTTGTAAATTTATTATGACAGTTATAATATAATTTAATATCGTTTTAAAACATTACAACGTTTCAATTCATGTGGGAAAAGAAAGATCTTTATTATAAATATAATTTTACGAATGAATAAAAATAGTTTTCGAATTAAGATAATACTTGATTTAAAAAAACTAATTCTATTTTTTAACATTTATTCTAACTTGCGGCATAAAAGTTTGATATAAATGGCACAATATTGTTTTCCCACAAGTACCCTTAATATATTTACAGAACTTTAAAAGTTTATAATAAAACACTTGAATACTGAGTTAAATTATTTATAACTTTTAAAAAAATATAGATTCTCACGTTAATCAGCTTATAAATACCAAATAGCATAAGTACTATAAAAGTTCATTTTACAAATAACTCAAATATCGGTTATCATTGGCAGCGTATGATTAATTTGTGTGTAATAGAGAAAAAAAGTACCGTGCAATAAACTAAAACATAACGCAAGCAGCGATATTCTGGAATTCCGATTTTTCATAAGAAATTTCAAAGAATTACTGATTTTTCTGGAATCGCCCGATTTAATCAAAACCACTTGTTACGTAATTCGTAACTAATGAAAAACTACGTTCCGATACTAACAACCCGGTTTTCTCTATGAAGAGATTCCCGGATAACAGGCTTTTTGCTCAGATGTCAATTAACTTTTTCTCTTTAAATAATTGTTTCTAGAAAAACTTTGGAACGAGGTACGGAATTTTTCGAATAAATATTACCCAATATTTAAAATATGGGGTCTTTCAAAAGCGACAATTATAATTCGACATCCAAATGATATCAAGGTACTAATTATCTTGCGAAATGATAACTCAACTCTTAACTTTATAGGTTCAATTATAAAGCATAAAGCTACTATATTTTCATATAGGTTATTGTAACGAGCAGGAAAAATACATATAAAAGCACCATAGGATACGATATATTAAGAAATACTGGAAATAACGGTATATTTGTATCGATTGGTAATAAAAATGTATATTTATGTTTAATAATTTTAAAGCTAAGTGACTGTATAACAATACGTATTTTCTAGATGAACTTTGGCAACGACGTCACAAAATGTTAGTACAAGCTTTCACCACGACTTGCTTAGAAAAATACGCTGCGAAATTTGGTAAACGCGCAAAGAATTTATCTGACAAACTTCGTTCTCAGGGAGAAAGCGTTGTGAAGAATATTACACCTATGTTTTTAGATTGTGCCTTTGAAGCTGTTTGTGGTAGGTTGATAAATTTCACATTTCCAAATAAATTAGTAACAAATTTAAGTTTACATGTTGTAGATACAATGGATTTCGATATTGATACTATGCCAGTTAATAAAGAAAACTTTCAAAAAGCTATAGCAGGCTTTCATAAAATATTTGTTTATAGGTAAAGTATTACAGTGTTATTAATGTAATGTAATGTAAGCGAAACATTTATATAAACTCTTGTGGCTTGAAATATTTTGTTTATCGTGATTCCACCTTCTACCCTTTACCTTTTTCAATCTTCTACTTTTTCTATATTTCAAAACAGAGGTAGTAAATATATTAACTTAACAAAATAAATAACGTTTATTAACAGAAGACATACATATAATACATATTTTACTCACTATGTCGAATTGAGATAATCTATTAAATTAATAGCACATTTACATGATCTCATCAACAAAACCTATGCTTTTAATTTTATCTATAAAGTATTGGGAGACCTTACGTATTGAATTGGATGTTGAAATATGTACCGCTTGGGCGACTTATAGACCGAATAAATAAAGTATTCGATGACTTTAAATGGAAGGTAAATTAGTTCATTTTTTATGACTGAATAATAATTATTAAAATGCACTAACAATGAAGTATTCGATGATTCTTCTATTATATCATAGGTGAGTAGAGAGCGTCGACTATTCCATGAGCAAACTGACTACACTTATCTCCAAAATAATTCAGATAATAAGATGAACGAGGGTGATACGAAAAGTAAGGGTATTGCAATTATCACGTAAAACATAATTATTTTTTACTATTTAAATGTTTTTGTATTTTAGAAGTGAAGAAAGCTTTAGGTGTACTAGACTTATTGTTGCTAGCTGAAAAAGAAGGCCAAATTGATGAAATAGGCGTGTGTGAGGAATTTTTGACTATGATCACAGCGGTGAACACTATTTTTTTACATAATATGAAAGTTTTTTAAATTAGTTTTCTGTAAACGAGTGAATAAAATTTTGTATAGGGTTTCGAAACAACAGGTATGACGATCTGCTATTTGTTAACTTTACTAGCAGAAAATAAAGAAGCACAGGTAAATCATCGTTGCGTTAGTTATATCTTAGCCGAGTAAATATTTTCTAATAAAGTACATTTGTTATCAGAATTTGGCTAGAACTGAAGTACGCGAAGTCTTGGGTGATTATACTGGTCCTTTGACAATGGAACACCTGAAAAAGATGGACTACCTTGGACGTTGTGTAAAAGAATCATTGCGAATACTTCCCACCGTGCCACTTTTTGCTCGTTTGATAAGCGACGAAGTAGAACTAAGTAAAATAAACAAAAAATATAATTATACTACTATCTTTTCTTATTAAGCTCGATCAATATTACAGTTAAGTGAAAGAAATGATTACTAGCACTTTTTTATAGGTAATTACCGAATTCCACCGGGATCAGAAGTAGTGGTCAGTGTCTTCGATGTTCATAGGGATCCTCAATTTTGGCCAGAGCCAGAAAAGTTTGACCCAGACAGATTTTTATCGGACAATTTAAAAAATCAACATCCTTTTGCATATATACCTTTCAGCGGCGGAATGCGCTCATGTATCGGTAAGAATATAAAAATGTAGTTGCTCTACCAGTATGTTAAACGAGGCAGTTACGATGACATAACGCGATTAAATCAGTTAATGAAAATATAGGTTAAAATGTTTATTTTTTCTATTAAACTGTGAAGTATGATCATATACATGGTATTAAACTAGATTTTGCATATACCTTTTTGATACGTTCGCGATATGATTAAGGCATTCGCATCAATATCTCATTTTTAATTTATTCAATACTTCGTGAAACTGAATAAGTTTGTTTAATTTAGAATGAATATATAGTCGAAGTTGACTTAATATTATAACGTTTCCTATTTTTATATACAGGACAAAAATTTGCTTTGTTGGAAGTGAAAACTGTGACCGCTCAAATCCTGCGCGACTTTTACTTGGAACCTATTGATGCTAGCAAAGACTTCAAGTTTTTAATGAGTATAACATTAAAAGTTGACGATCTTCATTTGAAATTTATTAAAATTAATAGCTAATAAATTATTTTATTGATCTTATAATAACACTTGAAACTATTGTGATTTTCAAAATATTTGCAAAATCGAATTTCATATCTTTGATTTCGCATTTTTTACTATCATATTTTACATTTAAAAAGCTAGATATTAGTTATCAACACAATAACCCTGAAGCTGATGAATAGCAATATTCTGTATTCCAAGTATTTTTTTAAGAAAATAATTAAAAATATTTATCAATAAAATTAATCAATTTAAATTCTATTAAATTATAAATTATTTTCAAGAAGTTTAGAAAAATAATTATATGTATACATACATTGACGTAACTTTCTAGTGAATAAATAAATGGTATGATTCTAGCACAATTACAAATAATTTATAATAGTTTGTTCAATATTTAATAAATTTAATAAACGCCTTCACATAAAAATACAACTTTTCGCTAAAAATGTAATCCTTTTGATTAAAATCGTAAATGAAAACTGATACCCCGCTGATGCCAGATATCTTGCTGCTCGCGGGTATAGGGTACAGGGAGTGCGCATATTAGATGATTCTTAAACGAGTCTGTATAGACAGGTACGCTTAAGGCACATAGATCACTCGTTAACTCCACATCGTTTTCACTTTCATCGTCATTTTCATCGGGAATATCATCAACAAAGGCAATGAGACACGGAGGTGCTGTTATCGCCGAACTTGCATTTGCAGTCACTTCGTCTAGAATACCATTGTCTATTCGTGCACCTAAAATGAATATTACATTTTTCACTTATATTCCAACATTTTTAGATAATGTCATCATCCTTACCGGTCAAAAGAAGTCCTTGAACAAGTACAGATATCCTCCAACTACCCTCTTTATCAGTTTCACTCGTCCATTTAATTTTCAATCGTAAGTTTTCGAAAGCTTTGCCTGTTTGTCGCGCGGTGTGCTGTTTGAGAGCTGAGAAAAAAGCATCAGGCCGAGCGAACCACGATAACTCCACTTTACTTGGCAAACCACTTAACGTCATAAGTGATTGATACCTCGATACTAATTTATTCACAAATGGAATGGTTTCCTGAGGTCCTGAATTCCATTGTACAATCCATGTTTTAGGAGTCTGCATGTGGAATATAGATAAAAGCTTTTCGTCTTTCAAAAAGTAAAAATTCAAAAAAATTTAATTCAAAGAGGAAGATAAATTACGTACCTTTAGGTCATCGGATGATCGCAGACTATCAAGATCTGATCTAACCATTTGTAGTAACTGTCTTGTAGTATTAATCTCGTCGCTGAAGAATCGCCTTAGAGGGTCTTGTTCTTTATCTTTCGACGTACTTTTCGGGTCGTCGATTCTTTGTTGATCTATCATGAGTTTCAACTCTCTAATAGTTTTCGACATCGATGGGGAAACTCTTCCATCGGAGTTTTCTTTACTAATTTTTATCGTTCTCCTGGATATTTCTAAAAAAAATTAACAAATCATAATATGTTAATTGTATTCACTCTCCATAACTATCAGTAAATTAAAAAAAAACTATAAAATAAAACTTCAAACTTATTCTTTGTAAGTATGGTTATCTCACCTCTGAGATATCGCAAACTCAATTCAGCTGCCGACTTTTCCCAAGCCCTATGGGCATTAGCTGGTAAACCAAAGTACATTTGAATTGGATCAGTATCATCCAATCTATCGGTCAAAGTCAAAGGGTTTTCAGATGCAGCTTTTGGTACGCTAAGGATTCCTCCAAGTTTGCGTCGACCGAGATATACATCTTTAGACCAAGTATGCTTGAGTATAGCTCGTAGAATTCTCATGTCATATTCATCTTGCAATAATCCTCCATAAACCGCTACATCAAGAATACCTCGATCGGCTTCCCAATCATCGTCTAATTGATTCATTGCTATGTATTTCTGAATTACCAATTCACAGGCTGCTTCAAGATCTGCCTCACTCCATGCGTAAGCTTTGATCCAGCTTTGAGGTACAAACCTTTATGACGAAAAAAAAATTTTTGAGTTAAAATTAAAAATCATATGCATCGAATGAAACTTACTTTCTTCTCTCTTGAAGTGTAGCATGGAGCCATGAAATCATCAATGACTTGCCAGCATTCTGAATAGGAGGTTCCCGCTGTTGTAACTGCTGTAAGGAGCGTTTGATATTGCGTTTCACGCCTTCTGGTGGTTCGTATGCTAGTTTAAGACACAATCCTGAAAGTCCTGGATAGAATCCCGAACATTCTTCTGTGCTTAACCAAATTCTGGTATTTGGATTTTTGTGAGTTGTGCAGCTTGGTGAACGTAATAAAGCTTCAAGACGCGGTAACCAGTTTAAAGCGAGTTGTAGATTGCTCAAAAGAATCCAACTTCCTTGCCTGTATTATATGATATATTAAAGTGCGGTATATTAGTAAGCAAATAAAGATAATATTATTCTTACTTGCAAGCTAATTCTAAAGCAGATTCAGCTTGTCCGACATGGTCTTGACCTAGAGATACTTCGACGAATCCGTGGGCTAAGACTATCTGATTAGCAATCAAACTACTTAATTCTAGTTCTGGATCTGCTCCAGGCGATAATAATAGTAATATTGGTTTCTCTGCATTTTCTTCGGCTATCTGCTTCAAAGTCCATGAAGGTGGCGTTAGATTCCGAACTCCTAAATAGTATTTCAATGAATGTTTTTCAAAATCATAAAAATATTAAGAAAGAAATTATACTTACCGAGTTGCTGAGAGGCCCATTTTGATAGAGTTGTATGCAAGTGTTCAGGATGGAGAGCTTGAATGACTAGAATCTTTTCGAAATTATTTAAATTGTTCTCCGCATAAACACTAACAATGTTATTAACCCAGCTGGATTTCAATTTTTGCGCTATCTAAATGTTAAATTTGTAATAAATAACCTGAATATTTTTTATTTGAAAAATGGATTAGGCTTCTTAATTACCGTAGGTATCGTCGTAATGAGACTCCTAACAGCGGATTTCTGCTCAGACGAAATAAAATCAGGTAAATCAAATTCCAAACCAACGTGCATGCCTTCCCCGCTCATTAGTAGACTACGCTGCTCATCTGGTATCGAGTTCAGCGATATCGCTAGATGAAGGGCCATGGGTAAACGATGTTTTCTGTACGCTGCTCTTATGCAATGGTGCAATGTCAGTGACGTGACACTGAAATATTTTTAAATAAAGTAATAATGTACAATGTTTCATTTAATGAAAGAATCCACTTACGTTTTCTCTAGTGTCTTCTCACGCTCGTCTTTTCCAAGCCTAAATCTAGATCTTTCTGCTTCCAAAAATATTTCCGTAATTGTCTCTGTGGTAAAAACATAAAGCGAACTCAAAGCAGAAAACGACCTAACGAACTTATACATAATTGCCGTGAATATAGCGAGCCTTTCGTGCTCTTTGCTTCGTTTATTGATATTTTCAAGATCACGCCGACTCTCTTCAAGAGCTTTAGCAATTTCTTTGGCTTTCGACTGAGTTAATTCAAGAGTAGCGAGTAATCCAGCACCATCGCTTCGCGATTCCTGAAGGATATCTTGGCCACGGGCTTCACCCAGCTGAACAAGAAGCTCTAAGCGAGCAGCTTCAATTTCACCGGACAATTGTTCTTCGCGTTCAAGGGCTTCTTTGCGTCTCATCTCGATCTCCGGGGTCTCTTGTAAGATAGCTTTTATGACTAGTCGTTCTGTTAAGCTTCTACTTCCAATGCCTAGACTGATTTTCACTAACGTCGCATCAGCTTCACTTGGTAACTTGTTTGTTAAACTGTCTTGCCTCGTTGCCAAAAATAATTGAAATCCTTGCTGAGCTGGTAGGCTTTTATCTCCAATTCTTAATGGTCTTTTTCTGAGCAATGGCAAGAGTATAGTTGGTAGTTCGATAATTTCTTCTACAAGAAGTGGTTTGCCAAATCTCACTGCTAACTCGACACTAGTAAGGAAACGAGAGTCTTCAGGTCTAGTAATTTCTATTCGCGTTTCACCAATGTTAAATCTTAACCAATTCACCGCTACACCCAAAGGATCTAAGAAGAGAGGTACTAAATTGCCTCTTATTGCTCGTGCTGCACCGATGAAACTTTCTGTATCGACAGGTAAGCCTTGTGTTCGCCATTGTAATTTGTCGCGTTCAGTTATTAATAGATCGATCGTGTGTTTTCGTTTTTCATCGTTCTTTGTTGCTGGATTCTAAAGTTATAATGTTGCTCAATTATTTGGATAAATTTGATATTTACGTTGATCATACCTGGTAAATAAGTAATGTAGCTAAGGTTGCCGCTTCGACGTCAATTTTACTATTTCTTTCGGTCAATGTCTGGAATTGTCCTCGCCAATCGCTATGCTCAGCATCAAGTTTACTAAGTAATGAACGAGCTGAATTGAGACTTGCTTCAGTTGCCTCCATACGTAACTGAAGCTCAGCTGCACCTCGAGTGTGAGCTGCAAGCTCTTCTTGCAGGTGAGCTACTTTACTTTCAACAGTGTTTAGGCCAGACTCTAATTTGCCGATTTGTGCTTCAGCAGCAGCAAGTCGACTGTGAGAAAACGCTTATGATAAACTACAACAGCTTGACCAATTATTGTTACCAATAATATACTAAAAACTTACTCAGTGAGTACTCGCTGTTCTCTCTCCAATGGCGCGACCTGTTGTAATATTTGTCCATATTGCAAATTCGCCAATACCCAAGCAGCCAAAGGTGCAGCAGCAACAGATGCTCTCTTGGCAGTTTTCTCATCGAAACTTTCTGGCCTTTCTTTAATTAACTTAGCAACGGCGTCAAGACTCGTCGGCGAGCTACGTCGTGCATCCCAATTACGTATCTCCTCTTTAACCCCGCGCTTTGCTAGGAAAGTCTTCATACTATTCCACGAGGTATCGCGAATACCCATTAACCTTAGTACTCCCTCGAGAACATCACGTACCGCAGCAGGTGGTGCTCGTAGAGAGCGAACTTCTGATAAAGCATCCGAACTAATATTCGCAACTGCCTGCGATGCTTGCTCAACTAGTGGTTCAACGCTGCCAAGTTCGCTCTCGATGTCAGCTTTACGACGAGCAAGTTCGATACTTTCACGCTCCGTTTCACTTTTCAACGATGCCATTTCAGTTCTTTGACCGGTTGCTCCACGCATTGTCGCTGTTATTTGTTCGAGTGCTGCGTTTGCTTTACCTTTTTCGATCTACAACGTAAATACATTTAGTTTTACAAGAGCCTCTATTAATATTTTTTTGAGGTACCTCGAGCTCTCGCCTCTGCTTCGAAGCATCTTCTTCAAGTTTAGCAACTCGATCGCCTGCTTCTTTTAGTCTCTCGATACCCGCCTCTAAATGCTTCAATTTTGCTGTTATATCATTAATCCAACTTTCTCTCAACTCCTTCCACTTATTCAGCAATGCAAGGAATCTTGCCGGTGCTTGCTGTTGAATTGGAGCATTAATGTGCGCCTGTACAACTTCAACCACGCCGCTCGCGACGTCTGTCGTGACTTTCGCTGGATCTTTGTACAGGCTTGCTAACTCAATCAATGAACTTTCCGATAGCCACCATTCGTTTCCTAAGTTTTGGCCAGTGGTTTGAATGCAGTAAAGAAGAAGATTTGATTGGCAGAACCAAGCTTCTTTTAGGTCGTTCAAATCGACGATAAGGACCACCTTTAAGTATTTTCTTAAACCTAAGAAGAATAATGTTACTAATATTTTTTAGTATAAAAGAGATTACATATTAATTTGAAAACTCACGATAATACAAGAACTGTTCTAAGCTCCCAGGAAATTCTTCTCTAGCAGCCAAATCGGAAAGTGGTGCAATAAGACCATCAAGTTCTTCCGTCGTGTACAGACCTGGTACTTCACCATTAGCAATAATCCCACTGATTAAAATAGCAAAATCATCTTCACGAAGATGGTGTTCTTCAAGCAATAGAATCGTCCATTCACCCTCAATACCAGCTGCTTGAACTGCTGATTTTACAGCTGATTTACCCTTACCAGGTGCCGAATCAATGAGTTTCAAACATGAAATAATGGAAACAATCTTTGTTGCCGACTTTCTAGCCGCTCCCGGGCGACCAGTTAAAAGTATGCCCCTTTGCTCACAACCGAATCCCCAACTTATACCTGCTGTTATTTCCATTAAGTAAGAGAAAATATTTGTTGACATTGTATCTCCTTCACGAATGCACCTTGTTATCGCATTTTCAAGATCTGCTTTCCAATGAGCGTTAGATAATATTGTTAAGCCATTGTTAGCACCTTTCCACACGTAAACGTTGTCTCCTAAATTAGTGCGAGATGTTGTACGAGAATTCACTATTGTTTCCAAACGTTTTTGTTGTTTTAGTTGTAATCTAAAAAAATCATAATTTTTATTAAACTTGTCATGAAATTAAGTTAACGCGCAAAGCTTACTTTGGTCTAAAAAGTCGACGTGAAGCATCAATCAAATAGCCTGTGATATTACCCTCGGTGTCTGTTTCAGGATAATATTTCAACAAATCAATCCAGGTCATCAAATCTCTCGGCGTCCACTTTACTTTTGACATGTCATTTGTAATTTCGTTGAAAGCTTCAACTATAGCTGGAGACATTTTTGATATCCATGCTCTGACTACCATTTGGTCACTCTTTAGAGATTCTCTTAAATGTAAGTCAACAATTACGTCTAGGTCCTTAAGTTTGATAGACCTGAAAGTATTACATAGATTCATTGATTAAAAGAAATTAATATGATATTTATAGCATAATTTTTCTTTACGGCAAGTAAAGCGTGGCCAATAAAGAATCTAATCTTGGATGTAACTTTGTTGATAAATCTCCCGTTGTCAGTATAGTTAAAGGTATTTTCGCGAATTCTAAATCATCTTCGTAAAAACCACCTTCTTGAATTAACTGCCTTATTAATTCTTGCAAATTCTGCGAAGCTAAGTGTAAATCTTCGACAACTAAAATTATACGAGATCCATTTTTTGATCGGTATTGCCTACTACCAGCTGATGAATCTAATTTAATGCAAGATCTTTTCAATCTAGTTATAAGATCTTTAGATCCATATAATGATGAACTCTTTATGATTAAAATAGCTTCGTCTGTTTCGTTTTTCAACGAGGTGATTACCACGTTTAATAATGCATTTTTTCCGCAACCTGTTGGTCCTCGAAGTATCACTGGTAATCTGAATTTAATCCATGGTAATATTGCATTCATTCCCCTTTGCATTGATCCTAAAATTGTCATTTGTTTGTGATAATGATTATATGAGTGCAAAATAAATTATATTATAAATTTACCTGATAGATAAACAGATCCTTCTTCTGTTTTTATAATTGTTACTTCGTTAGTGAAAGAATCTAGAATATCTTTTTGCTTATTATAGACAACATCGCAAGGATTATTTGAATCCGGACACCTATGTTATCAAATAAAAATTATTTTTAAAAGAATAAATTTACATTCACACCATTAAATAGAGTGGTTACCAAACGCCAGTAAGATGATAAATTTTTCGTGCTAAATCGTCACGTGAAGTGTGATCTTTAATTTGACTACAAACTGAAGCTAATAAGGCTTGAGTACAACTGGCCTGGGTACTAGCAATTTGAAAATGTACTAGTGCTGCTTTTAACAATCCCGATGCAGATTTTTGATCTTTCTTTGCTTTTAACACTTGTTCTATTATGTCACTCAGATGAGTCATTATAGTATCTATTGCTATAGATGTAAAATCCTTCAGAAATGAAGGATTCAATAAAACGGACGAGTCAAATTCTCGAAGGAATACGATCCCTAATCGAGATACAGTTGCTGGACTTGCTCCTGATAGTTTATGCGACTCGAATATGAGTCTAAAATTTGAGATTCAAAGATTTCAAAACTCACGTTATCTCAATGATTATAAGAAATATATTAAGAAATAAATAGTAACTACCTTGTATCATTACGAAGTTTTATACCCACACCATTAGGTAGTGTAAGAATACGATTGTCATCCAAAGCAGAGTTAAGAGCCTCCGCCCATTCTGGTTCCACATCACCATTGAGAACAATCCATAAAGGTTTATCCTCCGAGTTCGAAATAATGTTTGACATCAAACCTTCCTTTAATTCTCTAAAACCATGGAAAATATCTTTTCAAATTTTATTTTCAAAAAAATTAAATAATATTTTGAATAGATATTGGACCTTGTTTGAGAATCCACACTACCAAGTAATTTCGATTTTGAAATAGCTCCCGGATATACTTGATACAACTTCACTGCCTCTCCTATTTTCAATAACGCTTCAGCCAATATCTTAATAATCAAAGTTTTGCCACAACCCGGTGGACCAACTATAGCAACACCACTTCTACCATGCAATTGATCATTTAATTGAGTACAATTCCTAATCAAGCTATCGTGTAGCTCTTGAACTTCACATATATTTGCGAGAACAGATTGCAGTTTGTCTTTTCTTTTAGCTAAAACTGAAACATCAGTATTGGGGAAAATGTCATTCAATAGCGTTAAAAATTTAGCAGCGTCCTCTTCAACCAATTTCGGCATCGTAGACACGTAAATTCCTGACAACATTCTAAAAAATAAAAAAACAAAAGAAAATAATTAAAACACCGTTTTACTTGCAAATAATAAGAAATAAAAGATTATGCCACCTAGCTACTTCAATAGATTCGTTATCGGAGCCACTCGACAACGGAATAGCATTCAAAACCGATCGAAGTGCTCTCAATCCCCAGTCATAATGCGGCTGTTTGGACAAAAGTTTTTCCGCCGTGTCGAAGGTCTCGACCAATTGATTGGCCAATCTCGAAGCATTGACAAAGCCAGCACACTCGAGAAGAGATCTAACAATATTGGTTTTGTTAGGATGAGCCATACCAATAGGTCGAAATAGGCGGGCAAGCGAGTCGGGTAGTTTGTGTCTACCACCGTAATCGTCAGCCGCTGGATTCATCGTGATAAACAGACAACAATGCGGGTTAACTGGTATCTCAAGACCACCAAGATTCGCTCGAGTAGCACCGTCTCGCACCGCTTCCTGTAATGGTCTTATCAGCATCGCTACAGCACTCATTGTACTCTCTTCGAGACGATTGAATTCGTCGAAACAGCCCCAGGTACCCGCTTGTGCTAAGCCACTCAAAATACGACGCATACTCCCGGAATCCATCCCTTTTGTAACGAAAAATAAAACGATTGTATGAATCCAGTTGTTTCTTTTCTTTAAATACTATCGATTGATTATAAACCTACCTTCGTCACAATTGAATACAAGTACTCGGCGACCTAAGATGCTACCAAGAGCTTTAACGCTCTCAGTTTTTCCAGTTCCAGCCGGTCCGGTTGGACTACCGCCTAATCCTAATTTCATGGCTTGTGTTAGCGCGAGATAACATTTTTCAGTCAATGGTGTTCTAACGAGTCCTACTGCTGCTCCTTGGTATTCGAATCGATATGGAAATTCCGCCTTAGCGCAACGTATTAATGCTCCTCCACCCTGAAATTATCGTAATTGTCGTAAACAATTTAGCGTAAATTTAATATTTAAAAAAATTACTTACACTCTTGTAAGTTCTAACTTGACGACTCCAGTTCCACTTAAGCGTTTCTTTGTCTGTTACGGCTTCTAACAAATTTCTAACAACATGCAGATGATGAACTGTCTCAAGCAATAAATTCTTAGCTTTTAATGATTTTGACAGGTTATCTGGATCTTCTAAACTCCTGTAACGCGTTCTTTGATTTTCTAGATATTTTAGTAAATTTTTCAAACCGATAGCGTCGTCGTCCATTGCCATCTCGCATTTTTCCGTAAAACGTATTCTTTCACAAAGTAAAAGTATCTGTGTTGGATACGCAGAAATGTCTGGCGTCTGTTCAAGTAAACAGGTGTTTAAACACTGCTGCAATGCATTTCGTATACCATTTTCTAAATTGATTAGCCACTGAGGGAACGTTGCCGTTAAATTTATTTTCTCTAAAAGTTTTAATTTTTCTCCTTCTGGAGATATCACACTTGTAATGTAGTTTAATTCTTTTTCACTTGAGCTAATTCCTTGATATAATTTTGATAAATGGACATCAATCCCTTTTCCTTTTCCAGATACTAATTCAAGAAGATCTTCATCACTCAAGAAATACAATCGCGGATAAGCTGATCTTTTTTCCTGTAAATAAATAATTTTTGTGTGGAGTCGAAAGTTACTTTGTTAACCAAAATATAAATGTTTACCTCTAAGAAATCATCTAAGCTTCTTTGACATCTATCCAGCAGATCTTTTAGATTCGTCAGAGCATGAAATGGTAATTTTCTTAAAGACGGTATCTTTGGATCTTTTGCTATTTCTCCCATAAAGTACCTGAAAGTGCCATCGATGTCACTAAAAATATTACAAGTTACGTATTTTTTGCACGATTTATACCTAAATTCTTTATCAGCTCGTGTCCATCTACCAGAATCGTTAGGCGCAGCACCACTGCTATACACTGGGTCAAGGTAGATCCATTTTCTTTGAACAACGCTCAATATTTTTATACGCTCCTCCAATTCACTTAAAGCTGCTTCGCATCTTGCAGCTCTTGAAGCAAATCTTTCGTAACCTGCTGCACCCCTCGCACCTTCTAAAATTAGCCTCAGCTCACCTGTAATTTACAATTTACTATACGACTTTCAATCGATCGATTTATAAATTCTTTTTTTTTAATATTTAACTGACCAGCTCTAACGAGCAAAGCGCTATAATCACCGACGATGTGAATTTTTATATTTCTACTATCTTTTGATTCTAATAATGGAAGCGACGTGTAACTTTCCCAAGCTTCCAATTCTATAAGAGCTTGTCGAATGCCACTTTCGGCTGCAGCTCGTTTTGTAATATCCTTCATTCAGACAAAAGATTACGAAAAAACTTAATCACTTATCTATAACAATAAATTTTCTAAAAGATTAAACAAACCTTAACGCGATCCAAATTACTTTTAATAAGCGGGGCACTCTTTAATAAATGTCCTAGCGTGATATCACTCATTCGTTTCAATACTCCAAGCTCCAATATTTCATTTAATTCATTCCAGTGTTCTTCAGCCAAATCTTCAGCTCTGAGTAATTGTACGCATTCCACCGCATCTCTTAGCTCAACAATCTTTCTCTCGATAAATGAGTTAGCTTCTTGCTTCGCTGATTCTTCCTTTAATGATTCAGGTTGATTTTTCATTTGTAAATGTAATCGACTCTCCCAAGAATCCAGCCATTCATGTAATTTAGGTAATCGTCGTCTAGCCACTGACCATTCTTCTTCTTCGTGTTTTTGAAGTTCTTCGATGAATTCACTCTGAAAGCGATTATTTAGTTCTTCAGTTTCCAGTTCGGCTTCAAGTTGGGCTATGAGCTTTTCATTTGATTCGAAAATTTCATCGACGGGTAGATTCAATCTTTTGCAATCGTTGACAAGTACATCTCTTTGCTCGATTAAATTTATCCATCTTTCGCGCATGATTTCCAACCAATCTTTAGTGACGACTGCCGGTCTTGATGCCCACACGTCTTTCCAACGCTCCTGATCATCGTGCATTGCTAAAACTTGATGTCGCAAGTTCAATTTGGCTTCTTCCAATTGATGTAACATTACATCGTGATAATTGTCTAGACGCTCTTTCAAACTGTCCCACGCCGTAGATGCATTGCTCAGTCCTGTAAAATAATAAATTAATGATCAACTTTAAATTATTAGTAATTAATATGGAATTTTCCTTGCCGTCTAATTTGTCTCTGGTCCAAGCTGCCAATACTCGACCTAATCCGGATACATCTTCTAATTCTCGTGCAATGTCATCCGATTGCTTTTTGATGCTCGAGTATGCCTCGTACGCTTCACCGATTTCCTCAATTGTACGTGCGCGATGAGACAATTTTTTCGACGCCGATGACAGAAAGTCGATAATAAACACTAAACGTGACGATGCTTCTGCTCGCAAGTCAAGTGCTAAGCGCTCCCAGTACCTATAATTGTCGATCAAGTGTTGGGAGTACATACATGATTCGATTTAATTAATTAATTATTACCTTCTCGAGAGCAATTCTAAGTCGTTTCTTATTGTGCTGATATCGATGACTATGCATGATATTTTTATTTCTGTTGCTCTTAATTTATTTACCTACAAGAAAAACATATTATTTAAAACATCGATACATTATTTTATATTTGCTTCTCTTACTTCTTGTGCCCATTGTTTAGCATCTTTGAAAGCTTTTTCCCAATCATGTGACTGTTTTCCCTTTAATCTAAATTCACAGAAAAATGAAAATCGTTAATATTTCAAATCATCGCAAATTTGCATATATACGTACGTTTGTCCAATATCGATCTTGGCCGGTGAAACTAGAGGTAGCCACTTGACGCGCAAACACTCGAAGGCGTTCAGCAAATTTTCCGCCTCCCTGTACACGGCGCCAAATAGATAAGCACTTCTCGGTACAAGAGTATGGAAGTGGCCGTCCTCCGGGTTACCAACACCGCGAAAGTTTGTTGGTATAGCCAGGAAGCGTCGGATACCCGAGTAAAGCTTCATGCGGGTATCCTCGAGCGTCGGCCGCCAATGTAAATTTTCATCGCGGAATGTTAACTCCACTCGGATTTCCGGCAGCTTTTTCAGTAACGTTGGCAGTGCAGCTCTGTAAATAGAAAGAAGTGTAATTAGCTCGCACTAGTTCAAACTCATTGTATACAGAGCGTAATTTTGGCTAATTGACTGAACTTGAATATTTGAATAATAGTTTAGCACGACATTGTGACGATTTAAAAAAAATTTTGAAAAACAAATCGTAGCTGGCGTTACCTATATGCAATCCCTAGAGCTTTGAGCAGCTGTCGGTCCCAGTGCAGCTTCCAAGCTTTGGTATTGCCGTAATGCGCCTCAACCGAGTCAACGACATCTCTCATATTCCTTAACGTGTCTTTCCAAACGTTTTGATTTGTCACCAAATTAATCGAGTCACCTTTTAGCAGATTACATACCAAATCTCTCAGAACTGCATGCTTCGACGCGAGTTCTGCATTTTGACGAGCGAATTTTTTCACCTAGCACACAGTTTTGCATATTAATCGTTACATTTATACATTTTCAAAAAAATAAAGAACTTACCAATTCCCTAAGTCGATTTGTATACACGTCAATGGCTCTCGCATCCGTCCAAATAACTCCCGATTGTTCTCTCACAGCACCGGCAAGTTCGAGCGATGAAGCGAGCATTAATGGCCTTTGCGAAGGTATCATTCGATCACCTATTGTGTTATGAAAGTTAGCAATCTGTTGAAGAGCCCTTGCTCGACCAGTTAACGATGATGCACGTTCGACCAACTCCTTGATTTCACGTGGCAATTCAACCCCTTGTGCTGCTAGACCACGAGATTCACGGATCAATGCCGTGAGACGTGGATCGAAATTTACGCGCATCAGTTTTGCACCGCACAACTCCACCACTGCTGATTCTTTTCCGAGAGAAAGCTCATCTCGCTGGACGGATAGTTTGGTATCTTCGACCTAGACATCGGTCATATAACGTTAAACTGCTTATAGTATTGTTTTGTGCTTTAATTTTATATTTGTACTATTTGTATAGCACAAAATCAAAAGATGTTTTGATATTTTCACCACCTCTTTACGCCACATTTTCTATTTTTCAAGCAGCGGCAGCAGCTGCAGTAACAGTTCGAGACAAAACGACATACTTACCCATGTCTCGGTGAGTTCTTGTCTTTGCCTCTCGGCATCGTTGAGAGCTGTCGTGAGCTTTCCCGAAATGTCATCGTAGCCTGGAAGATCGCTAAGCAATTGTTTCCCTAGTTTCTGCAAACTCTCGAGGCGCAATTCCGCCACTCTTGCCGTCTGCACTTTCTGTAGGATTTCCGGCGTGTCGAGCAGTTCACGTGTATCCGGTCCGTGCATGCACGCATCTAATTAATGTGAGGATAAGTATAAATTTTTATTAAGCATTAATGATGATATAACAAGCAGTAGTGATGGGCTCCCCGTTAAGCACTTATAGACAAGCAACATGCATCTAAAATCCCAACAGCAACAAGGCTTAATCCAGTATCGAGAGAAGGGAAATAGATAGGGGCACGATAGACCGAATGAATGGACTCGTATCAAGTACTCTAACCGATAAGATCCGCATAAGCCGAGAGAAGAGCCTGCCGCTCGGGTTTTAGTTGGCTTCTGATTGCTTCTCGACGCATCAGCTCGCTATAACGACGAAATTCTGTTTCCAGTGCCAACGGCGTTTTCGCTGCTGTAAACAATGCTCGCAACTTGGCCGCTACTCTCTCCTCTGTTAGACCTAGGCCTGTGCGAAGTTTGTCTCGCAGCCGATCCCATTCCACGTCGTTCTCTTCCCCTAATAATTCTGCCGAACGAAGATTAATAGTAGTTGTAAATTCGTTTATGTTTGTTCTTTTTTTAATGCACCTTCAATATTGTCGAAACACTTGAATATTACGTCGGTGCCGAGATTGGCGCGCTCCGTTGGGGTCAAGAGTCTCGTTAGCTGGCGGTTCTGCGCGCGTATTTCCGCTATTTCCCTTTAATTATAATCGTGTACGCTAGTTAATTTTCCAAACAATAGTATGTTTCCACGGAAAACATGACGCACTACGTACTTGAGCCGTGTCTCGTAATTGTGACATTTTTCCGGTTTGTAAGATTTGGCTTTCCACGCGTGTGGTAAATTCGGCCAGAAAAGACTGGTCAATTGATGTGTCATTTCCATCCATTTCTTGCAGATCATTGCTCCGTACGATATCGCTTCGTCTTTCGCACGACTGTTGGACTGAACCTGCGGCCGATAGGAGAAAATTAGTCGCGCGTGTAGCTGAATGGATTCTGTTCTATTTTACGGAGTAATAACAAGGCGAGTTACTTTGCTGATCAGAGTTTGGACTAACTGTGCTATCTCAGTGCCCACGACTTCCAGCAGCGACTGCATGCGTTCCTCGTTATAAACTGGGCCTTTGAGCTTCCACAAGTCGTCCAAGTGGCCGGACAGCGTGTCAAGTATCTCTTCTAACATTACCAAACCTTCCCTGTTCAAATTGTTACGTACAGCAGATCAGTACGCTTAACGCAAAGTCCGACTAATCCGCGTTAAGCCGATAAACAGGAGAAAACAGTCGAAAAGGCAAATCGTCCAATTTTGATTGACAAACCTCGCAATGGCAGCACTCTCGAGTTCACGTCTCAAATTCTTTAAATAGAGTACGGCTTGCTCGTAAAGTTTTTTCTCGGCGGATGTCTTGGCAAGTTCGGATTTTTCTCTCATGTGAGTTTCCTCCTCGAGAAGAGACGAAGCCGTCCTCGGCCCAAGCAATTGGTTCTCCAATCTTTTCAATAGCAACGAATCGAAGCCAGAGCTTTGCAATGCCGGCGACCAAACTTGTCGGAGTGCTTCGGCCAACGATGCTACGCTATTCTTACTTATTGATGTTACTTGCACGATTTCGTGAAAGTTTTCCTCGGTTACCGTCGAGTCCGATATCTAAATTAACGTAGATTTTTTCTCTTAGTATTCTGCTACTTTTTAACAAACAATTTCAATACTGACGTAAGCATGTGTCATAACAATATAAGACTGAAAAGTGATATTTTACAATTGACGGCCTTGTAACTCTTTGCAAATTTCTTGTATCAACGTGCACACATACTTTTCTCAGTCGCGTACGAATATTCATGTTTGAAAGATAACAACTCGGAATCGATTATCATGATTGCCATTGTGTTATGTGAGGATACAAGCTGGCTATAGATTGAGGAAAAATCTATACATTTTATATTTCGTCGTATAAAATCGTATAGCTAGTCAGGAAATGGAATATTTTCACATAATTACAAATGAGCTGAACTATGCATCGAAACCAATTCAAAAAAAGTAACATTCTCTCGACAAAAAGTACGCGTTTGCTGGATAGACACATACGTACACCTTGTTATCTATCTATCACCTTGAACTTGACATTGGTCATGGGTACATAATTACCTTGAAAAACACAAGTGTATTTTCGCCAAATGATAGATTATTGGTCAACTTCACATGTCGCCCAGAGTGAGTAGGCGAAGCTAAAGCGATAGCACACAACGTCCGGCATTTTTTCTCATCTAAAAACTTGTCAATCGCATCTAATTCATCCTTACCGAACTGGTCGTTTACAGGAACACCAAAAAAATTATGAGCCGTCGCTACGACAAACGTTTGTCTCTTATCGATCGCGACCATTTTTTATATTAAATCTTTGGAAAAATACGTATGCAAGGTGTCGTTCGGCCGAGTAGATCGTAACAATGTGCATTGGAGTAGCGTCGTATCCATGGTTACGCTTACCTACTCGAAGCTCACAACAAAAAGCATCAGAGTGCGCGATGTACGCGTGACACATGCATAGTGAACAGCCTACAAGCGTCTAGTTTTATGTATCACCGCGGATTTTGGCCTTCACGCGACCGAGATTCCACGCAGGTAAAATCGATGGGCTTCAATATTTCTGCTCAACTGTGGACTCGATCTGCCTCTCGGCTTGTAAAACGTGCGTCACAGTTGACTCGAGGTAAATGCTTAACACACTTGCTTGAGCGATTGTTGGCCGAATGCATAAATTGTTCGCGCGGTGCCTCGTTGTTTTGGAATAATCGATGCTACATCTTTCTACAAAATTATTTCGGAGTCATATAATAAAGTTCATTAACATTGTTCTTTAAATCAAGAGTGCAAATGCCCATTGAATAAATGTACTTTTCTCGCTGTCAAAGAACGGATGGATCACGATATTAAAAAGACTATATTACAAAAGAATCTGTTAAGAAAGCAATGAGAATAAAATAGTCATTAAAAAAACGCTCGCGTTGCAGTTAAATATTTTCGATAGAACATAACAATGGCATGATGCCACTGCTCGAGCGCTTCGCAATTCAACGTGGCGTTGAATAAGAAATTAATAAGATTAAGATGGAAAACCTGTTGAAAGGCGTACTCGCGCGCGCATTCATAACGCTCTCACGACACAGCACACAGTTTGCCAACGATATACGTAAGTAGTTAAAAGGAATCTTCTCTCGCGTGTAATCGTGTAATGCTTCGACGGCACGACACACGACACCTTCCATTCATGGATTTTACGATGTGCCACAACTCTAAAGCATATGTAACGAAAAAAGGAAGTCGTTAAACTAAATCTATCAAAACTACGCCTTTTTTTCTACGCGCGAACTCGCCTTGATCCAAATCATTCCGAACAATTAAACATAGCTATTTTTTCTCCTCTTTCCGTCGGTTAACAAACCGCAGACGCCTAAGAAGAAGAAGAAGAAGAAGAAGAAGAAGAAGAAGAAGAAGAAGAAGAAGAAGAAGAAGAAGAAGAAGAAGAAGAAGAAGAAGAAGAAGAAGAAGAAGAAGAAGAAGACGAATTAGAAGAAGCAGCGTGCGATGTGTATGGGGGATCTCTTGTGTTGAGGCTCACACGAGTTGGTGGGAGAAGAAAACGAGCGGCCGAGCGAGTTGAGGCATCAAGGCCGACAGTCGCCGCGCGGATTCCAAACGAAACACCTGCTTACAAGCCAACGGTTTTCATTCAGGTTTGTGTGTTGTGTTTTTTTTCTCCCTTAAGCTGCGACTTCTTTTCTTTTGTCTTTTATATTTTATATTGCCGATTACTTCCCGAGTTACTCGAATGTACGAATGTATTCATAAACGCGAGGCCCTTTATTTTTGGTCTGAGTTTATGGTATTGGACTACTCTCGCTTAGTTTTCTCTATTGTGTCGCGGTAACGGCGTTCTCGTGTTAGTTGGAAGGAAAATACCTTTCTAGATTCAATGAGAAAAAAAAATAGAGTTGCATAATTTGGTTGTATGATTGGATGCATTTCTGCATCTCGTTACGTACAAAGAGCAAAGGTGTACACATTTTATTCGTTAGAAAGTTGTGTATGTTATGGGCTGAAATATATGGTAAATGACATATTTTACGCTTAATTAATCAACGATCGTTCCAATATACAGTTTCAGAACTGAGTAGGCTCATTTATGCCACTGCATTACTCGATGCACATTTGCTTTGACACTGTAAAAATTCGCATAATTACACGTACAATTAGCATAGCAGCATTTGTTAAAGCACAAGATTTATTTGTAAAAAAAAACGATTGGTTTGCATTGAAAATTCCAGCTGAAAAATAGCAATTATCTCTAGTGTATACGTCATACAGGAAACGTTTAGATAATTTATTGTGAATTGTATTAATTGACTCTGGGAATAGCCGTCATTCAACTAAACGAGATAATCAAAAAACTTTTGTTTATATATCTTTTTATCAGTTTATGCTTGCAGCTCTGCAAACACTGCTTTTAAAAGTAGTCACCAAACGCGGCTCAATGAATTTCAAAAGCTCGCAGTGTTTTGAATTTCGCGAGAAACTTACAAATGTTTTTCACTGGCTCAAATACATAAAACAGGTAAAACTATAATTGAGATATCAGCAACCGCAATGCATATATAAATTTTCTCGACAACATTTTCTCTGCCCGCAAAACGGATTTATAAACAAGTTGGAGTATTGAACCGCGTAAAATTTCTCGAAAGCTCTAATAAACAATGGGTTTTTCGAAGGAAGCTGCCTAATAAACAGCAGTATTGAATTACTCGAGACAAGGCGTGAGCAGCCTAATAAAATATACAAGACCCAGCAATTAGTCGCGCAAACAGAGAAAGAGAGAGAGAGAGAGAGAGAGAGAGAGAGTAGTACGAGCTTACTAGGCTCGAACCAAAAAAGCTCACACGTCGAAGAATAATATTTGCTGGCGCACGTGTAAGCGAGAAGAAAAAGACGAGAGAGAGGGGGAGAGAGAGAGAGAGAGAGAGAGAGACGCTGCTGCATCGGCCGTTACAAGCAATGATGATTCGATGAATCATTGCCCGAGCATTTCTTGTAGTTATTACGTAAAGAGATTCTCTCTTACAACGCTTCTTGTCTAATTGACTACTTGACGCACTTGTTCTGGGTTCTGTTCGCAGGCAGGGGTTTTTAAACTTTCGCGCCTTCATGCTCTAGCGGCTGACTGATTTGTCGAGGCGACGTATAACTTTGATAAGAGATACACAAAACGAACAGATAATACCGGATAAGAGAATGAAGAGCGAGGAGCAGCAGCAACAGCACGGTGACAGGGGACTGTCCAGTACTGTTGCGTTTGTTTTCAGCATGCTTACCCACATTTTGTTGCTAGTTTCGGTGCTCTACATCGTTGGACTTGGCTTTCAAAATTATCAACTTTTCTCTTGGCATCCAATATGCATGGCTCTTAGCGTGAGTACTTTTTCAGTTATTTTAAATATCCTTGATTTGTTATTAATTTTGGAATAGACAATGAAGATTACATTAATTGACGACATTCTTTTCAATTTTTGCATTCACTGCCTCGATTGTATCATGCCTACGTTCTTTCTAAATGAAGACTTACGCGCTGAAATGGCACGTTTATCAATGAAATGTTATTGATGGCTGCAAGTCGTAAAGTTAAAAATTTAGTCAGTGCTGCATTAAAGCTATCCTTTCGCGCTATATATCACTGCAAATGTTGTTCTTATTATCAGTCGTTACCAGAGATAACGAAATATTCTTGAAAAACACTCCCATGTACATTGCAAAAGTTAGTAAAAATATGTCGAACTTCAATCTAAATTTCAGTTTTAAATTAACCGGAGATAGGTATAAATTAATCACTATTGATTTCCTTATTCTAAGAATTGATAGCGAGTCGCGCAGACCTGTCACCGTCTTGGCAATAGGCTGTAACGCCTTCGATACGGACTTACTCAGATGCATAAATTGAGGCAACTGTATTGATTGCAAATTTTATTGTCGACTTTTACAAGCCAAACAAAACTTTATAGCCGTGTTAATAACGTTGAATTTTATAAATATCTTAATCAGTTAATATTCGTCCGATTACAATAAAATAATTATTTATCAATTCAACATTATTGAAAAGGAAAAAGGAACTCATACCAACAATCAGTTTAATGCCATAATCCAGTACGTGATAAAAATAAAAGTTCACAGTAGGCGAATATGAATCAATGTGTAAAGGTGAAGGTTAAGAAAGTAACTAATTCACTAATTATTACGTCAACAAATATGCGTGCTGGTGAAGGAGCGACGACTCCCCCGGCATACATGACATCAAGGACAATTGTTAGAAATTGCTTTTAAAGAGGTCGACAACGAGGCCGTACAAACGTTAAATAATACGGCGTTCAGTACTCTTTCGCTCCTTTTTTTCTGATATACATGCCTTTACTTTAAGTCACTAGCGAATCCAGTGAAATTCACACCGGCTTTAACTGTTGCCTGCTTATAAATGATTTAATGTCCAGCACACTTCTCAAGATTGTTAAGTTTGTAGAATTCACAGGGAAAATGTCAATGATGCATGCAGAAAAGTGCTTTGCTGAATAATTTTTTTTCAATGATTATTGAACCGAAAATTTAACAACAACTCATTAATGCAGTAATCAGTGTGCAAAACATTCAAAAAGTCAAATTGATTGAAATAAAAATTATCTGTGGAACGACACGCGACTAACTAGAATTCGCTGCTGATGAGATAACTGTTTATCGAGACTCGCGATCATGTCGGCGAATGTAATAATCTCCAGAAAGGTACTTGCAAGAAAAGTTACGATACAGATTATGCATCGACTTATCTCCATTTGAAATTGGCATTTTTAGCTTCGATTTTCATCTAACTGTATCGTTGGGCACTATATGATAAATATGTATTAATTATATATTTTTACAAATTATCGTAAGTCTTATAGTTGTGACTTTTGATAATAAATTATTTTTTACATTATTGTTGCATAAAAATTAATATATAAATAATACTAAAAATTTTTTCAAGGTAGACTTTTTATAAAAACTTGTAAATTTAAGAAAATCTTTTCTCCGTACTGCTCTAATTTTCAAAGTACCGGGAAAATCCTTTTTATGATTCTTTGTCGACATCGCGCGCGCGCGTCTCAATAATAGATATACGTATCAGTATTTAGTACAAGAATTTCTAATTTACTGAAATATTTTGCAAGAACAATGAAACCTATTCACATAGAAACCCATTAATTTTTCAGGCCGGCTTTCTGCTTATCGAAGGAGTCTACGCAATCTCGGGTGAGGCATTTGTCTCAAAGAAACTCACTCGTAAGAATCGTATAACCTTGCACTGGATTCTCCATCTAGTTGGTTTGATTCTGATGACAATTGGTTTGGTGATAACCATCGTCAATAAGAACAAGCTTGGCAAGGATCATTTCGTCACGACTCACGCTCAACTGGGACTGGCAGTCTTCGTCATCGTTTGGGTCATTGCCGCTTTTGGGATTCTCGCTAATAACGCTCAGTGGTTCTATCCGACAGTTCGACCTGTACTTCTCAAAGTCGTGCACTCGTGCGCTGGTATTTGTATGGTGATTCTGCTACTTGCGACTGTCATCAATGGTACTTATACCAAGTGGTGGGGAAAGAGTGGTGGCACTGAAACCAGCAAGGGTCTTGTCTTCGCGGCCTTATTTATCGCGGGTGTTTTAGTGATTGTTAAACCGATAATTGGAGCTATTGCCAGGACGAGGGTTCTCATGCGACCTCCACCGTCAGCGCAGTCTAGTAGTAATGTTGCCGCGAGTTAGTTATTTTTCAAATTTTGATACCTTTTTTTATTTCCTTCTTTACTCTTCGATGATGCAAGCTTTTGTAAACGATGATGACTCATTTTTAATTTTATGAAGTATTTTCATGTCTTCGATATCTAGAAAATTTATTGATCACATCATGCAAAGATCAACTTATTTCGTGCTTGTTAGAGTTATTTTTGAGGAATGTAAATTGAAAAACAATATTTTCTATGAATTCATTGGAAAAAAGTCTATTTATAATATTTTTGCAAAATTTGTAAACATCTTTCTATAAAAAAACCTCAATATGCGCAGTTTATTCAAAAGGCTTACGCAAACGGCTTAAAAAAATTGACTTTGATGAAACGGAAATTCTCATAACAATGCCGAGTCGATCGTAGGTAGACTGAGAGAATCTTACTGTTGAATAAAAAAAACTATAAGACAGCCAACGACGATTCTAAAAAAGGCGTCATTGCGCATGCGCGCTGCATCATCCTTCGATGCAATTCCAAAGATATATCGTATACTAAACAATGTGTCGTACGTTTTTTCCTTAATTTTATTATTTCTGCTTCGTATTCTGCGCTAAAGCAACTTGCTGTTGTTATAGAAGCTCTATTACCGAGAGAAAGTATTGCATGAATAATAATTTTTTATATAATTGATGTTTGTTTAAGCGTAAAAAAATTTGTTATAACGTTGTTGTATTATTCTATTTTTGTAATTGTACTAAAAAATTGATATAAACGAAATTACCATTTTTTACCAGTTCTTATATAACTATTGCGTAGAATAATAAATGTAATTTTGTATGTCACATTGTTACGTATCGACTTTTCGACGCGATATTTTTCTTCCAGTAATAGTAAGGCAAAAGTCAATAGTATCGTTACGAGTTTCTCTAGATATACATTACGTAACGGTGCCATAACGTATTCAATACACATTTATGTCGCCGCTTATCACCTTTTTTCAATCTGTCCACAAAATTGTAATACTACACCTGATCCGTGGCAGGTATTACAAAGTTATATATAGTGTAGTTAAACCAATGTCTCGATATATTACTTAAAATTTAATTATTCTCCTTTATCCCGTACTGTACGTTTTTTATCGACTATTATATATTTATGAGATCATTTATGCATAATGCGTATTATTTCAGGTAATCTCAAGATAAGCATCACAATGTGTATCATCAACCATATATCAACACTTTATTAATCTTACACGCATCATATACATATACACAAAATATAATGTATATATTTTCTTTCATAGTACAATATATTCGCATAATGATACATTACAATTTTTGTCAACGGTTTTTCGAAATAAAATACATCTGCTTTGGTTTTTGTGTAATACAGTCAGCCGTTTACAAGAATTCTTTTTTCGACACTCCGCGCGGAAAGTGTGTTTTTCCCGCACGCTCGGCAAAAAACGTGCGTTGAAAATCGCACTTTCCACACGTCGTATCAAAAAATACGGTACGGGACATGTTCGGGAAAGAGTTTCTCGTCTCGTGTACCTTTCCACCATCGCTTCGCTCGGGCGTAAACGCCACACGAGACAAGAATCTACTTTCCCGCACTTGTATCGTAATGTACTATTTATATAATCGCAAACGAAAACATTTTTTTTATGTTTAACATTATGTAACAACGTCTATACATATATTTATTTTTATACATATATAGATCTGCATCTATTTTTTATATTTTTGAACGCGATGTGTACAATAAAATATCTTAAAAACCGAATAATTTTTGCATTTCATTTTAACTTTGGAAAATTTATCTTCAAATTTATTTTCAAAGCATCGATGTGTTTATACAATAATAATTATTCTGATAAAATTATTTTGCTTAGCGTTAAGCATGTGCTTTTATAATATCTTTAATATACAAAGCATATTTTGAAGGCTTCGACAAATATTATTTTCAAATCTCGATACTTCTTTGTAAACATCTCGCCTGAATAAATTTCTAATTTCATTTCGGTATTACAGCTAATATTGCTACGTAAAAATTTATCCAATACAGTATGTGAGTATAATTTAAAAATAAATATACTGCTGTGGGTAAAGCGATTCATTATACTTTGAGAGTACAGAGGATAAATTTTTCGAAGACGCTGCAACTTGAATAATTCTCCACGTTACGCTGTAATTTCTTCTATAAACTATATATCACCGTATTTTTTTATTTACTTTTATTCATTGAGTAATTAATCTGGTTTTATTTTTTCAAATTTTGAATTATATTTCGCATACAATCACTCGTGCTTTCATTCTCTCACATACGGTATATTTAACGGCGTGTACGAGAATCGGTTACATAGATTAATGTTTTTCTGAATTTTCAAGAAAAAATTTTAGCTGGTGTAAAGTACTCTCATTACTATAAATTTTCAGAGTTAAGTTTCAAATTTACCACATCATGTTTCGATATTTAATTTCTCTACAAATTACGCTGAAAACACAATTTGTCCAATTTATATTTTCAAACTTAACATTACTTTCTATTAACCCTTTGCACATATAGTACATAGGACACATTACTTTGTACTGTCTGCTCTATATATTTCGATAGCTCATTTTTAAGCTCAGAACACTTAGCCACGCGCTGTGCCGCGCTAACCGAACAACCATTCGCCCGCAAGGTCGTTCCTCTATTATTTTACTTATTTCAATTTTTTTTTATCATTAGATTTTCTTTTATTTTTTTACTTAAAAAAAAATTATGTTTAATTTTTTTGTGACTTTTGAAAGTCAAAAGTTTTTTTTTAATATTGTGCTCATTTTGGAACATAATTTTGCACTTGAGAAACCTGAATAAAAATCAGTGAGTGACCTATATAAATATATACTTTAATCATCGAGTATATTTTGTAGATGGTGAGATGCTACAAAAAATGTTTCTATGGTTATCAGCATTCAATGACGTAAGCTTATAATTTTCTATGCATAAAGCACCAAATAGGTGTCATAAATCGTACTTTATACATGTCCTACTTGATTGGATTTTGAAACTTACGTTAACTATACAGTAATGAAATACTGCATTATTTGATTCGCGCTGGACAATTAGTCATTTTTTAATGCGCTAACTAGATCAGTCACTCGGCTTACACGTATAGATTTCTTTTCTCGCAGCAAAAAATATCACTATTCTCGCATATTATTATATATATATATATTCCTTTAGACCGAAATATTACTTCAGCACTGTATCTACGTACATTTACCTGTGCAACAAATAAACTCTTTTCTTATATATGCATTATTTTTCGCAATGCGATTACAATCTTCTGACGGACTCTTTCACTCGGTCATTTTAGCTTTTACATACTCTCGTTTTTATTTCTCTTTCTCGCATTGAACAATAACAAGAGATACGGTGTGTCTCACTAGAATTATGTATATTTATATAATAATTCAAGAGAAAATTTACCTAATATCTTATTGTAATTTCTGATGTAAACATGAATTTCATTTTATATTTTTATAACATTATACCTATGTCTACCACATCAGAAACAAAATTTTTTTCAATTCCGATTGATGTAATTTTCACATAGAACAAAAATTTCTTATCGACCTTCAGACCTATAAATTTCAGTGTTTTGTATTTTTTAAGTGCATGAATATTTTGATTGAAGAGTTAAAGTGCCTATATATAATTAATAACGCTTTAGTATGTAATAATTGAAACAGCTGTTTCGAAAAATTGATTTTGGATAGATTAGCGTATCAAGAATATAAGAGTTCCTTCAATTTAGTTCAGTTCTAAAGCACTTTTCTAGTCATGGATCAAAAAACTTTTCCCGACGCCGTAACACATAATACTAAGAAAGCAAATGCAAAGTTGAAAAATACTGTAATGTATGGAATTTCTTTTGTGTATTGCTTGTTAATAATGAAATCATATTAAGAATAAATGATTTTATAATATTGGCACCAAAAGGTAGGGTTACACTTTGCAGCTAAATCAATCAAGAGTGCAAAAACTGGTAAAAAATAGCTGCTTTGTGAAAATTAGATTTGTACAAAATATTATAAAAAAATTTAAGATAGCTATTACCTGCTAATATAGAAAGATATACAAATCTATGATTGTTTTGTTGGTACGTGAAATATTTCAATTGAATATTTGTAATTTGGATTGTGATCACTTTCTTTTTACAAGAGTAAAAGTTTTTTTTTCGATTTTACTCAATTTAACGTATAAAATATTAAGTACCTATTGAAACTGCTATTTTATACCAATTTTCATGAAAAAATAAAGAATGAATAAAAGTCATTAGATAGATTATTTATAAATGAATATTCTAAGCTTTGAGAATATCAGTCATCGTACTCCTTAAAAACTTAGTTATTTACACTCTTGCTAAAAAAAATACATCTATCATGCACTTTCATTTATCTATTGTTGAGCGAAAAATAGAATCTCTTTTTAGCATAATAATTCTATACTATTGTTCGATCTACAAGTTTTTCATTAAAATAGAAATATAATTCACGACTTTGCTAATGTAAACGTGTACAAATATGAAAATCAAGCTTTGTGTCGAGAAAATACAAAGTCAAGCTTGATTCCTTTCCAAGATAGACGATTTACAAAGTTGTAGTACGAGAAAAATAGTTGTCAAATAAGTTTAGGAACTTGTATCTATCAGCTAAAGACTTTCAGATTTTCATAGTTGAAATAACACTCTAGCAAAATAAAAAACATATTTAAAATACTACTCGTAGAAAATTAATCTAATGAAAAACAAAAAGGCAGACATCGATGGACGTTCATTTTTACATGAAAATTGTTCTGTTTCAGAGTGCGTGTGGATGATTTTAAAACGAGAGAGACAAAAAAAAACATTTGAAAAAAGTCATTGTTATTTCTAAATGACAATATGATTTACATATTTCACATGAGTACAAACAATTGTTCATTTTATTTGTCATAGCCATTGTAATAACTGTTTTGTATATAAACGAACGAAACTAATACGGAATCTAATAATTTTGCAACGTCTATGCACATTGTACGCTAGTATTACAGATAATAACAGACGCGAATACAACCTTGGAATCCGGTATTGTATCCTATTTATTTATTTGTTTGTTCGAACACATACCTAAACATTTTTATGTCTTCATATATTATATGTATATAAGTACCCAGAGCAAATGCTAACGGTTCACTTTGACAAACCAATAACATCTTCAACGAATGAGAGATCATGGTTCTGTTAAAACGGTTTCATTTCAGTATTGACTATCGACATTGAACAATGCAACTCATTTTTTGATTTATTTATTATTTTTTCTCTACAACTCTAAATATACAACATTAGCATAGTATTCTTTATCTTGCGTGTTTGTCATTGTGAATTGTAATTGCAGCTTAACCACCACAGCCCGATGAGTTTTGCAAAAAATTTATTTCTATTTTTTGCATATTCCAGGAGAAAATAAAACATTTACAGTTTTTTTTCAATACGATCAAGTTTAACATATAAATCTCCAATGTTCACCTTATATACGTAAACATACATTTAGCTATCTCATTAAAACCATACCTCTAAAGTAAACATTTATCAAAAGAACATATAATCCCCTCCTAAAAAACTACTACAAAAGTCAGGGTAATGAACTTTTATCCCTCAACATTATCATCGACTATAATAATTCTTTAACATAGCAGCAATAGACTCATTATAAATGTATAATATCTTACTTTTTGTTACTTCAAAGCTTCTTTGTTTATTTACAACTTTAAGCCAGTTTCCCTAAAAAAAGTCAGTTTCATTAATCTATAGAAAAAAATTGTCCCCCATATTATTACTACGAAAGTTACCCAAAGAATCATTAATAATCATTAATCATTATTACTATAACAATTGAAAGTTACTTTAATCAATAATGCCATTAAACTTTTGCACATAATAATAAATAATCTTAATAATTGTTACCGCATAACGAAGCTGGAAGCAACATTTTATAATCTCTACGTATTTAATCAATCAATCAATCAAGCAATTAAAGTAAAAAGACAAGCGCGCTTCTCCATCAAGATTATCAAATCAGCAATGTTCTTCGCTCATGCTGGCGATAGTGAAAGACGTATTTTTTGTAAGACTTGTCGTCGTCGGCTGGTTATCGAAAGGCAGCGGGCGCTAGAAGCCAAAAGTACTGAAGGTCAGGCCCTTGGAGGGATAATCGTCGTCCTCTTGTCAGACTTGTTGAGAAGTTATCAAGTCGGTCTTGCTCGAATTCTTGAGTATCGATGGGCCCGGTAATTTTTGCGATGAAGCTGGATTGTTGACGGCTGCACCCTGTACCGTCATAGGCTGACCATTTACCAAGACTATTGTGTCGCATACTGACTCATAACCGCAACCACCTCCTGCGGATATTGTTTTCACTTCGCATGTTTCGTATTAATTTGCTTGCACACTCAAGGATTTGTTGTTGTGGTTTTTCATTAGATTTGTTGTTTGTGTTGTTATTTACATGTGTCATTGTTTTTAATCTTTTCCATAACTTGCAATTTTCAAATTTATGTTTTTTTTAATTTCAATTATCTGTTTATATCTCAATCTCAATAAGTAATAAAAATTCTTATAATAATGACTATCCACATGGCCTTGGTAAGTAAAATACTAATATCACGAATGTAATTTAAACTTTACAGTATAGTATGCTAAACTTCTGAATAGATATCTAGGATAACTATCAATAGTTAAAATATGTAGAAACTATTATTACTTTCTATTTAAGTGTTATACTGAGAGTTCGATATGGAAAAGACTGATGGAGAGAAAGAGTTCAGGGATAGATTCTAGTCATGCCCGATGCAATCACACTTTCTAAGGTTCTCTAATATGAGTATGAAATTGGCATGCGGGAAATCTTAATGAAATGAATGTAGTCAGTAAAAAAAAGAACTGCACCGAGGTCACATATACATTCATTCAAACGACTGCAGTAATTAACATATCATTACTTGGATCTAAAATATTTTCGCGAGGCTCACGAGCAAAATGATAACGTCATGGACGAAAAAATTAGTAGAACAAAAAAAATTGCACGTTATCTGTCGGCGATGTAAGCATACACAAAAGAAATCCGTGATAATCATAACAAAAAATATAGTGTATGTAGCATTGATTATCACGTCAACTTCAACAATGTCGCTGCATACATCTGTTATACTGAGCTACGCAAATAAAAGTGAATTTAACCGACCACGCAATGAGAATTGTCAGTCATAAATCTGCGTGCACATAAAAAACAGAAAAACTTTTTCTCCCTTCAGGCTCGTCGTCGTAACTTTTCTATCCCCCTTGTATACGACAAAAAGCGGTCACACGCATTAATCTACGTCGGAAGGAGAAAAGCTGAGAATAAGCAATGGATGAGAGTGAAAGTCAAAATGGACGGTTCATAATTACCGGGTGAGGGTGTGTGTGGCAGCGTCCTCGACGGCGTGAGGGGATTTCGAGAAGCAGGACCCCAATCCGAAGTCGGTTGTAAGAGTTTTCTCGCTCGCTTCCACACACTTTCCGAAGCATTACCACCACGAAGGTCATCGTTCTCATCTTCGTCCTCGTAACCTAGTCGTTGACGTTTGCTTGCTAATAGTTGACTCTGCGGAAGTAGAAAAGAAATAAAGAGGGCCCAGGTTGAAATTTGATATTCATGTCTCGTGAAATGTATACATATATATCCAAATATGTTGCACTTGTCATGTGTACTTGATGAGAAAATCGCTGATGACTCTTGAGAAATATATTTTCTTTATATTTCAAATGATGTATATCTCCGATGACTTATTATATTTGTAACTACTGATCCACGCAGAATAATACTCGAAAGAAAATTATATGGAAATGTAATCCAAAAAATGGAAGGCTAGGATCGATTTAATATTATATTGATATCTTTATATATATCAATATAATATAACGTACAAGGTATGACCATCATAATAAATAAAATATACTTACAATAGCAAGGCCAACAATGACAAGAACAGGCACGAGACCAACAGCCCATCCGACGGCATCCGCCCATCTTGGATAGATATAAGTTCCATAAGTGAGTGGTTCGTATTCCACCCAGTTGAAAAACAATATAAAGAATAAAGTCGCTGGTGTGACGATCTTCCACATGGACTTCCAAAATATTCGCCAACAGCGCCCACGCACGCCAATCATTTGTTGCACGTCGTCCAGAAAACGATCAGCGCCATACACCCACGCAACCAGAATACATTCGCTTATGGCAATGAGAAGAACCGACCAATTTGCTGCGTACTTGTCCATCAATTGTAACCAATACATGCCAGCCTGTGGATTGTTAAAAAAAAACATTCTTACTTTCGTTCATTGAAAAAAAACAGAGATCATAGACGTAGTGATGAATTATACGTTGGTAGTAAAGATGAGTCCACCAGCATAGCCGAAGATGGCACAGCCAAGGACCACCCAGAACTTGTAATTCCTAAGAGCTGGTATTCCGTCCAAGATAGCAGTGGTTACAGTCTCCATTAGGGCAAACTGCGAGTCTAATCCCAGAGTTAGCAGCATCACGAAGAACAGCACTGACCAAAGTGGTGCTACTGGCAGTCTTGACACGACCTAACAATATTTAACGTCAGCATTGGTATTCAAAAGTAGAGATCAACATTAATACCTATACCTCGGGATAAACAATAAAGGCAAGCCCAGCGCCTTGATCGACAACCTGAGCGACGGGCACATCCAGTTCATGTGCGAGGAAACCAATGACGGAAAAAATGACGAGCCCCGCGAAGAATGAGGTGGCGATATTACTGATTGCCACGATCAGTGAGTCTTTGTAACAATTATTGGTGAACTTGTTGTACGAGCTGAGTGTGATCAAGCCACCCCAAGCTGGGCTCAACGCGAAGAATATCTGTACGGCGGCGTCGCCCCATACTTTTGCCGAGGCAAGTCGCTTCCAGTCGGGTGTCAAGTAAAACAAAATACCCTCATTTGCGCCGGGTAGCAGTATACCTCTCACGAACAGAGCGATCTACACAAAGTGAATAAAGGCGTTTCGCTTGAAAAATACTTACTTGCAAAATGCATGAATTGCCGACTTAAAAGTCAATATTTTTTATTACGAATGAATTTAGCGTTTATTATATGCAATTTCTCGGACATTCAAGCTGCAGTTACATTCGATAAAACTGCGTTTTTTGAGCGTGCAAATATATTTCAAAGTGATGCCGCGGCCGAGAGAGTATTTGCAGTTGAATCGTAAACCATTTAAATTCGCCTACGTTTATTTCAACGCTCATGCTTGATGTCTTATTTTTTATGTAAAAGTGCAAACAATATTTGCATATAATGGAAAAGTATTTATAAACAAATAATGAAAGACTTGTTTTGATAAAAGGTAAAAATTGCTGATATAGGCACTCTCATCAGTTACAAATTTTTTGCGATCACTCTGCTTCTTTTTACTTAGATAGTTATTTATGAAGGGAAGTGCGTGGGGGTCTCAAAAATGAAGTTCAAAATGGAAAGCTTACCAGAACGACGTATGGAAAGAGAGCTGTGAAGTAAACTACTTTGCCGGAGCTTTGGACGCCCTTGCTTAAGCAGAGGAAGACGATAACCCAAGCAAGAAACAAACAACCAGCCATCTTTGGACTTATTGTGCCGGTTTCTTCAATTCCACGGCTCAGCCGAAGCACGTGATTACTGTAAAAAAGGATTACAGTTTTACGTCATTATCATTCATCATGATTCAATCTCTCATCAAGACAATGGCTGTATTCAAGTTTTAATGAATGAAATGCCTCAGTAGCCAAAGTATGCACAGAGTATTTTTGGCATTCAAGCTCGTCGAATTTGAAAGGGCTTAAAATTTTCAAAGAGAACTCCACTGAAGCCAGCAAAAGAAGGAGAAAAAAGTCGGTACTTTACTTGAAGTACTCCTCTGCGGGTGGCTTCCTGACTGCGTGGGCGTGGGTAAGATTCACCTCAGTAATCCCAAGAGTCGCTAATTGGCTGGAGTTGAGGCATTTTCGCTCGTAGTAAGTCATATTCTGACTCATACATTGCAATGCGACTTCGGGCATGAAACACTCCAGTGTACTCCATTCTTCCTCGCATTTGTTCCACGGCAACTCGCCCATCTCTGTGGAAGAGGATTTCTTTGTTGACAAGTCAACTTTTTTCTTATCTTCGTTGTCACCCGGGTGACAATAAGAGGGGATATTATTTGGCAAGTTTGATTCGAGGGAACGGAAGATCAAGAAGTTAGACACTTTTTCAAGAATGTTGGATTTGTAACCACCAGCATTTATTACGTTCACTTTTGGTTATTTCGAACGAATATTAAACGAGAAGTTATTCGTGCTTATTATATTTTTAATGAAACTTTCCAACTGTAAAAATGTAAAGCTTTCATATTCCTCTATGTCCATATAAACTGTCTGCAATTGTTTACTATCACAAGCAATGACACGCGCAATAAATTACTATTTCCAAAAAATATATATAAAAACAAAAAATCTGCTTTCCGAGTAATGTTTATTAAAAATTTCTACGGAATCCTGACAATACTGGCACTTATATTACTCGATCGTCTCCGTTCCATAAGCAATAAGCAAATACTGCAAAGCGGTAATATTTATTTTAAAATCTCGATTCAAGATAATCCACTGGAAGTCGAATGTTACGTCAGTCGATCTACCATTGAATCTCTCGAAGGTAGATGATATTGAAGAGATCGAAAACTCACCAGCAACCGAGGCGAACATATAGAATAGAGTCCATCCGATGATGAGATTATAGTAGAGCATGACCACCGAGCTGACAAGTACCATACCGTAACCGAGTCCACGTAGTAGCGGGCAGAATCTTTTGTAAGCGGCCACTGGTCCTAAACTTGCATACTGACCTATATTAACAAAAGCATAGACTCCGCTGAATTTCAGGAAAACGAGAAGACTTGCACGATTTTAACTGCAACTAAGCACGCGATTCATGAGCGATGAAGGACTTACAACGGCAGTCGCGCGTCACGCAGAAGACGACAAGACCCCAATTTAGTATACAATGACGATGCGGATACATGTATTATTCAAATATTTTAAATGATTGATGATTATGTTAGTCGACACTTTCGTTTGATTTATTGGCGGGGATTTTCGGCTTTCCGATTTTGGGGGGAGACGTGTCAGTTGGTATGATAGGTAAATAAATACATTGATGAATCTGCCTGATTGATTTGTAAATTTTCATGTAACATATGGCTAATTAATGCCGCGGATCAACGACTTGCGCGGGGATATCTGTGATCAAATCTTATTACCTCACTAGGATTACGAGAGCAGTTGCTGTTCATTTGCAATACAATGTCGTTTTTATAAAAAATGAATCGATCTAACAAAAATTTTATACCTCTACAAATATTTATCTATTCAATAGATAGCTATTACATGAAATAGTTACATTGCAATACTCTAAATTATTTAATTGTTTACAAACAGTGCGTACGCATGCGCGTAGCGCTTTCTTTCTACAAAAAATGTTTCATGATAAAAAGTTCACAGCTCGTAATGATTAGTGAAACTTACCAAGCGACAATTCCATAAACATTAAAGGCAGCCCGGCAATGACAAGCATGACGGTAAAGGGTATGAGAAAGGCACCACCGCCGTTGGAGTAGCACAGATAGGGAAACCTCCAGACATTACCAAGGCCGACACTGTATCCGAGCAATGACAGTAAGAAGTCAAATTTGCCGGTCCATGTGCCACGTTCTGGATGCTCGTCCTCACCAGCCTGTAGAGGAGCTTGGCTATTTGCCACCGAATACTTGTCCTCGTTCTATAGCACCAACCAGCAATAAGACAGCATGTTATGTCAGATTCAAGTTAGACACACGCACGCGCATCGGGAAAACGATTACGCATGCCAACTCTCGTTGCATCACGCGAGTTCGCGCGCAAGGGCGTGTATACAAAAACCGCTTTCTTTTTATGATCTACTACTATCACTCGGTGATAATTACTTTGGTAACGCAGAGACTTTTTTCCTTCAAGAGGGGAAAAACGACGCGTCAACTTTAAAACGAAGAATAGAACAGTTTTTTTCTTCTTCATTTAGTCGACGTCTCGGAAAGCTTTTAGAGGGGCTGTTACGAAATCCTTTCAACGCGATGACAAGTTTTTTTCCCTCCCTCGTTTCTCTCTCTCTCTCTCTCTCTCTCTCTCTCTCTCTCTCTCTCTCTCTCTCTCTCTCTCTCTCTCTCTATATATATATATATATATATATATATGTGTGTGTTATATATATATTCGCGTTGGCTATGAATGCCTTTCGCAAACTACTCACGGTGTACAATGCACACTCAATTTATCGTAAGCCTGCTAATTTTAAAAGCTTCCTTTCGCGAAAACGTAAAAGAAGGTTTTACGTCTTGTTTCCCTTTGCATCTTTTGTGTGGATCTAATTGACTTATAATTCAACACGTGGCGTGTGCATCAACTTGTCTTTTAATAGGCGAGAGTAGTTTTTTCGATAATTTGTTGTTTATATCCTCAGAGCGTTGGGTAGTACAACTTTAAAATGCTTTTCTTTGAGAAATAGATTCGGGCACCAAGTAAAGCCAAGCTACATGATAAACTAGAAAACTTTGCTATAACTAGTTTTAACATAAATACGTGCTATCTTAGCTTGATTCGTTCAGTGCACATACTCTGATTATTACAACTTTTTGCAACAATATCGAATTTCGAGGTAAAGAGGGAGTGAGAGAGAGAGAGAGAGAGAGAGAGATTTTGTTGAGTCAATCAATAAATGAATTATTCGTGAGGCAAAACTCAAACAGCAATAATAAACGGCCAATTGCAAATACATTATTGTCGCTTGCTAAAAAATATTTTATAGGGAACGACTCATCACGAATAGTTTTCATTAATTTGATTCGTGCGTAGCATAAATAGGCAACTATTAATTAAGCAAAACATTAAGTGCCCCCAAGAGCGCGGTTATTACATAATCATCGTCGTTTTACAGATCGTCAATGAAATGTATCATACAGTACCACCCTCGCGGGACTACTAAAATACAGACGTCGATAAATTTTCATTAATGAAACTTTCACCGCGTCGCAAGCTCTCACGTGAGTTAATCGATACGATCGTTTTATAAGCTCTTCCGCGCAAGTAGTAGCATTCGAGTTTGCTCGGGCAAAAAAAAAACCATGTCACGTTACAACTGTCATATACGTCATTCACGCGCACGAAACTTATTTACACATACACTCTCAGGATGACGACGATGATAGTTACACTTACGTCCCAGCAATCAAGGTAAGGGCGTATCCTCGGCGATGAATCTTCCATGTTAACTTGTCGCGCTTGTTTGTGTAGTGTGCGTGTGCGTGTGTGTGTGTGTGTATAATTAAGGGTGATCGTCAATGTGTAGCAGTCTTCTCCTTTTCATCTCTCGCCCAGCGAGAAAGTCGACTCAAAAGTAACGAGAACAGTAACGTCAGCTTCGCCGTATTCGCCGCACATCCTTTGCGTTCGACGTTAAGAAAGATAGGAATGTAGCCAGCCCTCGAGGATGATGGTGATGCTACGTGTATATAGCTGACCTTGCAGAAGGCACTTCCATCGCGACCTTGAATGAACCGCTGCGCGCGCCGATCAGCTGCTGGCCGGCCGGTTGTGTCTCTCTTTTCTCAACAGTGCACTTTTTCTCTTTTTCGTATCAACACCACTTAGCTATTTATTTGACGCTCGCACTAGCACACTTCGATGACGACACATGCACGTTGTCATATTAAAACGTACACACACTTGTAGCAAATTGAAGAGTGTACAAATGGAGAGAAGAAGGAAGGAAAAAGTCGCGCTCGTGCGCCCGGCCAAGCGCCGACTGCGAGAACGAGTGAAAGCTCGCTTGGTGCTGGCGCGCCACGGAGGTCGATCGATATTACTGCTCCTGCCGCTGCTGCCGCCGCTACGGCCTCCCTTCTCCGTCTCCTCCTCTTGGTTACTTTTGCCTTCAACTTGCACCCACGGCCATAGGGGTACAAAACCTCCCCTTCTTTTACTGCGCAAGCTCGCGCATTTTCAGCCTGGGGGCTGCCGCCGCTTCAGAGATTTATGCCTCATTCAGCTAACGACGTATCTTCCAGCTTCCGGCTTTTGTTATCTCTGTACATGCATGCGTGCTCCTGCTATGCGATAGATATAAACATCGGTTTTTGTTTTTTTTTCCTTTTTTTCACTTGACGCATATGACGCATCGTCTATGTATAACTGCAGACAAGCTTTTCATGCAGCTCTTTATTTTTTTTCCTGAGATCCGTCTGAAGAGTTTGAGAGTACTTGCGAGAGATGGAGATAATAGACTTGTAATAAATGGACTTTTATTTGGACACTTTTCACATTTTTCACTCTATTCTTTTTGTTTTGCAACTTAAGACTTATTTTTTCGATTGAACGATTATTCTTCTTTGGGTATTTCAAGATGAATAGTTTTCAACTAAAATAGTTTTGAAAACACGATTTTATTTAAAATGTTCAAGCTATGATTGTTCGATCGAGTCGTGAATGCAGTTCAGCTTTTATATTTGAAATATTTTAACGATTTCCAAAAATAGTTGAACGCTATATTTTCTTCGCTAAATGATTATAATGAAAGTACTGCGATGTTTTTTTTATAAAGGCATAAGTTTAGTTGTTAGTTCCAAAAAATGAAAAATCCTAGCTCAAGACGATTGCAAGAAATCACAGTAGTTACAAAGTAAAAGTCAAACTAACCCGATTCCTGAACTCAGCTCAAAGGCTTAATTCAACTTAGCAATATGGTGAATCGCGCGGAAATACTTTCCATTTGTATAATGTAAAATGCCGGTGACTTTCCCCTCGTTGCCTTTAACTTCTCCAACTTAGAGGTTTGCGTTCGCGATTTAAGAAGAAGAGAGGAAAAGAAAAAAAAACACTACAAATGCCACGTAGGAAAATTTTTTTTAAGAACCTCCGTAAAGTGTCCTATAAAAAGATACCCCTTTGATCAGAGAAAAAAAGTAAGAAAAAGAGAAAAGAAGAAATGGAAACTAAGTAGCAAGGATACAGACAGGCAGAAAGGGGGACAGAGGGCGCGTGTTGGCAACATCGATCAGACATGACTCCGACTAAGCGGGAGGGGTGGCGAAAGCAGCAGCACGCCGCTGCTACTGGGGGCCAAGGTGTATTGATCATTTCCAGATAGGCGTCCGCGTCACACGCGCGCGCGCGTGGATTTTCGGCTGCTGTGACTGCTGCACCTATATCTATATATGTATGACTGTATCAGTAGCTACCTCGGTCTACCTCGAATTGAATGCTACTTTCACATCATCCATAGCTACTTTTTATCAGCATTATTCTCTAATTTGTATATTTTGCCTTAAAAAGAGAAGATATATACATAGCACTTGTTATGCCTGACTATGCACGAGCTTTTCTACTTTTCTTTCGAAAATCTATAATTTCTGAATTTTTTTCCCAAGCAGTTTGTTAGCATTTGTGTTTTTAGTCGATCAAGATATTGCGACTTTGACAAAATCATAGCTAGTACTATTCCCTAGCTAATCTAATTTTGTACAAAAGCATTAACGGAAAGCATTACCTTACAACAGATATTCGTCCTGACTTAATCAAGACTATCCGTACAAACAATCAAAACTCAGAAATCCTATATCCCATCATATAAATCCATCGCTAGCCAATTTTCGAGCACGCGCGCGCGCGACATAGAGAGAAAGAGAGAAAGAGAGAGAAGCTTTGATATATAATGCGCGAGCGTTTCCAATCCAATCATCACAGCTGAACGAGATAAGGAATCACGCAGTAGTAGCGGCGCAACGTAGCTAACGAAGGTGAAGGTCGGCCTCATTGTGAAAACAGCCTGGCGTGTTTTATTTCACAGCTGCTGGCTAACAGCGTATACAGTTGGGCAAAATCCGCGGTACGAAGCGTGTACGGCGTTGCCAAGTAGCACAATCAGTCGTTTTACTTTAATGTCTGTGTCTAACTGTCTTCCTATGTTTTGATCATTCGCTCCTGATGCTACAGGCCTGAGAAATAAGTTGGCCGGAGATATCCGATATATTGTTTTCGGTTTCATTATCTTTCGTTTTTTTTTCTTTTACGTAGCTTTTAGAGGAGATTATTAGAGTTTGCATTTCAATATTTTTAATTTATTTGTATAAACATTTGTGAGCTTATAGATGTTTTAAGAAAACAAAAACAATAATATTTAGTTTCAGATGGTTTATTCTCGCGACTTGTAAATAAAATAATTTTTTTATTAGAAGTTAAAACGGAAATTGTAGCTTTGCGATTTTATTGATGTTTGCAAATTATAGTTTGCATTTTAGAGCTCAGTTATTACCTTTAAAACTTGGACGCGTTATTGATTTTCATACATCCTAGATTCATATAGCTATTGGTTTAGTTACGATGGCTATTAAAGCCTTTATCGGCTTTAAAGTATAATGAACCAGTGAGACCGTTATAACTTTAGCGAAATACTATGTCATGAATCAATTTATCGATTCATAAAATCATAATACGAAAAGACAAGAGCTATTATAACAATTAACAAGCTTACGCACTCGCTTGTCTTTTTCTTAAAACACATCTACGCACATGTTAACAATATCAATTATAACAATAACAGCATGCGTGCATGTACACACCAATATCCAGTGATGGAATACAATGTGCCTGACCAAGCATTTGCTTATCTACTTACGAGGAGACCATTAGACAAGCTGATTTTATAGCAAATGAATAGGTACAAGTTTTTCATTTTAGTTTATATCTTTTTTTGAAACTTAATTCAATATATTGAAAAATCAACTTCTTTTTTTAACCTTAAGTCATCTTTACAGAAATCGTAATTTAAAGCTCATCAATAGAAAACCGAGATCAAATCCGTCTGTTTAAAACAAATTATTGGAAAAAGTTGAATTATTAAAAAGATACGCTCAAATAAACTTTTATTTAATATTAAGACAATTTTCTAATAGCAGAAATTTTTTAGGAATTTTATTACCAAGTTAAAAATGGCATGAATTTTGAATGATTTGACCTTTTCTAATAATTCTTAGCTAGCGAAAAGATTTGATCTTTGTTCTCTTGTGATGACCTTTGAATGGCGGTAGACTAATTTCTTTAAGAATTATTTAAGATTAAAGAGGATGATTGATTATTTCATTATAATAAATATAAGGCTTAGTCAGGTGCAAAAAAAAAAGACTTATGAGCTATAGCTTAAAGACACGTGTCTTTTTATAAAAAAGAAAAAAAAAGAACGACAATTTAGATTCTCGTCTTCGATTTTTATGCACGTGGCAAGTATGAAGTTTCGATCGCCCGCGAGGAAGCAATACAAAAGAGAAAAGAAGGATGCTTAGGTCGAGGCTCATTTTCTGTCTTATCAGCGCTTCTTCATCGTCGGGGGGTCCTCGATTAAGGCTTGTGCGCTCGCCTCGCTAGTCAATTTTCTCAATTATATTCGATCCAGCTTCTTGTGACTACGTATTCGTTGAATAATAACAACTTCAGCTTCATACTTACGGCTAATTCGACGCTTTTCTTTTTTTTTCTTTCTGACTCGGCATGATAGCAAGACTGTACTGTATGTATTTCATTTCATTATTTGAGCCCGAACGATACAACTTTTATTCGTGGCTCCCTGATTCTGCTTGACGTTTTATTGGATTTTCCCCCTTTTTTCGACTAACTTTTTCTTGCTCCCTAACTTTATGCTTGAGATGAAGCCATAATATTTCCATCACCCAAACCCCAAATGACGTGATTTCTTTTTGCTGTTCGGTTATTCTGAATCAAAAGGAATTGCACGGGTATTCGAGATATAAATTTTTGTTTGCAAACAAAATAAAAGTATAGGCAAATGAATATTTTCGACTGCATATTAAATAAAATGTATTATTTACATTTAACCCTCCCCCCATTCTGTGCACTAGATTAAAACTTTATTGTATCGTTTACACTTTTTGTTGGTAGGTGGCAAATGAATTAAAACTCTGTTAGAAAACATTTTTCCTCGTGCAGTACAAAAGGAAGAATCAACTTAAAGCTCATTAATATGAATAAAAGAATTAGAGAAAGAATAACCCAGTTATGTAAAAATATTATTTATACAATAGTCGTTCAAAGGAGCAACTTTTTTTCAAATAATTTAATCCTCTTAGCTGCACGTCTTGAAAATACACGATAAATAGCTTGTAATCTTGGCGTATGTACGAAATAATACATCTTCGAGGCTTTCACTCTATTCATTAAGCTTAAAGTCGTCAAATATTTATCGGTGCGAGTAACAAATTCTCAAAGGATATACAGATATACCAACATCCGGCCAGGATGATCCAGTTTTCTGTAAAATAGCCCGCGTTGTTTTCAAGAAGAATGTTACTAATATACATTCACATGCAGGTGAAGTCATCGCCTTGTTGGGTCAGGATGATTTTATTACCTATAGTTTTATATGTTTTCGCGCGAGTATAAATATTTCATCTCTGATTCGTCGGCATTCCCAAATAAAGTTGATGAGGGAAAGAAAAAATGAAGCAGTACGATGCTTTAGACAAATGAATGCAGACGATGTGATCGTGATAGGTCAATTTTGGCGCCAGTTCAAGGGAAAAATCCATCATTATCATTTACGTTATACAGACACACACACACATACACACGCGCGCGCGCATGCACACACACACACTCTCACACACACGCATTATATATCCATCATTTCAAATAGATGCATGGCTTGTTTAATAGCATCAGAATGAGACTGACAAATTAATTGAAAGTACATGCATTGATATGAATCAGTGTAAACATATATAAAACGTAAACTTCAATATGAGAGTTTTCGAGCTTTATTACCGTGTTGTCGTCGGTGCATTACATTCGATTGCATCGAATATTTCTAAATTTGCAAAAATATGTTTGGAGTATTACTTTTTTTGTAAAAATTATATTTTGCTACTTTGAAGCAATCTAAAGCAATCTTACAAAATCCAATCGAAAAGTGAACTTGAATTATTTATCTAGTCAGTAACGCTTGAAAATGCGTTCACATTTCTGAGAAACCATTCGATCGTACTTATTATTTGATAAAGTTACAAAATATAAATATAAATATGTTATGTTATTGGTTTCCCTTTCTTCTCAATAAGTCACCCTTTCAACTAACCCGAAGTTATAAATATAGAATCCAAAATTAACTTTGGACAAATATGTTGTGATTGAAACGCATATCAAGAAGAAACAAAATTATTTGTTAATCAATTACATAAAGAACACAAAATTATTTAATATTCTAAATGATACTCATTTACGTTTTACAATTCAGCGTAACACAATCAATTGTTGGAAGTTGCAAAAAATGTAATTTAAACACATTCAAATAAAGCTCAGCTTTCATATGTACTGTTGATAAAGTAATTTCCTGCCATACACAGCTGTCAGCAAAATGTAAACAATAAAATATAAACAATATGAAAAGTATCAAGATACAAAATAGTCGAAAGTATTATCAATTAGCTAATGCAGTAAGAATCTCGGAAATTAGGTAAGATAAATATCTAGGATCCTCATAAAATTAAAAATTAAACGATAAGGTCATCAATGGCGACAGCATCTATAAGAGGAGCACGCAATTAAGTAAACAAACGATAAAAATTCGCCGATCGAGCGAGCAAGCGAATGAAAACACAGATGAAACGGTAATAGAAGAGCGAGCGAGCGAGCGAAAGAGAGAGAGAGAGAGAGAGAGAGAGAGAGAGAGAAATCAGCTCTTCGTGCGCGCATACGGTTGCGCGTACGTCAGTTGCTCGTATGTGTACCAGATGTGTACATGTGTGGTTTCCGATCGTGGAATAAAAAGGAACTGCATGTAGCTCGGGCAGTGTCGTGCAGTTGATTTGTGTGGTGTTTGGTCCTCCAGGTGTTGTTTGTTTGATAAAAAATCATACTTGAGATTTTGCGTGCTTTGTCCTCACGAGGACGGATCTTCCCTATCAACACATTGAACAAACGAGTGTTTAAGGGTTTCGTCGTTGCATATTAGCGACGGCCGAGATCACGAGGCTGAGGCACGTTCTATGAACGCCAAGAGCCAAGGGGACCCTGGAGAAGATCGCGCATCATCCAGGTGTGTAATACCTAGCACACAAAATATCATCCAACAAATATCACGTCAGCAATACAAAGATAATTATGTAATGCTTTGTTGACAACTAACCTCTTTCAAATAAAAAAAACAAAAATAGAGAACTATACCGATTGTGGCGCTTTTTTGGATTAATTTTCCTACAGAAATGTTTGCAGACGATGCGCGTTATGAGAGGGGGGGGGGGGGGAGGGAGAGACAAGCATTTAAAAGCGGCTGCTCGTGCTGCCTACTGCTTCTGGCGTTTTACGTGTCTTTGTTTACCTTTGCATCTTCGTTTCACATTTAAGTTTCCAAGCGAATAGCCGTCATGAAAAGGAGGTTAATTTGAAGTTTCTTTTTAACAGTTTAATGCCGTTGTTTTTTTATTTCAATAGGTTAAATGATTTTATTTTAACAAATCGCGTTAATATATTGCAATGACTTTTCAACATTTCTATGTGACCTTAAGTTTATAATTAGTCCTGCTTTGTCTACGCGCTGTATACGTAGGTCCTCTCTTCTCTCTCCCTCTCTTTCTCTCTCTCTCTCCTTCCCTCTCCCTCTCTTCCTCCCTCTCCTCTTCTCTCTTATCCTCTTTCTCTCTCTTTCCCCCTCCTCTTTCTTTCTACTGATGTTTATTTTTATCATAAGAGAAATCTTTTGCCAAAAACTACTCTTCCTCTTACTATTAATACATTGTAAAATCGGTTCAATAATCTCTTGTGTTTTAACTGAAGAAAAATTTAGCTGAAAATAGATGTATATATTCAGATTTTAGATGTTCGGTGTTTGTGTTCACTGAATTATTTGTGAACATTTTTAGGGTAGGAGCAGAGAGCCCTTGCAACGATATGAAGCGAGCAGCTGCCAAGAAATTAATTGAACGCTACTTCTATCAGCTGACTGATGGTTGTGGCAATTCTAACTGTGACAATCAGCACTGTGCATCGAGTGGCAAAGTATGCTCATGTTTGACAGTGTACTTTTTCAATTGGTTAATTAACTTTTAGTTTATTTTGTTAAGTTTGAGTGAATGGTTATTTAAATATACAATGACAATTTCTCAAAATACTAATTCACAGATAATTACTTAGATAACTCACTGATCTGATGGAACTGATTTAATTATTCCATCATGACGTCAAATTTTTACTGTTTATTATTTTCTTGCTTCAGCTTCCAAATCTCACAGCAAACGAAGCAGCAGCACAGGCAGTTCTCTTATTTGCACAAGAAGCACGTTTGTGTGATGGTGTGCAGCCCAGTAAAGTAGCACGAACAACTCTGGAGCCAGGTCCTGCATCAGTAGCCAAAAGCCTACCAAGCAAAAATGTTAATCCTGCATGTTCTGTTGAAGGTAAGTTGAAAAAAATTATATTTACATCATTAATTTATTTTCAAATATTTTTGAAAATATAGAGATAGAAGCCACTAATAACCTCTTGCCAGAGGAGTCAAATGCTGTAGATTCAATTGTTGATTACTCTAGTGAAACTGATGACAGAAGTATAATACTTGATTTTATAAAACCTCTTGATCAAAGTTTGTTATCAATTCTTTACGATCATTTTGTGCATTTTTCATTTTCAAATGTTTCTGAAAATTTTAGATTTATCTGATGCATATACAAGTAAAAATAAGCAACGCAAACAATCAAGTGTTTCCAAGAAAAAAATTAAAAGAATAAATGCCAAGCTTCATAAATCTTCCAAAACATCTAATAACAATGATAATTCACTAGTTCATAAACTAATTGTATTGGCTTTGTATCTGAGATACGTAGATGCAAAAAATGTGATTAAAGAGTCAAGAGCCAAATGAAATTTTAGTTAAATTCAAAATTCATTGTTTGCTAAAAATTAATTGTGCATGTTAAAAATTGTGTTTGCAATAAATTACAGAAAAAGAATTTTAATATTTTATTTGAAAACAATTGGTATTCTTTATTTGTTTGTTTGCAGCTAAATCAGTGCCATACCTCACAGAAACCAAACTCTTGGATATTATAAAAAAATGCAAAGTGGAAGAAACATATTCACTTCTTATCAGAACATTAGGAGAAGTCTTTTCATCAGCACAAGCTTTGAGCCAAAGTTTTTTAAAATCTGAAAAAGATGATTCTCCTATAACAGCATTACTTGATAGAGCACCAACATCTTTGCTATGCCCCTTAAAAGAAATGAGCAAAGAGGCTGTTCGATCACTTCAAGGAGAAGATAAAGAAGAAGATAGTAGTGATCCTACCCCCATAGTTCCTCAACTTGATGATACAAATGTAGATTTACCAGCTGTACGCAGAGCTTTTGAAACACTTTGGTCTTTACCAGGTATATAGCAGATCGACTCAAAAGATTTTACAGTGTCAAATATGAGTGGTCAGTTATTTATAGATACGTGATATTTCAGGAGAAGCATTTGAATCAGCATTGGTACATGCTCTAGTCACATTGGCAGATAACATAGAATTGGATCTGCGAGTATTTGGTGGTAATTCTGCTGACAGCACGGATAGCTTGTTGAACGTCTTTTTAATTGTTTTCGAAATACCTGTACTGGGTAGCAGCGAGTATTTGGAAATGGCATTACATATGTTGTGCAAAGCAGCGGCATGTCTGCCCGTCACGGCTCAGGCCAAACTTGTGCGAATTTGGGCTCGTCACTGCAAAAATCGATTGCCAATTCTACTGCAAGCTCTTCAACAGCTTATTACTATTAAAGTAGCTCACTTTTCACATAATTTATGTCCAAGTTCGTGATATTTTATTAACATAATCGTGTTGTCTAGGTGATTGGTGGTATCTTTACTCGAGACTATTGCGTTCAAGATGCAGATACAATCACAGCCCCAACAAAAGTAATGAAAATTTTGTACTATGCAAGCATTATAGCTGGTGAGCTGGATTCACCAGAACTTTCTTGCGACGAGGACGACGGTGAAGCAAACGCTGCTGAAAAAATTAGCCAGAAAACAACAGCAGCTTTTCAAGTACATAAAAATTAAATCACCAAATAAATTATGCAAACTTATTTTTTTATTTACGTTGTGACGTCATTTCAGGATCCCTTAGCTGTTGAGTTGGGTATCTCTTCGTTAGATGCTCGTAATCCACTGATATCTTTTGTAGACTTTTACAATGAGCCTTTGAGCGATGCTGTTGAGATGGATAAAGACTTTGCTTACTACAAGAGTGAACAGCCAAAGAAATTTAGCTTTATGAATTATTCATTTATATTGACTCCCGCGACGAAAACGCTTGGGTTGTATTACGATAGTCGTATAAGAATGTACAGTGAACGTCGAATGAGCTTTTTACAAACAGTTGTTGGACGCCCTACGAATCCTTATCTTAGAATAAAGGTAAAAATCCATTTAAATCTAATAAGTTTTTTGATATAACATATGTTCTGAACTCGATAAGATTGAATTATTCTTATGTATACAATTTTTATTATTAGGTTAGAAGAGATCACCTAATAGAAGATGCTTTAGTCGAATTAGAATTAGTTGCTATTGAAAATCCTTACGACTTGAAAAAACAATTAGTAGTTGAATTTGAAGGGGAGTTGGGTGTTGACGAAGGTGGCGTTTCAAAGGAATTTTTTCAATTAGTAGTTGAAGAAATTTTCAATCCTGATTATGGCATGTTTACTACACAAGTATGTTTTTATAATAGATATTATGATATTTTTATTGCATTATAAAAAAATGTACAATACAAAATGACTAAATTACAGGAAGACACCCAGACTATTTGGTTTAATCCAACATCGTTTGAAAGTGACGCACAATATACTCTTATTGGTGTAGTTCTTGGATTAGCAATTTATAATAACGTTATTTTGGATATACGTTTTCCCATGGTAGTGTATCGTAAATTGTTAGGTAGAAAAGGTAGCTTTTCAGATTTGGAAGATTGGAATCCAACGCTATATCGCACACTGTTAGAAATGTTAGAATATACTGCTGACGATATGGCCGACACGTTTATGCAAACATTCAAAGTTGGCTACAAGTAAGTTTGTTTTAATGATAAATTTGTTTGGTCTTGAAAATAAATTTAACAAATGGTATTTAATATTTCCAGAGATGTTTTCGGCTCGGTGTTGTTTCACGACTTGAAAGAGAACGGTGATGAAATTTACGTAACACAAGAGAACAAAAAAGAATTCATGGATCTTTATGCCGATTTCCTTCTCAATCAATCTGTGGAGAGTCAATTTAAAGCGTTTAGACGAGGTTTTCAAATGGTTACAGATGAAAGTCCTTTAGCTTTACTGTTTAGACCAGAGGAAATCGAACAGCTCATTTGTGGTAGTAAAGTTTTCGATTTCTCCGAATTGGAAGCCGCCACCGAATACGATGGTTATACAGCAGAAAGTGATACAATACGAAATTTCTGGCAAATTGCTCACTCTCTGTCACCTGAAAGTCAAAGGAGACTTCTGCAATTTACTACTGGTAGCGATCGAGTCCCTGTAGGAGGCCTTTCACATCTCAAATTGGTGATTGCTCGACATGGACCGGATTCAGACAGGTAATGTATTGTTTTTTTTAATATTTTCAAAATTTAAACAATTTTCGTTTAAGTTTATGGTTTTTATCATTGTCATTATTTATCATTATTAATTTTCTATAATATGCCATTACAGATTACCAATAGCTCATACGTGTTTTAATGTGTTATTGTTACCAGAGTATAGTACATTAGAGAAATTGCAAGATCGGTTACTCAAAGCAATTAATTATTCAAAGGGCTTTGGTATGCTCTAAACGATATAAAGGCTTATTTCCCTCTCCCGAACTAGCTGTTACGCATTTTTTCAGGAGAAGAAAAAGCAATCGTCTTGTTTCAGATTTTTATTTATTCTGAATGTTATGCGAATCTTCCTCCTGCTTGTAAAATTATGTAAATTCGGCAATTTTTTTACAAGCCCGTGCTTGCGAATTGACAATTTCGAGTAGTCTCTTTTTAAACGAAGCACTTTAAGATTTTTGAAAGGTGACTGAAAGAAGCTATGTTAACATTTTTATTTTTTTCTATCTCGATGAAAATGAACGTGAAATAGGCAAGCACACAACGAAAAATCTCGACCCCCCCTCAAAAACAAAAAAAATTAAAGGAGTAACTGTGATGCGAGTATAAATGTCGAGCAATCGAATAATATGTACAGGATTTTTACATATGTACACGATTTTTTTCTAAGATGTATTAAACGTTTAATTTTTTGTGCATAATATTAACAAGTTAAAAAAATCTGCATAATAATGTTTAGGTTTGTAATATCTAATTTCAAACTAAAATTCAAATAGAAAAGAATCCCATTTATTGTTCAATATCTACATCAATTGGCTCTAAATTTACGAAAGTATATTAATAAGCGTTCTATATGTGTACATATACTTATAAATACAAACTCTCAAACAAGTAGTTTATTATAGCAGCACTTGAATTATGATAAGCCGAAGCGTGACCATAAGGTACACGAAATTGATATAAGAAATTATTGACGGTTAAGGACAAAAGTACGGAATTATTTGTAAAAATAAAATCAACTTTAATATATCTTTACTGTAATGATTATTATTTAAGCATGAGTCTCTTTATATGTTTTTACTTATATCAATATGAATGACAAAACAAAATTCTATACAGAATTTGTACTAACATTAACATATCTCTTGAGTGGTCAAATTGGAATTTAATATTTGGTCTTGCGACAATAAATCATTGTTACAATACAAATAACCTATTTACTGCTTATTAAAAAAATATACAAGTCATTTATCAAAACATTAATATCAAAACTTTACTATGCTATAAAGAAATCTTACTCTGCAATATCTTATTAAGATAAAGGCAGTGAATCTATGTTAATATTTTTGGTTAAACCAAAACTATACTTGAAATTACAAGCTATGATATTCCGCCTGTAGATTTGAATCAATAAATAAACGTTTTCCACTTTTGTGTAAAAAATGTATATAATTATTTGGCATAAAAGCATTGTGCCGAGCATAGGACGGAATGGTAAATACTAATATCACTATAAATTGTGATATTTTAAGATTCTTAAAGTGTAATTGACAAATGTCATTCTTTTTTTGTATATTAGGCAAATAACCTAAAGGTAAAAATGCTAACTATCAAGAGAATAGACATTGTTGTACTTGAGGCACTGTTACACCTATGATCAAAATAGCAGAAACACCATGTTGTCTCATCATAGTAATCTCTATGTATATCTAATTGTATAATTGAATTGTTCACATAATGCCCTAATCTAACATCCTTGGCGGCTGGTCTGCACCCTTCATATTTATCTGCTGGAATGTCAGTTCTGAATCCTCTCACAGCACTCAAACACTCTCGAGTAATAATTGTTTCAGCTATAAATAATTCATTTTAACATTATTTTGCAAAAGCCTTTATTTGAAAAAGTAAATGTATTTACCTCCTTTTCTTTCAATAATCTTTACGCATTTGTCATCGAACTCTGGACAAGTTTCTCCCCAATACCATAACCAGTTGAAGGGTGTACCACAGCCTGGTTGATTGCTATTACAGCGATAGCAGTATAACCATGTATCTCCTGGTAATAATATATTTTTGCAAATGTGTATTAATTGAAAACCATAGTAAAAATGACAGTATTTTAACATTAAAACTGAAGGCAATATTGAAATAATGTTATTTATTCTAATGTATAACAGCAAATCCATGGATATAATTATGGAAAAAAATATCGTTTGAATAAGTAAAGGATAATAGGTGATTCATAATTTCCGAAAAACTGAAGTCAATTGTCAAAGAATCGATTTGTTTACAAGAGCCACGCCCGTAATGGAAAATTGGTTATGAACGTACGACTAATATCACTAACCCCTAACATATTATTCAACTCACCTTGTTGCACAAAAAGTCCATATAGTAACATAAGGCACACTATGATTTTGAACATTTTAAAAACTCTGATAAAAATCTATTTACAAAACTATTTATAAAAAGCTAAGAAAACGCGCTCCAATCGTGCAGCGTTGTTATGATACTGTATTCATTTCCACCATTCAGGTGGTGATTACTCATAGCACGAAAACCACGATCGGTAAAACAGAGTATAGATCCTCGCTCACTTCGGGTTCAGCCGAGTGTGTGTTACATTTTCTTGTTGATCTTTTTTTCGATAAATAGAAGATATCACTATTATCTCAGGTAAATACTGCCTCATTCACAAAACATTAATCATTGTTGAAGTTGAATTAGCATAAATGCGAAGTAGTTTTAACTTTATTCAACCTATACGTTGGCAAGTGCTATGACGAAAGCATATTTACTTCTAGCTTACTATATAATTAGCAGTCGTCGTTTACAAATACAATCACTACCAACGATTTCTAATTGCAGTTTATTTTAACATTAACATCCAGCAACGTCGTTTTGTGAATCATAGTATCGATATCTTGTCATAATTTTGATAATATCTGCTCGTTAAAAAGCCCATTTTCGAGGTACTTAGCAGGCAGTAGCTTCTGTTTTGTTACATTAAATCTGTATTCGAAACCTTACGACTTGTAAAGATGGGCGGGCACACGCCCCTTGTGGCTCGGCCGAGCCGCGTAAAAATTCAGATTATCTTTCCTGACAGCATGCTGACCCGCATTTACGATCATCTCTACTATGTATACCCGTATATAATACTTGCATCAAAAGTGTGGTATTTTTTGGAATTAGACATCATCAACTCTTTTGTCAGAGCGAATTATAAACAGAGATCCTCTCGAGCAGACGCGCCTGCTTACGATTGCTGCCGTACGTGTGTTTAGTCTGCAGAACTGTAGACGCTTTTGCCCATCTGTTTTTCAATGAAAATGCTGATCGTTCGGGAAAATTTTTCGCTGTGCCTTACGTGTCGATGTATAATTATTACAATGATCATTCGTGTTACTGCCACCGGAAAAAAATAGCGGTATTCGTACTTTCACTCGAGGATGACTTTGAAGCAACGAAATTCTTACCGTTCACTTTTTGATTTTTAACTTTTTGCCTGCGGTAGCCTACTTATAAAAGGGCAGAAAAATCATTTGAATATAATTCGAAAAGCGAGAAACGCGCGTGATGTTGGAAAATGATTTCGGAGCAATTTGACCCACTTTATCACTAATCAAGATTCTGCAATCAGTTCTGCCAGTTCTTCTAGTTTCCAACTCGATTGCAAAGCACTAAGAACGGCAGGCCGACCGCTAATATCAAGCAACACAATAAGGGAAATAGTTTTCGGGACGATTTCAGCGGAACACATTGAGAGTGGGAAGAAAATGGCGAGCGCACGTGTCGACCATGCGTGGAGAAAAGAGACAAGCACCGCGGAAAAATCATGAGAATCGAGATTGCGTAAATCTGTCTCCGCGTGCACAACTGCAGCGGCCTGGTCAGCAGACAGCAATGCAATTCTCGGTGAAAGCCATGTAAATCGTTCTCTTGAGAAGCGCCTGCAGAGCTTACTCGTTGAAAGTTTCGTCAGTGCCATATGCGAGGCTCGCGAACGTGCCCCTAGTCTGAGCCAACCCGCATCTCGCGATGAGAAAGCACACGCACACGAAAAGGCGCATGATCTTGTTCACGGGCAGTCCACGGGCTCGCGAGCATGGCGCTGCCGTTGGGGGGCGTTTTCCCCGTGCATCCCGCGGCTCGCGGCTCGCGGCTCGCGGACTCGCAGAGACGCAGAGACGCAGCGTGAGAGAGAGGCGGAAAGAGCCGGCATGCAGGCGGCACGGCGCAAGCATAGCGTAGCGGCCACATGGAGATCGATACAGTAGCAGTACACAGAGTCGTCGTCGAGGCGCACGGCCGTATGGAGGCGCTTTGAACGCCACAGCAAGTCTCCGCTAGTAACAGGTGGTTCGCGTTGGTTGGTCGAGCGACTCGGCGGCTCGGCATTTTCTCTCCGCTCCGTCGTGTGCGCAATCATAGCAGCCGTGGGCCGCTGAGGCAAAGCGCCGCGGCAAGCAGCGCCAGGAACCGACGACAAAGACTGAAGTGCGAGTTAGAGCTGGTTCAGTGCGGCCGTAGTCCCACGTGCGTTCGGAGCTGAGGCTTCGCCGTTGTCGAACGATCGACCGTCGCTGCTCGCTCGCCGTTGTTGCTGCTCCTCGCCGCTGGCGGCTCGCCTCCCACTTCTCACGCGCATCACACAGGCGCGCGCGTCCGCCGCGGCTTGTTTTCCGAGCCGCCGCGAAAAATTCGAAAAGGACAACGCCCAGTGCTCCTCGGTCGCGCGAGTGTGTTGTGATCGACGCTGCCAAGAGAGTGCTTCGAGCTCGCACGTTTGCCGGCGATTCGGCGAAGCGCAAGCGTCACAGGTAACGTCGCCCATATGGCAGCACAACATTGCTTTCCTGCCTTCGCTGGTCCGCGCACGATCACGTGTGCGCGCGCGCGCGCGCGCTCCGCAGCTGCCGCGGATGCATATGTTTGGTGATTGGCGCCGTGCTTGCGCCCGAGCCCCGAGCGCCTCCGACCGGTCAACCCCTATCGACGCCCATTGTCCCCGTGCGCATGCGAGGCGACGGCCGACGCAGTACCAGTGACGACGGCTAATCGATTGTTTGCAAACAGAGCCTGGCGAGCTTGTTATTGCCGTGCGCGATGCGAGTGCCCTGTGTGCGAAAAAGGAGTAAAGCACGTGCTTGCGATCTCTCGTTCCAGATGTTGTACTTTCGACGCGGATCCGCGCGAGAAGGCGAGCCCCGCCGGCGCCGAGCACGAGAGCCCAACCGGTTTTTTTCGCGCAGCCTTTTCTTCTTTCCAGCGTCGTCACAGTCGCGCGCGCGCGCGCGCGATGCACAGCGCCCGAGCGACGCGCTGCTTCCGCTTCGCGGTCTATTTTCAGCGAGCGCGCTCGCCGAGTCTTATATGCATGCGAGCAAGATCGTCGTTGCCAATTGTTATTGATTCGCGTGCAAGTGGATCTCTGCGCGCTCGCGGCACAAATGGAAACGGGTTAACAGTCTCTGCGCGATAATCAGCTCAAACTTGACGCTTTGAATTAAGGTCGAGCGTCTTTTCCGCCTTCTATCTTTATAGCATTACGAGCTGGCTTATCTCCATTCCGCCGCGCTGTGCTTGCTGGCGAGAGACGACTCGCAGGCGCTGGCCATCTGGATGAGAGCCTTGTCGCCAATTTAAAGGGATACGAGCCTGCAAGTCCATTGACCGGTCTACCGGTGCGCACACGTGCCTGCTGTGCAAAAGTAGGCCGCGATCGAATCCGCGCGAACCTCTGTATTCGCTGGTTATAAATTATGACAAAAACCCCCGCTCTAGAACCCTCGTAACCCCCTTTTTCTCGGCACGCCAGTGTCATCGTGTATGTCGTATGTGCACATTGCAGTGAAAGGGCTCTCTCTCTCTCTCCCCACGATGCTGCGCTACTGCCGCTGTTGAAACAATCCGAGAAAGACCGCCGTTGAGCGACGATTGAAAGTCAAGAAGCAAGGAGAGGACGGGAGGGAAGAAGCCGGTTACATTGGCCGTGTGAGCGGAGCTTTTCAAGAGTCATAGACAGAGCAAAGGATGATGGAGTATTATGACGCTGGGACAAGCGACCTCAAGGAACTTTGGGGGGACTACTCCTACTTTGTCGACACGGTAAGTTCATGTAGATTTTGCGTGAACTTCCACTTGTAAGCCCTGCGCAACGTATTCGTACAGTTGGCGAGATAAGAGGTCTAAAATAAATCGAGGAAAGCTCGCGCGGTGCGTTACACTTTTTTATTGTTCAGCGTTATTCATGACTGCGGAGACGAGGCGCCTCGATAAAACATTCATTGCTCGCGTCGTCGATCGATACAGCATGAACATGGTGATAGCTTTGCACAGGTGCTTTGCTCTTAGCTGACTCCTTATCGCGAGCGCGAATATAACGCAGCAATGACCCGCTTCTAGCCGTCGGCCTTCGGCAGCTTTGGAAATAGAACAAACGATTATTCTTCTTTTCGGACTTGGCGGTCTGTAGCTTTTGCACGCAACGTGCTATTGTGAGCAAATAAACAAGAAACTTAGGCGAAGTTGTCGCCAGGCTATCGCAACGAATCGTCGATAAAACACGACGCAGCAGCTTTTCCGCTTCCGAGCACGATAAATAATAAAGCTCTCGTGAACAATCCATCGGAAGCTGCCTGCGATAAGTACTACGTGCGTCTCTAGTCACCGCTAATATTATGCGAAAAACCGACGACGGATAATTAATTGATCTTACGCGAGCCAGAAGCTTATCAAGAAAACAAACAAAAAGAAAAAAAGAGAATGATTCAGGTCTGAAGCTACATTTTATCTACATACGATTTATAAAAACGGCTCTTCATTTTGCGACACACGTAGACGATTCGAAAAAATAACGAAAAATCATATTTTATACGCGACTTTTCGTTTGCCCGCGCATTGTCACGAATAAACGTACAAGATAAAGTTCTCTTTTGATCATTGGAGCTTTTTTCGGAAAGGGGGATATCCGCGCCATTTGACACCGCGTAAACAGGCATTTTAGCTGGTGTAAGTAAATATTGCGTCATGACCGAGCTCTACGAGCAGCCGATAAATCAATAACTTCATATGGACTTCGTATGGACGCACATCCTTCCGGCTTTCTTCGATCATTGGCAACACAAATGTCCAAGTGGAAAAAGCAAGAAGTGTGGCATTACACGCAGTGTCTTTGGCTACAACGCGTGCGTGCAAAGGCGTTACAGTTAACCCACGCCGGCTCTTTACAGTTATGTAGGCGTCGTGTATACATACACACACACACACACATAGGTGTGCATGGTAGAAGCCAAGTGGTGGCGAGCTGCTGCTCCGTCGTCGCGGCCTTGAGCTCGAGCAATGCATCGCGCGCATACCATCGCAACGCGAGGATTTTTATGTATCGGTGAAGCAGAGTCTAGTTTTTTCAGCGCAGGGGGAAAAAATACAACGACACTCCAAGGTCGCACGTGTGACGCGGTGACGCGGAGCTTTCCCCTCGCCTATGTTCCGCGGACGTCGAACGAACTGCTGGTTTTCTGTTAATGTTGCGGAATTGTAATTTGTATTTTTATCAGGACATTCGTGAACGCTACTTTTCCGAAGGTCGAGAGAAGAATGCTCGTAGGCGATTGGAGAGAAACAATGCGCAACTATAGATAATTTATCTGCAAACACGTTAAAAAGCAATGAAAAGTAAACGCATTCTACTTCCACAACATAGTAGCCTCAAGCTAATTATTCTCTTTCAGAAGTTACCTCGCCGACCGTTCAAAATCCAAATTCAAAGGGGGTTTCATATTTTTTCTAGTCCCAACATCACCCATCCTTATCGCCACGTTCATTTCGACGCACATACGCTTTCCGCGATTAAAACGTTTTTTTAGCTGATATCTCCTATCAGCGCTGCGTACACTTTCTAAATTAGCAGTTGCATCACGACTAAAAATTACATCATCCTTTCCTTCAATTGATCAATACACGTATAAAGCCCGAGAATTGCGATGTTTGCCAGGCGTGGCTGGCATCGGCGCCCCTCTATGACCAACAACGAGACGTTTACAAACCGGTAGCGCGGCCATCTTTCTCTCTCTCTCTCTCTCTCTCTCTCTCTCTCTTTCGAGGCGAGGCGAGGCGTCCGAAAATCGTTTGGTCAGGTCCCTCGGTCTACATAAACCAGTTTCACACCGCATATAAAAATCCCTCGCATATACACACCTGCGTCTTGTATTCCCTTCGAAGCTGGATCTTTTTCAAGAAAAATCGTCGTGGAAAAGCTGTCATGCCGGCTCCCTTATTGGAATGCGTTTCGTTCCCACTCCTCTATTCACGATGTTTCAGCGTTTCGGCTGTCGAGGCTCAGCCCCCCCTCTTTTATACGTCTATCTCGACAATGGCATGCCGCGACGAGGAGGACGTTCACCTTTTTTCGTAACTCCGGGCAAAGCACCTGCCTGTGACTCGCGCTCAGCTTGAACGCTTCTCCACTCTCTCTCTCCCTCTCTTGACTTCCGCCCAAATAGAGTCCTAGCGCGTTAGTTTTATTTGTTGCCTTGATGCTAGGGTGAAAGAACTCCTTCTTCCTCTGCTCCTCTTGTCGAGACTTTTTTGGTAACCTCGACGCAAGAGAGAATTTGTTCTAGCCATGGATCGTACCGCAATAATCCAGTAATGTTTATCAACACCCGGCAATTGTATAAGCTTCCTTTAATTGAATCGGCAAGCTTTTGATTAAAAGTCGCCGAGGTCACAGCCGCAAAGTGAAATGACTTTCTTAGTTTTAGGGAAATTTGTCGCTAGAAAATGGCAGAAGCGAAAAAAATTGAGCGAGTGAAAGGAGGAGGAGGAGGAGGAGGAGGAGGAGGAGAGGAGGATGATGGCGTTTCCGGCGGATGCTCGCTTCTGGGCCGGGAACCTGCTGCACAAGAGTAAGCCTCTGCAGGGTCCAGTTGATAGGAGGTACAACAAGAGTGACCAAAAAAGGTTTCACGCCGCCGCGCGATAGCGCGCGGAGAAAGTGTCGCTTTATTTCTGTGGTGTAGCGCTGCTCTTATCTCGAGCTGAGACTATCATTAGGCACTTTCTACGAGGCTATTACGAACGTTCGAAAAACCGTTTTCATAGCCACTGTGAGAAGCTGCCGAGAAGCTGCTGGCATTTTTTTCTCCAAAACTAATGAGTTTGTATTTCCACATTCTCAATTCTCAAGGCGAGCAAAAGCTTTTTAGGCAACCTGTCCTCCAGCAAACGACACGTTCGGTAAAAATTTTGATTCGACAGCTCGCACAGGCGAAAATTACCATAAAAAGAAGAAGGAAGGATCGGCGGCTGGGCGTAACCGGTCTCACGCGCACTGCGTACATATAAAAAGTCGATGTTCCGAAAGCTCTGCTCGCGGGAACTGGTATACATGTGCATGTGCACGTACGTAAGAAAAGGAACGTTTCGCCGCGCAACTCACTTCGGCAGCCACAGCAAAGCAGCGACGCTGAAGCAAAGCAAGCGGTGCGGCACGCACGCGAAGACCTTCAACTTGACCGCGCGGTCCTTGACCTCTCGATGTAGCCTGCGTTCGCCGGGTACCAAAACTAACTGTGATCGGAAAATTTTTTTTCTCTCCTCTCCGCGCGGCCACTTTCAACCAACGATTTATCGCTTTATCGCTATGCCCACGAGTAGTGAGTTGGCAACCTGTCGCTGTGTAGACGTTGGAGTTTTTTGGCGAGGCGCGCTGAAGGACGACAAAATACCGCATTAAAATGCTGAATAGGCATAGTGTGCTGGAATACGAGACTCTTTCCGACAACGTCGGCGGAAAGGAAACGAGCGCGAAAGGCGCAACATGACTCAACCGCTCGCGAGCGGCTATTGCGAAAAGCCTGCCCCCCCTGCCACCCCCCGCCCCACTGCTCTTTCTTTCTCTCGCCTGCTATGCCTGCGCCTCGGCATTTATTTTTTCATTTTATCTACGTCAATTATTTCCTACTGCTCTTTTTGCCACTTCAGGCGCTAAATAAACAAATAATGCGCGGACATTTTTCGACCAAGTGATCTTTCTATTTTCGGTGAACAACGTTCCTTCGATTGCGCCTGTGTGTCGATTCCTGTAATTGGCATTTCGTCACCTCTGTAAAATCACACAACTCTGATCGAGCAGAAAATCATTTCTCCTCTGATCCGATTATACGTTTCATAAAATTCGTTAAACAAACGTAGAGGAAATGTTCACCAATCATTTCCTCTAATAAGAACCGCAAATTACATAGTTACGCGTAACACATTACCGGCAAATTACCGATTCACGAAAGCAACCATAACGACAAAAGAGACGACGCGCGCTCAACAGGCACACATGTGCATACATACTTCCACACTGGAATTCCGAAGTCCCGCTAGCAACTGCGACCCAAAGTAATATTAACGCGTTGGAATTGTTTGACTCTTGTTGTTAGAGCCTTGGTCAAGATGTGTTGATGTGCAAAGAAGACGATTGGATAATGGGACTCCGTGACAAGTCATCTTGTGGTGGGGTTGTACTTCGAGATCGACTGATGACCGATGCCGCACTGGGTGGACCAAAACCAATTAAAAACGAGCACAGCTACAGCTTACTGGCGTCCAGTCCACCGCGAACAAATGTCGAGAGCAATGGACCAGCGGTCAGGGTACAGAAGATTAAACAGCCACACCATCAGATTGTCTGTTCCACTAGTGAAACTAGCAGGATCGACGGTGAGTCTACTTTATCAATGCGGGAAACTCTTGAGTAACAATTTCAGACGGGCAATCCTTTAAAATTAGTTTGAGTGGTTGTAACACGTTGTATATTTTAGTATGAGAAACGATTTTTTCCATTAGACTATCCAATTCTATTAATTTTCTGTGATGCAAGCAATGCTTTTTTTTCGATCGTGAATTCTTGCCATGATTTATTAGAAAGAAAACGCGGTATAGTATTTTGAAGCAAGTAGGCTGTCAGTGTTATACGATATATATTTACATTAATACCAGTAGCTGACTTGCGTAATTTTGCGTATATTTACCTTGTTAGCACGTCGTTACCTACGAGAAAAGCTTACGCATTGATGTTATAATAATTCTAATATTGTAGAGGTTCAAGTCAATATTAATGTAGGCTTAGCATTATAATATTCTTTATTGCTTCCTGAAATTTTCCTAGATATAATATTCAATGGTTAATTGAAAATTTTACGAGATACTTTCTATTCTATTTGTATAGTCAATGTTCACAGTTAAATACCTTATGCGAGACGGTTTATAAATACTTATTTTGTGAATATAAAGTCTCAAAAATTAAATTAGACTTTATCAATAAAACGTAAAAATTTCAGTTTTTTGAAAGTTTACAGTACAAGTATTTACAAAAGATCTAAATTGTTACTATCAATTGAATTCTATTCAAATAAAATATAACAAGGAAAAAAGCTTTCTCGTCGCTTTCTTCGATGAAAGAGTCAGAGTACAAATCACGTACGTGTATAGAAAGTCACTTGAAAAAATGATCGATATCTAATCGATCCTCCTCCGCTGTTATTTTCTACAAGGTCACATGTATCTCCAGAAAATATAATATTCAATCGACAGTGTGATAATTGAAGTCGGGCCTCTTACAATACATCGTGGACTTGGAAGGAATTTTTTGGTCGATAGATCATTATCGATTTGCTCGATAATCTTCGGGAGATTGAGTAAACAGGCGAACTTGATTAAATGTCTATCTGTCTGCGTGCGAGTAAACCTCGATTTCTAAGTTAAAACTTACCAACATACAAACATTGCACACGCTGGTTAAATAATCAATTTAGTAATAGCGTGACGCGTCGAACCGGTTATTTTTAAAATAAATAAGGTTGTGTTACATGATGCATACAAAATTACCAGTGTTGATAACGAAAACGATCGCTGTGCTCAATTTCCAGTGTGAAAATGGGAACAGCAAAAATATGAGTAACAATACAACAGCAAATACGCACTAAATAATCGTCGATGACACGCGACGCAGCTCGTTGCCCGCAGATGCATTGTAAGAAAACCGAATGCTGCATTTTACAATAATCTAACGATCGTGCCATTATCGCAGCCTATATATAAATTCATATCCCGCGGCTGAAATGATCGCGCGATTTCGAAAGTTCCTATGAATCACTTGCGGGCTATAGGTCATGACTAAACGCGTGTGCATGCGTTGTATTGCAGTGACGGACATGGAGGAGGAGTGTTTCCCAGCAATCTCGATGAACACGGCATCTGGTAGAGATTCATTGCGCTCGACGCCGGAACCTTTTCATACGACGGAATGCAATGTCAGGCAGCAAGAAGAGCGAGAAACTGCCGATGCTGCCGGAGATGAGGAGACAAACGAGGCAACAACAGTAGTCAATTGCTCGGCCGTCAAAGGTGAACCACTTAGCGCCCCTTGCAGTCCTTGCGCCTCCGATCCTGCCATGCTTCTCGAGGAGAAGAACACCGTTGCTATATCGCCTCACAGTATACACCTTGCTGCTTTCGCTAACTCGCAGAGTAGTGACAGCGAAGAAGACGAAGAGGAGATGCCGATGGTGAGACACGTTTGCTTGCACGCGTCGCATATTTTTTCGAGTGAAAATTTTGGGAGCATAATTTCTTTATCTCGCTCAACAATATCACTTTGGATTAAGCAAAGCCATGTAGTTTGTAATCCAATCGGCCAGGCGAACGTCATTCGAAGCATGCGTTGTAGCTTTTTGCCCGCGATAAAATCGTAAACATCATTATCGAAGTGTCTCGGTATATAGGAAGCCAGCTGAACAACAACATCGCGAGCTTGAGTCTACAGAGTGTCAAATTTGTAGGAATTCAAAGTCGAGGATTATCACGTGATGGGTTGCGAGGACGACGCTGTTGATCAGACGTCAAACCAAGAATTGCCACCAACCCCACCAAGTAGCGCAAGCTCGGATAGCGAGGGTACGGTCTCGGCCTCGTGTTCGCCCGAGCGAAGGGATTCTCATGGCTCTGTTCACGTACAAAATCTCCGTGGCTTTCTACAGCCAAGGCTATATGTCACAGCCAGTGGCACTATAGGCCAACATGCCACTAGCACGCGTCAGCCGATACATACTCCACTGATTTCCTGCCAGCCGGTAAGATACCTCAGCTTTCCTGATTCGTCTTGCTCAACGGCTAGATATTGTTTTACAAACTCACTTTTGATCCGTCAATTTCCTTCACCACACTAGAAGGGTTCCACGGGCATCCTCGTGTTGACCGAAGAAGAAAAGAGGACACTGATAGCCGAAGGATATCCCGTGCCAACGAAATTGCCCCTCACCAAGCAGGAAGAGAAGTCCCTAAAGAAAGTACGCAGAAAAATAAAGAACAAGGTCTACATACTAATATTTTCTCTTTTGAATTTGAATCTTGAGTTAATGCCGATACTCATCTAAGCAAAACATTGCCATTCTCGTGCAGATATCCGCCCAAGAGTCTCGTAGGAAGAAGAAAGAGTACATGGACGGTCTCGAGAGGCGAGTAACGCTTCTAACAAACGAGAACAGCACCTATCGAGAAAAGTTGTCCACCCTGGAGAATACCAACCGTCAGCTTATGAAGGAGCTGCAACGCTTGCAAGCGTTGATCCAACGAAAGTGAAAGTCTTCCTAGATAACATGAAAATAAAAAAGAGCAGCCCCCGACGGTGCTTGTGAGCTTGTACTGATACGATAATAATCGTATACAGACTTGTTTTGTGGCCTTCGTAGTAGTAAACGTGTGCGTACCTGCCGCCCCAAAGAGAATGTACGTTTCTTATTAAAGGACCTAAAAAACAAATAACAAAAAAAAAAAAGAAAAAAAAAAAAAAGAGAAACAGAACGGCGAGTAAAACTCTTTCTTTTTTTCTCTTGCCATACATGGCGTTTTTATTAGTTAGGGATTTAAGGGTCCGCAAGGTATGCTCTTACGTGCGCTACAATTTATACGTAAAGATGATATAGAAAAAAAAGGGACGTCCGTTATTAAATTTTTTCTTAGTGCTAAGCGTAAAACTTTTTTCTTTTTCTTTTCTCTTGTCTCAAAATGATCCAAGCATTTTTTGTTGATGATCGACAGATGTTAAAAGAAAATGTTGCTGTTCAAAGTATAATACAGAAATGATGTACATAGAGAGTTTGAGAAGTTATATACAAGGCAACGAGTGTTGAAACATTCTTATCGAGTCATGCCTTATAATATAGCCCTAGTTTTGCTGCGCGACCAACAAACTCACGTCGTCATTAATGTCTTGATAATGGACTGTTGCCAAATCGCCCGGGAGTCGTGCAAAAGTGATTATCATTGTTTTATTGATATTGTTTCATCTTTACACATCATCCATTTATTCATTCCTTCTTTACTATTAATTTTACGATTAACGATTGTGTGATTAAAAAAAAACGCATTTAATTACTTGTTTACTTTTTTCTTGACGGAAAAACAGAATAGAGACAAGAATATAAGCTTCATATTAAATATAATTCTAACTGTTCAAATTTTGTCAATTTTCCTGTCCACATAATCTATATCGAAGATCTCGGTGTACAACATTATATAAAGATATTTATGCAAACAAAGCTTTTTGATATTTTTATCATTCGGTATTTATGTGTACATCTTTTTTCCACGTAATTGTGTCAGGAAAAATGCATTGATCTTTCATTTCTATATTTTAACTAAGCATTTGACAAAGTTTTTCGAATAGTTATGATTTTTTGTTTTAAAACAGGGCTGATGCTAATAGTATACAATCTACAATCTTAAAGACTTAATTTGTTGTTTGTTTTTTGAGAGCAAAAGACGAAATGAATATACATAAAGAAAAAGATAAATCATATATTCTATAACGAGATTTTATAAAATGTAAAATTATATTTGCGCCGCATTTTAAAGATATATTTCATATACATAATATATTTCACTTTACGTACATGTTATAGCATAGCACTTATATATATTTTATATGAACGTATATAAAATATATATGCAGAACAGAAAGATATATGAGTGGTTATATCATCAATTTTCCGATCTAAACAAAATTACAAGTCGTGTTGTTTTGTGTTACTTGTTGTAAACTATCGCATTAAACGATAATTTTTTTTCTTTTCTCAAAGAAGAACGCGTGTACCCAAAGCGTCCAAGCACGCGTCGCTCATATGCGCGTCATAAATGTTAAATATTTTATTTATATACTATAAGAGCGAGAGATGATTTAAAAGAAGAAGAAACGGAGAAAAAGTATATTATTACTATAAGCCGTATGCGAGGTGAATATTAAATTGTGTATATTATGCGAAAACTTTCAAAGGTTAATTAAGAATCTGTTAACGACATTTTATATGTTTTCAAAGAGTTATTTTTGCTGCATGTATGCTTAAGCGAGTAAATGATTGTCATAGCAACATACTACAACTTTCGCATACATACCTCACTGAATAGATTGACTGGGTGTTGTCTGACAATAAAAAAAATAAAAATCGTGTGGCTTAATATGACGTTCGTTTTATTTTTATTTAAATCCTGAACCCATTTTTTGTTGATCCAGATATAATCGTAATATTCAAAAGAATTGTACTATTTTAGTAAACTCTTACGTAATGGATGATCATAAAGTCACTTATTAAATAATTAAAAAACAAACACGGTTTTTAACTACGCTACTCAAATGTATGCAGTTAACCGATTACGAAATGATTTTTAATATAAATAAATTGATTATCATCGGACATGTTTCATTTTCAAATTAACATTGTATTGGTGAACACTACAATTGCGATTCGAAGGCAGCAATGATCTTCAATTAATGTCAATGAAAACTATCGGAGACGTTTGCAGAATGAATCGAACGACAACTACAGAAATAGCACGCGGAGGATCTATCCTGATTAAAGGGGACTAGAAAAGGAGTAGTTGACTTCGAGACGCTTAATCAAAATGAGCTTTTCTTGATTGTTTACCATTGCACGATCGACGGACGATCTTTGTCGAGTTTACCCTTTGTGTCGTTTATGTTTTACGGGTCAACGGATGTAGAATTAGCGATCTTTTTTTTATTTTTCATTTTAACTGAATTTTTTATATATTTAGAAGAAAGTCCTTGAAAACCGATAGATCATTTTTTAACATATTGCATAAATTATGCTTTAATATAACTAGATAAAAAAATGGGTAATTTATAATTTTTTTAATTGTAAAAGCTAATGGTAAATAAATTAATTCTTAATTTTATGCATGAGGAGCAAAGCCGGTAAAGCAGGATGCCGAAGGAAAAGATGAAGTTATTCTCTTTAGACATAACAAAATAAAACAAAATAAATTTTAGAGAGAGAACAATGGATTTTTATCATTTTTGTATGAGAAAAATTTCGCTTTCTCGAGGAATTTGTTTTAAATCCACGTTATCAACTTATGTAATTTAAGGAATCAGTTTACATTAAATTTACCATATAGAAAGCTAAACAACACTATTACAAATCCAAAATAATTATATTTTCACAAATTTTCAATATCCATCTCAATTTCCTCAGTATTATCTGACTCAGAAGTCCGTTGCAATGCCGCCAAACTGACTGGCTTCTGCAAGTCAAGTGATTTCTTGTCTTGACCTTTGCTTCTTTTGATCGATCTATACAGTGGATTTTCAAATCTCTCACCGCTAGTAATCGGATGATGAGTTTCCTCGCCGAGATGGACATTGCCTTCAGATACGTTCTCAAAACGTGCAAAAGAAAATGATTTCTTTCTAATATAATTACTGCCGTTTACTCGCTTATCTAAGAATATAACTGTAAAAATTTCTTGAGTAGCTTCCCATATTCTGTAATTGTGAAATTAGAGTGTTTATTACTATAAAGTCACGGGAATAAATGCACTTTTAATGGACATGGAGAATTAATGGCTGTTTACGGATTGTCAACGTTTAATTAATTACAGCACTTCTTTTAACGTAATAGTCGTTCTTTCAAGTTCAAGTGCTGATGGCCTTTTCAACAACATTTTTTTGAAGTCAAAATAAGCAAAAAATTATTTTACAAATAAAGTGAGTAATAATGAAACGTTGTCAGTGTCAATGCAAATCTCAACTAGGTCAACTACACTGCAATGAAGAATAATTAGCGTCACATATGTCCCTGAAAAGCCGAACCTGAGTTCACGGCATTTCGCAAGGCGCCATTCTGGAATATGAAATAATAAACACTCAGTTTAGCTGTGCGCACGAATTAATTAAAACGTGAACGCGCGATATTCGGAAACTCGAAACTTTAACTCGCCGGAGAAAAATGACAAATAAACGTAACGCGAGCTGCAATCTCAGCCGTTATATTCTGAAATTAAAATAAATCCAATCTTATTTTTCGTACAGGGTCGGTTGCGCACACCAGGTTTGTTTAATAGGCTGATTCGATACCCTCTATCTTTTTAAAGATGGATGATTTGGTACATACACACATATATTGATACTAACGTTTTTCCGTTATGTGAACTCGTAGGAGATTTAAAGTTATCCAAAAGACAATTTGATAATTTTGCAGGCTTGGCGATATTTGATTTATTTTTGGAAGATATACCTTTTTATAGATGTTTGGAAATGCTTTTTAGACTGCGTTATTGAATGAGAAAGTTTTCTTCGACAAGACATCACGATTACGTAAATTGAAAATACGTATACATCAACTAAATGTTGAAGCACGCTGATAGAAAGCTCATTTCACAACAGGAAATCGAACGTTTTCCGTGATGTACGTAATTAGCGCTTTCATTTGCTTTTTCTAGCTATAGATATGCAAGTCCCATGCGAGAAAATGTCTCGTATATCAAGAGTTCCGCGTTTATTCTCTACTTGCGAGCTTTCATTACTTTCCCTCGACGCATGAAACTTTTGCCGTGAATCCTTAAAATGTTTTATTCGCTATACTTACTGTGAGAATGAATAGCCAAATAAAATGCAGATGAGTAATGTTAGACATATTATTGCTAGAAATCCACCCAAGAATGGACCCAAAGCATACGCCAGTCGATTATCGTCAAGTGGATCGCCCGAATTTTCAATAAGTAGTATCTCTATCGATTGCTCTGTAAAACACAAATAGTATACTATTGTTGTAGTAAATATGATTTGTTTTGGTTAAAAATTACCTTTAAGAGCAGTTTTGAGCTCATCAAGAGCCAAGATGACATCGACGCCTGCATATCGATTTCGCTCTGTAACGAGTATTTCTTTATGACCTGTAGATGTGATTCTCGTATGCCAGTAGACCGACGTCGAGAAAGAACTGAGTACTCTGTCTGTTATTTTACGCGCAGCGCTAAGCAGAGCCTTCGCTGAAAGTGTGATTCTACCTCCGCAGTAATAGCAACAGTGACCCTCTACCTGTTCATATTTATTCGCAAACAATTAATTTTTGTCAACAAGTAATTTTCTTCATTTATTCTAGAGAAATATAACCGTCAAAGGATATTCGCAAGCTGGAATTTCACATCTGGGTCGCACGACGTCGCATATCTCCTCCCAATACTGAGTTATATCGCCTTCCTGGCAAGGACAATTTTCGCACCCATTAATCGGACTATATCTACACATAAAAATGTTCAAGTGAGTAATTAATTTTCCACAAAAGGTCGAGATTGTACTCACTCGATGGTAAACCTACTATCGAGAAATTCTGTTCGATCTCTCATCTCGCTCCATTCCCACCTTGTAAGACTTGTATTCTTATCGGCTAATCTTACTGACTGAACTTCAAGGTTTCTGGAAGCTGGTAGTCGTACACTAAACACTTCTGATTTTTTAGGCAGAACTACGATATCGTTTTGGCAAGGTAATCTTTCCAGATACGGTACTGCTTCATTCGTTACGTTCCACATGCGCGGCTCTACCCACAAGAACGTCATCTCCCAACGCCAGCGCGATTCAATGCTTTGATCAGAGCTCATGGAGCTTATCTAGTTAATTAGTTCATTTATTATATTGACAAAAGAATAGAATTTTGAGGCTTTCACAGATTTATTGTATTCATATGAAATGATGAATATCACAATAAAATATGTCAATAAAACGTAGAATGAATTTAATCATTCTGACGATGGAAAAAATGTCATAATCATGCATTTGGTTATTGTGGAATCAAAAAGAAAAGTTTAAGTATAACAAAACGTTTGATACTAACGATAAGACGGCCATTTTCAGGCAGAGCTACGAATCCGTTAGCTGGAAATTGAATTCCGCTAAATCGAAAGTGTCTGGTATTTGGAAGCCCAACAGCATGTCGCATCTCCGCCGGAAATACTATAAAATCATCTGATTCCGGTACTCGACCTTCGAGCCAGTTGTTTGGATTCTCCCAATCTACAATCCAATCGCCAGTCCATTTTTTCACTGCACCGTGGACTTCTTTAAAGCTTATTATTGTCGTCAATAAAACGATAACTTTACAACGGAGCTCCATGTTCACAACTGACTAAGTGACTAGAGTCAAGGGGGCGTTTACGTCCAAGTATCAAATATCATTTACTTCGTAGGTTGACAACTCGAGTATTCGAAAAAAACTTAAATATGTGTGGGCAATAATCAGATAAGTTTGTCAATCTGTATTGGAATTTTTCTTTATTCAATCAATTAATTTCTAAATATACATTTTCATTGTGGAGAAAGCGATTTGTAATCGAAATAAGACCAATTGAAAAAAAAATGTAGTACATCTTATCTAATTTACGATCTCAAGTGTTCTATAATGTACTGCAATTTTATTGATATTTTATGCCCTCATAACATCATGTAAAAGGTGATCAGCCAATGGAATTTGTAATGCAAATTGATCTAAAGTGGATTTTATCGTAAAATAACATTTAATTCGACAAGTACCATTAACGAAAATTCATAAAGCTTGTAGAACGTAAAACGCGCAACTACACTCTGTAATGGCAGCGAGATGCTGGAATAATAAATAAATAAACAAATAATACATTTACATTCTTTTTTATTACTACATAGCAGTAGCTATCGTGCACGTTACTCGATCGACACTCCAATTCAGAACATGCGAGCCTGTGCGTATATTATGGCACATCAGCGTAAAAGCATCCACCAATTCGCATAAAAACACGACGGTACGTATGTCTCTGAAATGTGCAAAAAAAATTTTTTTTTGTACTACAATCGCAGACTTTCTCTTCTCTCCTTTGCAATGAATGAACAAATAATTTTTAAGTATACACGTATGACTAGTGAATTATTAAATAAATAAATAAATTATGATGCTCAATAGAACAACAATTAGCTTTGGTAATTAGCAACCATACGTTGATTCTCTCACTCTCTGTACGTTCTCAACGAAATATCAGAATTCCTTGTTTATGCAAAAAACCCATTGCCGTCTTCATGCTCGTAGTTACGTTTGCCTAAACCAAATGGAAAATCAGCTTTGGCGTACTTTCTCGCAAGCCTCTTTTTGTGCAACCAGTCGTTGACGTTTCTCTCTCCACCACCTCGCTTCCCTGTATATGATGAGATGGAGAACACTTGAGTATATTGGCGAGATGTGATGTTGATTGCTTGTGACACGAAGGCGTGCAAAATTGACAAATTACGCGTCTAGGCGCGTGCTGCTATTCCACAGTTTTGACAGATTTTCTAATATGCAATATTTATGCTTATAAAAAGGTATAAGAATGATATTTCTACAATTATCTTTCTTTTTCTTTCTATATCTTTCTATTTTCTATTGCTCTAAGGCTAATGATAGATTCAAACTAATGCATCTATGCTGTAGATATGTTGCAAGTAAATCACAAACTTTTTTGATCCATTCAAGCATGTAAAATACGATTAGCATGAGCAGCATTAAAACTTTAGTGATCCTTACCCAAACCAAAAGCAAAGCTGCTCTCAGTCCGTTTATCCTGCACGTAAGCCTCGAAAGGCGAATTGTCGTATAGCTCATCTGAATAACCATCTTCGTCGTAGTCACTTTTTTTTCCAAGAACAAACACGCAGCTTGGCTTTCTTTTGCCCAAACCGAAACTTAATGGTTTTGCTCTCTGTAAGAAGGTAAACTTTTTCGCTTTTGTCGCGCAGAACATTTTATGATTGGAATCTTTCTTATTTAATTTGATAATACTTCAGATGACATCAGTTCATTTAGCGAATGAATGTGTGGATGAATATTTGACGATCACAAACCTTTTCTTCGTAACTCGGTGCCATACGCTTGCCTAGACCAAATTGAAATAGTGGTAGTCTTTTGTATTCCGAGCGATATTCGTAAGCTCTTTTCCCTCCAACTGATTGCTCTCTAGGATCTGAATAAGCACCATCATGTGACGATACTGAATCTTCTATCGCAGATGTCCAGCCGTGTAGGATGCTCAACGTGCACAGCAAAATCAAATGTGCCGTTGTCGTCGACTTCATCGTTCTATTATCCTGAAATCATTCAAAAGAACTATTCGCTATTCGCCACTATAGCTAAGTTCAAAGTAAACAAGTCATTTGTAAATTTTCAAATTCTAATGCTATACCACGTAGGTAGAAAAAAGTATATGACAATTTATGTATGGAGAAAGTATCTGTTAACTACTATCATTTTTATGAATCAAGTACGTGGCTAGTTTTAATGTCAGTTGAACTTGAATAGCGAATTAACTTGTATTCTACGGCGCTTACATAAAATTTTTCATCAAAAACTTTCGTTATTATATCATATCGCGCGAGATGTAGAACCTTACAAGCCAGCACAAAATCTGAAATATAAAATATGAATGTTATCACCACGTCACCGTTGTGAAGTTTTAACTACACTTATTTTTCTTCGTCAAACTTCTCATAGCATTGAACTTTCTATTTAATATATATATATATATATATATATATATATATATATATATATATATATATATATATATAAGGTCTTGTATTAACCACTCAGGTTGCAAATAGATTAAAAAATTTGTAAAGGATAACATCAGCAACTCAATATTGATCGAACAAAAACATTAAAAAAAATAGTTGTATCTTTTCTACTCTCTCTACAGCAAAATTTCGCATTATACGTTAGAAGAGACTCTTCAAAGCCAGGCCTCTTAACTGGTAAATATCCCTCAGGCGTTCTATGCTATTTTTTAACCTTTTTTTCCAGCATCGGGATAAAGAAGAGTGTTTATAGAGGATAACTATGTCAAATCGTTCTATGTAAGCTATCAATTTGCCAATATGTACAGAAATATTCTTACGTTTTATAATTAAAATTGCAATTTCCATATGAAAGAGGATCTTTTAAATGAATAATATGATATTATTGACTTTCAAAATAATCTTTTATTGCAAATTCATCGTAGCAGTATTTATTTCAGAAATAAACCTACGGGCTTTAATAATGTATGGTGTAATTTTCCAGTTATAAGTATTTCATATTTAACTATAAATTTTTTTACAAATTATAAATTTAAACTCTACCCTATTAATTGATAGTATTTATTAAAAAGTGTTACACGTTACAATAAATATACTTAAAAAAAGTTATTGCTAAAAAAAATCGAATTTGTGCTTGTATAGTTACTATCTTACGTTTCCTCGCGAGATACGATCCTTTTATGAAATTATGTCTCAGCTGGCCGTCACTCTAGTACCAGATCAGAAAGCATTGCCATCTCGTAGGTTTCCGCTTTCACCAAAATTATATCGTAGCTCAATGGGTTTTTAGAAAAATATATTACTCGGCGATAAAATAAATGCTTTGAATGTATCCCTTATTGTTTTTAAAAATGTTAAGGTGTCATTGAAAATGAAATCCTCAAATCCTGTGCTTAACACAGTTACAAATATAGTAAGAGAGTGGAAAGTAATTTCAAAACGAACTGATGTTTTTCTGTTTATATCGGCATATCAATTTTCTGTTAGTAGTATGATCGTAAAATTTGATTCGTTTACCGCTTTTATTAGTGTCACATATTTTTGTGTGGATACCTGCGTGTACGCCTCTAAGATTTTACTGTGTAGTTGTAGTAAAGTTCATTAATAAACGAAAAAATAAAAAGGTCAAAATCAAGTCTCTCTTCGCCATTATCCAAATTACTTGTAAAATTTTGATTAGACTTTTTTGGAAATATCGCAGCTTACTTATATTTCATTTTTTCAAGTTTTTATATTCACAACCAAAAATTTTCTGTTATTTCATATCAATTACATAACATTATGTAATTTATGCCAACATAAGTAATTTAATTTAAGCAAACGTTTGGCATTGATATATTATTAGCTCTTTATGAGAAGATGGTTGAGATGACATCTGTGCAACTGAATATTGGTCTAAAATTATATATCGTGAAAATTTCCATCTTATACATGTTATTAGGCCTTTCTAAAGTTTGGAAGGTAGTCGTATGGGGCAAGAGAATAGATTTTTATTACGAGAGAGAAACACTGATCTTAGCTACTTGTTATTTTTTTCTCTAGTCATTGGGGTATATTTCTTCATTAATCAACTAAAATGATTTTTTAAGTGATATTGACAATCCTTTTCATAAGTTATTATAATATTTTGCCTCAAATAGAAATTGAAGTTTCCATACTACGTAAAAATAAAATATAGAGCTTTTAATAACGAATAAATCCGTAGCGTGAGCTTCGACGATCTTTTGCCATATTGTTGATTAAATAAAATATGTTTATGAATCAAAACGTAACATACTGTCTTGAATTGTAACATACTGTCTTGTTTATGAATCAATTGAACATCAGTGTTTATCGGATCACGCGAAAAATTTTGTCGTAAACTTGAACAATTTTCACACGCATACATTATGCTTTTGTAGTACATAAAATAATCAAGTAACTATATTATTGTCAAATATTTCTTTCAGTTGACAATGTATATAGATATAAATGTATGACGCTAAGATAATATAATCTCCCGAACCTTCGCCACAGGAAAAAAATGATCAATTTCCATGAACCTCAACAATGGAAAGGTAAAGGTGTATATTTTTATTAGGCATACTGCACGTAAGGATCGGTTATGAAATTAACGTCGATCCGATATTCTCCGTAGGCGACTGACAACCCGTGAAATGAAATTGCAACTTGGTGTGCGCGTAGATATGTAGATGACTGGTAGATTTCTAGTAATAATCCTTAGACGACTATCGGCTTGTCACTCGAAGGTGTGACGCAGGCGCGCACATTGCAAATGCTTTTTTTCCCAATGTATGAAGTAATTACACTATATGTCCTCGGATAAGGTGAGCGACCAGCGCGATAGTGTTGATTTGACGATGTAATAGTCACAGGTTTTAGATATAATTACACCCCAGTCGCTTAGCTACAGTAGGGTTAATACCGATGTGTTGTTTGATCTTTCAAAACTTTTCAATTTGCCGTAACCAGAATTCCCATCATATCAGCCGCTGCGGCACAATACTTGGAAAAGTTTACGCACAAAAGTCGTTGGCTTATACTTTTACTTGTACTTATCATATGTATTAGACTGATATGATGGATTACGTGGATGGGACTTGGCGATACGTCAGTTGTTCTATTTTGCGCGAAAGCATTGATTGAAAGCGATGGTTGTTTATTTTTGAAAATTATTATCACAGTTTACCTGATTACTATTTTAGAAATAAGTCTCTCCTTATTATTGTCGCTTTGCAGGAAAAGCATTGAAATTCCGTGAGTCAAAATCAAAGAAATCCTTGATTTTGTATTTGTATAAAAGTGCAGCCATCATTGTCTGCCTAGAATACGTCATCTTGCGTTTTACGGACTTTCCGCAAATACCGACAGCGGTTAGTTAATAAGCCGTCACCCAATAGCTCACAAATTACGTTGGATTTTCAAATCTTTTATCTTCAATCCATTATTGTGGTTATTTTCAACGAAAAGCATAAATACTCACGAGTCTTACAATCATTCATTTTTAAATAAGCGATTTTCAAAATATTTAGTATCTATTTCATTGATTATCCAAAATAATTTTGTTTTTCTTAATCAAGTGTAAACTTTCATTTGTTTGATTCAAATTCAAACTAACAAAGTATCATTCATATTCAATAATGAAACAAAACTTACACAGATATTTGAAAATAGAACTTCTATAAACTACGACACTGCGAATTCAATCACATAAAATGTCTAATCACACGGAAGTGACGGAATCAATATCTTATGACAAGATGTCATTTATGGATCTTTGATAATGTTTATTGTGAACAGCAATAATGTTTTATTTAGTCTAATATCACCTTTGTCTAAAAGTAAAACAAATTAGAAAGATGAACCAAGTGTTACTGCCAATTTACAGCGAGTTTAATTAAATTACAAATATACAAAAACACGTACTAAATCTCACACACTTTGAAAAATCTATGAGATTATTTCTATGTACTAGTAAAGAAATGCAATTAAAAAATCCTTCTTTTATGGAATCTCTCGTAACTAAGTAACTCTCTTAACTTTCGAACAAATTCTGATACATAAGTCGTAATTAAAATTAAACGTAATTTATGCCGTTTTTTTTTCTTTTTTTTATTTTAGTGATTACTGAATAAAAGGAAATGGATTTTCGCAAGTTAAACATTCAAAGATAAGAACTTCACATTGAGAAAACAATTGCCCCCTCCAACAAAAAAAAAAGAAAAAGAAATAATAAAAATAATAAGAAAATACTGTAATGAAATAAAAGTATTACACATTAGGAAAATTGAAATGCATAGATAGGTGTCGAAAGGTACCTTAAAAATCGCCGACAACAACAGCTACAAAGCGGCGATTAGGCGATTGCTGATGCGTGTAGGTATAAGATCGTCGATGGTAAAGTCACTTGTTGCTGGCAGCGAGGCCAGCTCACACTTTACCAATACTTATACTCCTGTCTCGTTTCCTCAATACTCCTTCGCTCTTGTACTTTGTGTTGTCCCGCTCGTCGGCGAAATTACGAAAATTCGTCACCAAGCGCGCGTGCAGCTCTCACGGTGAGAATGAGGGAACCGACGACGTGTCAGCCAGCTATATAGGGTAGAGCGCTCTTTCTCTCTCCAACCCCCGGCGTGCGCCTACGCTGCGCGTTCGCTAGATATTTCTTATTTTTCGCCTGCAGATCCGAATGACTGTTACAATTTTTGTTGTCTTATTTACGGGGATTCTTTCCATAACTATGATAACAACATCTCAAATAATATTATCCGTGGCATTGCTGTAATTCAAAGCATGATTAATAATTCATAATTATTGATATCACAAGACAGTAATTTGTCACATTTAAATAAAGCACGCGTAATATTTTAATGTTTCCTTATTGACTATCATTTGCCAATATAAAACTGACACTTAACTATATTTTAAAAATGTAGTTTTATATTATTACTCTATTTCTATTAGTGTGTATCGTTGTTTCTTCTATCTTTGATTTTAACGAAAAGACAGATGTAACAACATTATTTATAATGTTAACTGTGAGTGTGTAATCGATATTACACACTATAAACTGATATTCAATAAATATCAATCATTGGATACCATTTTGTGTGACATCATAATATTATATGTTAATAAACTCTTACAAATCAAATCAAAAAATGACGTCATGATCGTTAGATCAGGGTCACCGCCATGCGTTTATACTTATAGGAGTTCCTTATTGCTCCTTGTCATTATTATATATTACGTTGATTTACATGTTATAATAATATATTAAGTCTCCGTACCCTGCAATGTGAGCATATGTGTCAATAACGTTTATTTACTTTGATAGGATAATATCTTTTCCTTTGGTAAACTTTATTGTCTACAAATAATTAAAAAAAAAGATATACAACAATAGATATTATCAGTAGTAGTTAAAAAATGTTGATCAAAAAATGCTGTTTTGTTAATTATGAAGTAATAACAAATAAAAAAATCGATCCTTTTACAACAAGTCGTGCTCATTGTCCTCATGAAAAGAAGAGCTGCCGAAAAAGATAAAAAATTAATTTAGCTTTACTCTCTGACAGAAAACCCTATCCAGTGAAAGGGATCAATTTTATGCGCGACTCTTGTACGCCTGGGAGAGATCGAATGATTTTCAGACTGACCGTAACTTCCGGATTTATTCGGGATATTCATCATTTATTATTTTAATGTAAAGTTGCATTTTTTATGTAAATATCCATTTAGCTCAGATTCAGAATAGAAATATTCCTAAAAATGCAGAAAGGATGTCTTCATGATTATTCTACATTTTGATATCTAGAATAAGTTTTATAAAACATTAAAAGTGTTAATATAAGAATAAATTATACTTTATTACATTCTTCTATCTTTTATCCGCATTTGAACATCTCAAGAGTTATATAAGGATTGCGCGTCTGTCGCTTAATTAATGAATCGTAACTCTTTGTTCTTACTTATACAAAAGATTTAATTTCATTCATCTATTCGAGAGATCTTCGTACATATAGACATGTAATTTTAAAAACTTGTACGTTTCTGCATTTGGTTCGTTTTGTGATTCCGTTTCAAAATTCTCGTCAATTCAAAAGAAGTAGACTTAAATATGCATCAAAATTATAAGGATCGTGTTGTTTTCAATAAAAAATTTGCAATATAAAACACAAAAATTCGTTGGCACTTTAGATATCGTGGTCCGATATCTCCGTTCATTAGTCGAAGCGCGACTAGGATATGAAAACGAGCGCAGATTATGGCTAGCAATATGAGCACCATTGAAGATGTGTTACAAGGTAAGGCATTATATTAAAAAATTTATTTTCTCTGGCTGAATTCATGATAATCGGATGTTTTCTCAAACAGTGTACTCTTCCAACTGCGAGTTTTTCAGGGCTTGATTAACCGGTAATATTACCTTATAAATGCACATTTCCATTGCTGCACGGACTATAGATCTGAGCTCTTCGGGTGTCTATGTTCTTTCGTATGCGTTTGATTAACTTTTATTACCTATTCTGAGAAATCTTATTACGAATCGCTTTGCTAATATTATATTCGACTATTATTCTGCGAACAAAAAGAGATTTTTTACATTTTGTTAAACTAGATTTTTTTACAAGTATGTCTCCATGAATTTCTATAAGAATTTTCGTTATTTACTTAATGTTTATTTACAATCTGTCTAATATATTAAGACAATAAGTAAATGAAATATATACTATATGAAATTCAGCAGAATATTCTAGAGAGTATTCTGTCTTTGTTTTAGAGTGTGCATGTAATAAATCGATTAGGATTTATTTATGCATTTATTAATTCGATAAGGATGATATGAAATTTTTATATGATTTTTCCGTGATAACATCAATAATTGTAATAAAATCTCAGATTGACAAGAAATATTACGAAATATAGATATTTTTATAACTCTCACGAGAAATTTTCAAATTAGATGAATAGTATTGTAAATACAACTTCTCAGTATATGCTACGTTAATAAACAAATATGATCGTAACCTTTTCCAACATTAAACTCAACATTATTTCACCTATATAAACTATATAATGAAAAATTATTTTATTTAATAGAAAAAAAATATATATATATATATATATATATATATATATATATATATATCGATAAAAATGTTTTACCAACTCATGCTTATTCAGTGTTGAGGATTAACTAGATGTAGAATGTCATAGATGGCGCCAGCGATCAAGTTTTGCCGTTTTTTTAGAAAATCGATATGAAATGACTTCTATATACGTATATATCTGACATATGTTATTACAAGTATTTAAAATTATGTTAGATAAATTTAAAATAACATTTGTAAAAACCAACTTCCATCAGCTACAATTAATAACGATAAATCATTTGTATGTCAGCTAAAATTGATTGAATCGATTATCGTTATGAAACATTTATTAACGATGAAAGTAGAATTGAAAAATACATTGAAATCTTAACCGACGGTATAAGGTTTGTGAAATATTGCCTTTCAAATAAAAGTATTCAAATCATAATTATGTGCTCCCAATATTCATGGTATCAAACAATAGGCCCTCAGTTCTGTTAATTTTTCCCTATACCAATAACCCATTCCCACAAGCGTTTCTGTCAGCGGCGATAAGTATGCACTCGGCCGTTTTTTGAAATTTCCCCCGAGGACTAAGACTATGTGGGAACTTGAACCATGCATTGCCTCAGGGAATCAAGTATACATATGGATATGCATGCAGGCTTGTGCAGAGGCTGAGCATGTAAATTTCTAATGTCTAAATTAGATTTATCGAAGTAATTTCAGGAATCGTCGCAACGATTAAATCTTAAGCTTTCGTTTGCATTTGGTCTTTGCATACTAATAAAATATCAGAAACTAATAATAAAAACGAGAAACTAATAATTTTGAATAAATCATTTGAAAAGATGCAAAGTTTATCGAGTAGTGAGTGCGCTGAATAGAATGAAGCTCGAATGCAATAACGAGCTTTCGGATAGAATCTCATTAGAAGTTGTGGGCAATGCAGCGAGGCGAGCGCGTTGGTCAAATCCACTTATTCGTGCAAAGGAGGGAGACAGAGACAGAGTACCTAAATGCGTCCCGATTAGATGCTCGTTTAATATGACGGATACATGCCCATATGCAACGCTCGATCGCGCTCGCGCGAGTCCCATCGTTCGTTAATTATTCAGCTTAATTAATAATTCAATAACCGCTGACGACTCCACCTATATACCGGCACGTATCTCATCGCGGCGCAGTGCTCGATTTGTTACTTTTCAAGCGATACTGTTCGTAGAATTTGTTTTCACTCTCTGATTATTATTTTACATTTATGTTCTGTTTTACATATAAAATATTTATTCCTGTTGCCAAGAAGATGCACAGAAATTGTTTTTCTCACTGCAATGTCAAAGTTGGAACGAAGCGAATAATGAAAGAAACTTCATTATTCGTAGCAAAGTGCTTCCGAAGAGCACAAGAATCGCACGAAGTTTACACGTGTAGCGTGGAAAATTCATTCAATAACGATAAACAATTTTCAAATGTGCTGAAAGCTACTGCAGGCTAATTAAGCCCTCGCGCATATTGTTTTCCTTACGCAGCAAATGCAAATGTAACAGCGGGCTGACCTAAATTCGACGTCGGGGCAATGTGCGCGCGTGCTTTCTGCAACAGGTTCGAGCGCTCTCGACGCTTAGAAAACAATATTTCGCCAACTATATATGCGCGCTCTCTGGGAAAGCTTTTAATAAGGGAACTTTCAGTTGGCCATTTGAATTCTTCGTTAGCACGCCTATCAGCATAAAACATCATGATACGTAATATTTTAGTACTAGACATACTATTCTTACAGTTATTTTAGTAAATAAGTCTTAAATTGATAACTGTCGAGCTTGCAAGCAACTATTTAACCAATGCACGTCGTCAAGAATGAGAACAGTGATGAGTGGTCGATTTGAACATATTATTTTTACACAATAAACTTCATTTCTAATTAATTATAAAACGAGATTCAACATTTTTTATATGAATAAAAATGTCATTTGTTTATATAATAATCAAGCATATTTATGACATTCTACCATTCGAGCATACTCCGTAGCTTATCAACTATTCTTAAATAACGGGCGATCAGACTATTGTCGTGAGACAAACTAATACTAATAGTTATTAGTTTCATCCATTTCACGTTAACTTCTACAGCAAACCATAACTCAACGATTAATTTTCACACAGAACATTCAAATAATGAACAGATGCGTGATAGCAGCATATAAAAGAGTCGACGCGTCTCATGACTACGTAAAAAAATTATTATCACACTTACGACAATAAAAGTACGAGGGCAGGTGGTTCTAGTTGTCATGTTCTTCTCGCATGCTCGACTTTCAATGAATTTAACGAATACATACACGAATTCGACAGAACGTGAAATATTCGCAATTCTCTTTCTATTATCAGTTTAGTAATAAAAAAGAGAAACGTGGAAAGGCATAGAAAACAGCGAAAATAGCGT